TCTATAACCATTAGTATAATTCTAATGTGTTAAAATATTTCAGACAACAGGGAAACTTTGTATGTGGATCCTGACATCAGAGACATACTAGGCTTAGATGAAAAGGATGACAAGGATAAACATCCTGTTGTTGACCCAACCTTAGTACTTATCTGGCAAAAGCTTATCAACACCGGCTTGAAAAAAGAAACTCATAATGAGATTTTGCTGAATTACCCTAGGTAATTGAACCATAATATGATATTATATAATATCCTTATGGTGCTGCATTTCTTGAGATGCTTGACAATTATATTATCATATAATTGTTTCACTTTGATGCAAGGATGATAATTCTAACTTCGGGTTAGAAAGTGGATTTATTCAATTAAATCCTACTTCTTCTCTTATTTACAGCAGCCAATTAAAAATAAGCTATAACAAGCAAAAATGCTTAGCATTGTCGTTTATACTACATGATTATTATTATTCATAATAAATATGAATTATTCATATATATCTATCATAGAATACCAAAATTCGAGCCAAAGAAACTGAACCCTGAAATTGCAGCCGCTTGCATCTAATCATACTAAGATAGATGCTCATATGCAGGAATTACAGAAAATAGCCGGATCTTCACTCATGGCTATAGGATCGGCACTATCAGTCATCATGAATGACGATGACTGAGACAAATTGCAAATCGTTAGATATCTCAACGATGCAGCTAAAATGTCGATTATGATGCATCATTCTATATCTGTATCTAGAAGAGCCAATATATTTATTCCTGATTTGACACCTCAAGTTGCAGTACTTATTAAGAAGGCTTATGACGACACTTTGTTTGGCAGTAACCTTGCGGATCGTATCAAGGAATCTAAGGCGCTTACTAAACTGTCTCAAGAGATAAAATTGAAGCCTAAGCTACATTTTAAGCCATCTATTAAGAAGCCTTTTTTTCGGAAGAGCCTGCAGCAGAGACAGCCTCTCTCGCAGCGGAAGGGCAACTATATCAGCGCGAACCAGAATAAGCCTGCGTTCAAAAACAAGCAACAGTATTTCAACAATACCAAGAGAGAACGAGAAAATACTCCTCCGGTCAACAAATAAATGTTAGTATTGCAGGCAGACTAAAATTTTTTGCTGAAGAATATTGGGGTTAACAATCACGTATTACAAATAATCAAAGGTTATAAAATTTCCTTTCTCACTGAGCCAATTCAGTTACACCCACCTATTATTAACATTCCTAGTAGAGATGTAGAACGATACAAGATCGCCATAGCCAATTTACTCGACAAGGGCACAATCGAATGCTGTAGCTCTTCTAATTGTCAATTTCTTTCGTCCTAATTTCTAATCCCCAAGAAAGACGGTACTGATAGATTCATTCTCAATCTTAAGAAATTGAATTCTTTCATTCAGACTGATCATTTCAAGCTTGAAGATCTTAGGTCAGTTACTCACCTCATTTCACCCGGTTGTTACATGTCTTCAATTGACCTTCAAGATGCCTATCTTATGATTCCGGTTCACGTAGAATCTAGAAAACTTCTTAGATTTTCCTTTAATGGCAACATCTACCAATTTACCTGTGTACCCTTTAGATTAAGTACAGCCCCTTTTATTTTTACTAAGGTTATGAAACCTGTTGTTCAATATTTAAGAATCAGAGGGTTCAAGGTGGTCATTTATTTAGATGATTTTATTTTCATCGCCGAAAACAAGTCTGACTGTTCTCATATTGTCCACACAGCACTAGAGCTTCTGACTAGTCTAGGATTTTTTATCAATGGGAAGAGAGTTCTAGTTCCATCTCAAAAATGTAAATTTTTAGGTTTCAATATCAACTCAATTGATTTTACAATTGAACTACCAGACGATAAGAGAAATCGCATCTTGGAGCTTCTAGATGACTTCCAGCGTAAAGCTCGCTGTTCTATTTTAGAACTTGCACAGATTGTTGGTAAATTGGTCTCTTCATGTCCAGCAGTTGACTACGGTTGGCTGTACACAAAGATTCTCGAGTCTTTCAAGTTTAATTCCCTGATACTGAATAATCATAATTACGCAGCCATTATTACGCTGCCATCTTACATTCATCAAGAAATATTATGGTGGCAGAAAAGCATCAGAGTCTCTATTGGTTTGATCAGATCAACCACCTTCGATAAGACTATTTTCACGGACGCATCCAACTCGGGTTGGGGTGCTACAGATGGCATGAATAGCATTTACGGTGTCTGGGATGAGAATCAGAAGCACTTCCATATCAACTATAAAGAGTTGCTTACGGTTAAATTCGCCTTGCTCCATCTAGGTAATATCCAAGTAGGTAGCCAAATTCTTCTTCGCATAGACAATACCACAGCCATTTCCTACATTAATAAGATGGATTAATAAGATTAATTAGAGTATTCGGTTCTCTAAGTATAATAAACTCTCAAGAGAGATTTGGCAATGGGCTAAAGAAAGACGTATTTTCTTATTCGCCTCATATATCGTATCTGCCGACAACGTTGAAGCTGATGCTCTCTCTCGCATCAGTAATAACGACACAGAATGGGAGATTTGCAACCGTGCTTATAAATTGATCGTTCGTAATTTTGGTAACCCGGAAATCGATTTATTCGCTAATAAACATAACACTAAATGCCTTCAATACTGCTCATGGTTTCCCGACTCAGAAGCATATTTGGTTGACGCATTTACTACTAAATGGTCAGCCTTTTACTTTTATGCATTTCCTCCCTTTTCTCTAATACTCAGGTGTCTCTCCAAGATCGAAAGAGAAAAGGCTTCGGGTATTATAGCGGTACCAGACTGGCCAAATCAGCCTTGGTATCCACTTTTTAATTTTCTTATATCAGAGAAAATTGTTTTCAAACCTAGACCTGATTTGTTATTGTCGTCTTGTAGGACAATTCCTCCCTCCTAGGACAGCTTACATTATGAATGGTATTTTTCCGGAAGCGGCGGATATTATGGCAGCCTCGATCTCCAAGTCAACTTCGGTGCAGTACAATGTAGTCTACAATAAATGGTTCAAATTTTGCGAATGCCATAACTTCGATGCATATAAACCAAATAAGAATTCTGTTTTACGTTTCTTAACGGACAGATACAAGGATGGAGTAAGTTATGGGATTGTCAATTCAGATAGATCGGCACTTTCCTTGATTTCGGACAACAATATTGAAGCAGACGAGCACATTTCCAGAATTTGCAAAGGAGTTGCTAAGCTACGTCCACCGAAACCTAAATACGCTTTCACATGGGATATCGCTATTGTCCTCAATTATCTTAAGACTCTTCATCCGTTGGAAGAGTTAACATTTTCTCAATTATCTTATAAGACGGTTATGCTTGTATTATTAGCCACTGGCCATAGAGTGCAAACGATAGCTAGCATTAAATTAGAAAACATCTCATCTTCTAAAGATGGAGTCCTTATTTACATTACGGACAAAATGAAGACATCAGCCCCTGGCCAAATGCAACCACTGCTCTATTTACCGTTTTGTATCGATAACCCAGAGAACTGCGTGGCTACTACACTTCTCTATTATTGTAAAGTTTCTAAATCTCATAGATTAAACAATGAAAGAAAATGTTTTATCGCGACAAGAAAACCCTTTAAAGATATCACTGCTCAGACTGTTAGTAGATGGGCAAAGCTAGTTCGAGAGAAGAGTGGAATTGATCTTACGATATTTTCTGCTCACTCGACTAGACATGCATCTACATCTTCAGCGCATTCTAAAGGAGTAGACATAGATACCATAAGAAGAACTGCTGGCTGGTCAGCGGGATCTCAAGTTTTTGCAAGATTCTATAATAGGCCAATTTCATCCTTAGAAACGCAAAGATTCGCACGTAGCGTTATTGATTCTTAGTCTAGTAAATTTATACATTATGTCCTACGTATTATTATTAAGAACTCAAATAATAAATTCTGTAAATGCATGTTGAATTATTGTACTCTCTAAAGAACTACATTGTAATATTAAGAACTAGATGGAATATAATAGTATAATCAAACGAAATTACCGTGAAGTTCGATTTAGATTATATTCCATCTAGTTCGAAGATATTACAACCCACACTTTAAATCATTAGCCCTCGTTCCTCGTGCTATCCCAGCCCTCTTTTTCTTACTAATCTTACTTCAGTCTCTAAAGCATATGAGGTACGGTACGAAGAGCGAACGGCGCCGGCACAAACCGCGCTAATGCCGCTCTTTTTTCTCGGTCGATAAAGGTGTGACTTCTCGCGGGGAGAAGGGGAACTACATTGTAATATCTTCGAACTAGATGGAATATAATCTAAATAGAACTTCACGGTAAGTTCGTTTGATTATACTATTATATGGTATGTATCTCAATCTGTTATATTTTATACCTTCAAAACAATCATAAATATTAAATATTTATAACTTACAGTTACTGAAATTGATTAAATTGCCCAAAGATTCAGTTTTTCCGGTTAAATCTTCAGAATCACTAAGAAATAAAAAAAATGTTCCATATATCATTAAAAATTTTGATATATTATTCAATCACTTTCACGTTAATAATTAACATTAATTAAAAAGATGTTTGAAAAGATAAATATATAAAAGAATTTCATGGAGTTATGTAGATAAGTCTTGAATGTGAAGAAAATATATCTCGAATAAAAAGATCTTGCCACATACGGACTTTTCTTTTAGAATAATATAATAATAGGAATAACTAATAAATAATAATATAATAATAACTCAACAAGAAATCCAATTTAAAGAAAATTAGTTAAAAAATCTTTTTGCCTGTTGCCATTATACAACTATTTTTTTGTATACTGTAGTATAAGTCGATTTTGCACTGAAAATATAATAAAATATCGAGATTTTATCATAAAAATTTCATATCGTTCGTCTCTTTTCATGAAGTCCCAAACTTAAGGAGTATGGAATATAAGTTGCTATCTGAACGCAAAACATGCAAATTTAAACAACATTATTAATATTCTTTACACAAAGATTTATTTCATTGAAAAATATTTACAATGTAATTTTAGATATGGATATTTTATGTTAAAAAATGTCGCTTTGTGAATGTTGTGCTAAAAGTAACTCAATTTACAACAAAAACAGCCCAGGGCATGATGTACAAATTATTACATCCACACAGAAAATTTTTCGTCTTATATTCGTGGATAATTTTTACATTGAAAGATGGAAATTGCAAATTATAATTATTATCATCTAGATAAAAAAAGCTATTTATGATTGTGGTTTTATTGGATACATTATTTTTTTAAAAAAGGTTATAGCTGCACCACAGAAATGCTATATATTTCAATTCCCAAAAAAATATTTAAAAAGAAAATATAACGTGCCTTAATAAGGAGTTTCAAGAAAGGCTAATGTTTACATTATAAAAGTTTATGTTGAGAATTGAAATATACGACAATGTCTGAAACTTATGTCTTCCATAATTTACATTTCGTAAAATTTTAGTAAAGTAGGAATATATATTTAAGTAGAATATTGCATTGAGCTGTCGCTATACATATTTATCGTTATAGTCAAAGTAATAAATCAGTAAAATAAACATAAAATTATTAAAAATTTTTAATTCTTTACAAATAATCAACTATTGGTCAATTTGATAATTGGTGCCGCTCAAAAACAAAATGTAATAGATGATTTGTGCTTACACTTTATTGAAGATATCGAATGAAATGCTTGAGGTTCCTATTTATTTATTGGCTATTTTCAGACTTAAAACTCATTTGTATTAGTTTTCCAAAATCTCATTATAATGTTGATCGGTTAAATGAAAAAAATTAATGTAACTACTTTTACAATCGTCCATTACATAATTTATTTTTCAGAACCTACGTATTATCGATAATGTTAGAAGATCTTAATATTTTCGAATTTCATAAATTCAATTAGTCGACTTTGTTTCAGTCTGAAAATAATGAATAATGCTACTATAATCTGACTAGATTTCTGATACTGGTTATCAAAAAATATGTAAGATAAAAACGTATTCGAATATGTATACAGGGTGTCCAAAAAGTTCCGGGACACCTCAGTAAGTCCTGAGATATAACTATTTCCGAGGAGATTAAGGTTATTCCTGTAGTAACTTTGAACGAGGAATCCAGTGGTGACCTTGGTTTTGACCTGGAGCTTGACCTTCAAGGTCATTTCAAGGTCAACTTTTTTTTTCAAATGGGAACCCCTATTTTTGACAACGGCAATCGAAAGAGCGGGAAATTTTACGTCCAAAACGGTTTTTAAAATTTTTTTTCATGGCCTTGAGAAGGTCGATTTAAGGTCAAATGCTTGAAAAACTGCCTAAAAGCGTTTTTTTAATTTTTAAGATATCGAAAAATGACCTCTACAAAATTTGTTCAGAACAGAGTGGGCCACCCAATGCACCAAAAACCTTTGACCTTTAACCTCATTTTGAAGGTCATTTCAAGGTCGAAGTGTTTTTTGTAATGGAAACCCCTATTTTTGACCCCGGATTCGCAGATAGCGCGAAATCAGAAAGAAACATTCAAAACGCAGTGAGTGGAAAAAACTTATCCGGCAAAAAAACTGTCTCTGCTTGCTCCTCATTTAAAACAACTTGACTTTCGGTTTGGATAACCCGATAAATACCGGCTAATCGACCCATAGGGTCATGATTATAGCCATGGTATTTCATGTTGGTGGGGTATATAACTAGCCACGCGCGCCTGCAAGTCCCACAGTAAAATTTTGCTGCTGGACCTGTAGGAAGTTATAGAATAGTTTACCACGAGGATTTTTCATTTGTAAATGTTAAAATTTTTATTAGACGAAGACGATTTACGATTAATACAAAAAGTTAAAAATGACGACGCAGCAGGAAACATTCGAATTCGACGTAGAGCAAAACGAAACTCAGAATCTCTTCGAGAACGAGGCTCAATGTTCAAGTTTGTTAGTACCAGTACAGATCATACAGACGCAGGAGATGGGAGTGCAAAATTTCGAAGACTTGACAGAGGACGAAAAGAAACGAGCAATAGACGATCTAACGTTGATGAAATTTCTAAAAAAGGTATGGATTTACCGATTAATAATTCTGAATCATCCGACGATAGTAGCAACGTTGGAAGCACGAATTCCAATGACGATGGTCGAACAACTAACATTTTACAAACAAATAATCAAGAGTTTTGTACAATGGAGGAGCAACGCAAAGTATTGCGGACCCTGTGGAATCGAGCAATTCGAGAAATGGGTCTTAAATCACGGATATTGCATGATGTATGGGAAAAACCACGATCTCTTGAGGGAAAGTTTTTTTGCCAAAGCCTTCGAAATAATAACAGAAATAAAAGAGGCGTGTTTATCGTCGCCGTCCACGGGGAACATCTCCATGTCGTACACGACTGTAGCTACACCAACTCGCAGTGTAGATGTGGATTTATGCAAAAATTCGCAGAACAAGAGGCAAAGCAGGACACCAGCGAAAAAGAGGAAAGTAAGTTTCAGAGAGATAAAAATGTCATCATCAGAAAACAGCGACGATCAGCATTCGGACTACAGCAATTGCAAGAGGAAGCGGAAAGAGATTACCAAGAAAGTATCTTCACAGTTTTCCGAGAGCGAGAACGAACTAGTGCAACCGGAGGAGATAACATTAGAGGACGAGGAAACGGACAGCGACAAATGCGCGACAGCGATAATTCCACGGACGAGTATGAAGAAAATAATGAATGCAAAAAATTTATTGTTCGATGGAATCGACGAAGATACGCAAGTGGCCTCTATGACCGAAACCACTGGATCAATTTGGTCTTCTACTTGTCTCAAAACGGGCGACAAATACATGCATTACAAATCGGAAGAGAAACGTGGATCGATGGTGGTAAAGTTAGAAATTTACAAATTCGCCGACTGTTTCAGGAAGGAAAAGAAGGAGTGGTGGCGACAAGCAGAATTTCGTGCGACAACGGTTCTACGTTCAACGGACCAAATTGCTATAGACAAGGCATACAAACTGGCATCGACATTGAAGAACATACAGAAAACAAAGAAAGGGAATCATATATCCCACACCCAAAACCCTTAAAGATGGAAAGTTTTTTTAAATCAATATTATGTACTCCTTTAAAAAATATTTTATATACTGGACATTGGATCAATTCTAAATACAGGTATATTGCTCACGAACATTATTTGATACGAACTATTCTACATAATATTAATCAAGAAATTGTTGACATGACAGTATATGAAATATTTAAATATTCTAGAAATATTGAAACAACTAAATTAATATACGCAGCTTCATGGCAAGAACGTGAAAATTATTATTATTCTATTAAAGATAGTGTTACTATATTAGAAAAGTTATTGTTATATCAAGTTAAAAATATTAAAGCATTTTTAATAATATTATACAATTTTTTAAATAAGCAAATACCAAAAAAAAATTGCTTATATATACAATCAGATCCAAATGCAGGAAAAAATTTCTTTTTTGACGCTGTATGCCATGCAATGATAAATTTTGGTCAGATTGGTAATTTTAATAAATTTAATAATTTTCCATTACAAGAAGCAGTTAACAAAAGAATTATTTTATGGAACGAACCAAATTTTGAACCTGCAGCAACCGAAACATTAAAATTAATATTTGGAGGAGATACATGCAATGTTAAAGTTAAATTTAAAGATGATGCAGTTATCAGACGTACTCCAGTTATTGTATTATCCAATCCGGATGTCATTTCAACAGATGGAGCATTTGCAACAAGAGTAATAAAATATACGTGGAAAAGTGCACCATTTTTAAAACTGTTTAAAAAGAAACCAATACCAATATCTATTTTTTATTTGTTTATTAAATATAAAATAATTTCTTGTAATGATATAGATTTAGAAAATTGGGAAAAGAAAATATGTTGTATTCATTGATATGGAAAAGGTGATAATATATTACGGATATTATGATCTTCATAATAAAGAATTGTATCACGTAATTGTTGTATTACATTATTTATTATTAACAGTGAATCCCGAGATTTAACAATTTCATTAAATAGTTCATCAATATTTATTTCTTTATCTCTTAAAAATAATCCAATATCATATATTATTCGCCGTAAAATTGGCCATTCGTCGTAAAAATGAGCACTAGTTACGTAATCTCGTTGACAAGCAAAAGCCGGAGTAGTCGAATTAATACAAACTCTTTTTCGATATTTCGGATCTACTATGCATGAATATTCCATTTTCCAATCATTACAATAATTCGAAGTTCTCTTCTGACGTACGAACTGATTTTTTCTTCTTTCGTGAGGCTGTTGAAACAGAGGTTCGTTGTAATTCATAGGCGAGTTGTTCATTAATATCTTGCACTTCAAATGTACCACTGGATGAATATTGTCCCTCGAGAGTAGCTTGCATTCCAAAAGTTTGATATCCTTCTCCAACCCAGTCGTGCTTTCGATCCATGAAAAAACGAACTTCCTCTGGCCAATGATATGTAGCATCATTACAAAATGAATCCATATTAAATTCCAAAATAATTTCATTTTCACTCAATGTATAGACAGACGAATTTAAAAATTCTGAATTTTCTTTATCCGGTTTCAAAGAAGGAGTGGCCAATAAGCCTAAATGAACTTGAGGTTGTGGTATGAAAGTAGACACTGAGCCGGTTTGAGCGTGTACATTAACATATGTTTCCAGAGACTGACCGTAATCGCCATCTACACGGGTGCTCAACTTCTTTGTAAAAGACGAAGCAGCAGAATTTAAGATATGAGCGCCACTATCTTTATCTTTTGTCACATTCATAAAAGTCGGCATAGTATGATTATACGGAATGTAATTAAACGTAGTTGGAAAACCATTCGCATTCGTCATATTTATACAAAGAGCTCGTTTAGAAGGTTTTACATAACCACTTCTAGGTGAATAAGAATAATTGACAATCGGTTTTCCAATAACATGATTAACCATAACTGTTTGTAATTTTTTATCAACTCTATACCAACCCGTAATAGAATAAGTATCATTCGGTGAACCAGCGTCTTTTGTTTCATTATAAAGATACATCATATACCAATTAATATGCCGTGGACATTCTACAGCAGGTGGTGTTGATCCATATATAGCCGTTATATTATTTGCTAAAGGCGTAGTTTTATATCCAGTCGGTTGCATAGCTTCAGTACCATTGAAAGTAAATTGCTTATTTTGTATATAAAAATCGCGATTTAAACCAATTCCAAATTTCACGATCGGTATGTACTCAGTAGTGGCAACTCCTGTAAGTGATGTTCCATGATCAAAAGCCGTACGTGTTCCCAGTAAAGTAATTTTAGAAGTAACATGTATAATTTTAGTATTTTCTGGTAAAGACAAATATTCAGCTTTAGTTAGATACCATGGTAACCAATCGACCGGATAATAAGCATAAGGCGTAGCAATTGCCTTAACATAAGTAGCATCTTTGTTCGCACTCATCATATGATGTTTAACTCCATAAGTATAGCGATATATTCGTTTTTGAAATTTTAACATAATACTACGATCTCGAGGAACAGGAGGTATACTACTCATACCTCCGGCATTACTTGTTCCATCAACTCCTGATCCGGATGAAGGTCCTGCATCTGTCTCCATGGCATCGTTACCTCCTCCCTGTGAAACAGCCGTATTACTTTGTCCTTTAGCACGAAAAGTATTTCCTTGAATATCGGCCATAAGAATATCGTTGATATTATCAATACTATCAGCCAAAATATTTCCTTCGAAAGGTGAATCTCTACTACTAGATGGTCCGGGTTGAGGTTCGGGGGAACGGTCGACGTCGACGGGGCCTCTGTCGGATCTGGCTCTGCTCGGCGAAGACGGACCAGCTTCGTCTGGGAGACTAAGATTAGATAAATTTACTAGATCTGCTTCACTTATTTCAGGCAAAGTTTGTTCACTATGAGCAATTCCTTCATTAAACTCTTGTACTGCTCTTTTACGAATTACTTTTGCATACGGAGATCTCAAAAATTCTGAATATGAATTAAAAGGATTATTTTGATAAACTTGACGCCAATAGTGACCCAATCTTTGCTGTTGATATGCGTAACGAGCTTGTCCAATATTTAAACGTTTTTTACGTGGCGATGACATTACCTAGGATAAACAACAGTATTTAAAAATCTTTCGTAAAGATGCTTTGCAGACAATCCAAAAGAACCAATCAATGCAGGATAAACTTTTGTAACATCATTACTTGAAACAGCAATATCAACAAATTCTTTTATAGCTTGTTGATCAGCATTGTATACACCTAACTTATTTTGAACATTCTCATACAAAATATCATGCTCTAATGCTACACTATCGACTTCATTGACTGGTTCATCATCTTCTAATAAATTACCTGGTCCCAAATATTTATGAAATGGAATTACAGACATATTTTTATACCAAAAATTTGCGTAGTAAACTATTCTATAACTTGGTTACACATCCAGCAGCTTTGAAGGCTGAAGTAAAACTGGCCGTAATACGTTAACCCCACCAACATACAATACCGGCATAATCGACCCATAGGGTCATGATTATTAGCCATGGATTCATTTTGTAATGATGCTACATATCATTGGCCAGAGGAAGTTCGTTTTTTCATGGATCGAAAGCACGACTGAAAAATTTTTTCCAGCGTTTGGATCAGATTGAATATATAAACAATTTTTTTTAGGTATTTGTTTCTCTAAAAAATTATATAATATAATTAAAAATGCTTTTATATTTTTAACTTGATATAATAATAGTTTCTCTAAAATAGTAACACTATCTTTAATAGAATAATAATAATTTTCTCTTTCCTGCCATGATGCTGCATATATTAATTTGTTTGTCTCGATATTTCTAGAATATTTAAATATTTCATATACTGTCATGTCAACAATTTCTTGATTAATATTATGTAGAATAGTTCGTATCAAATAATGTTCGTGAGCAATATACCTGTATTTAGAATTGATCCAATGTCCAGTATATAAAATATTTTTTAAAGGAGTACATAATATTGATTTAAAAAAACTTTCCATCTTTAAGGGTTTTGGGTGTGGGATATATGATTCCCTTTCTTTGCTTTCTGTATGTTCTTCAATGTCGATGCCAGTTTGTATGCCTTGTCTATAGCAATTTGGTCCGTTGAACGTAGAACCGTTGTCGCACGAAATTCTGCTTGTCGCCACCACTCCTTCTTTTCCTTCCTGAAACAGTCGGCGAATTTGTAAATTTCTAACTTTACCACCATCGATCCACGTTTCTCTTCCGATTTGTAATGCATGTATTTGTCGCCCGTTTTGAGACAAGTAGAAGACCAAATTGATCCAGTGGTTTCGGTCATAGAGGCCACTTGCGTATCTTCGTCGATTCCATCGAACAATAAATTTTTTGCATTCATTATTTTCTTCATACTCGTCCGTGGAATTATCGCTGCCGCGCATTTGTCGCTGTCCGTTTCCTCGTCCTCTAATGTTATCTCCTCCGGTTGCACTAGTTCGTTCTCGCTCTCGGAAAACTGTGAAGATACTTTCTTGGTAATCTCTTTCCGCTTCCTCTTGCAATTGCTGTAGTCCGAATGCTGATCGTCGCTGTTTTCTGATGATGACATTTTTATCTCTCTGAAACTTACTTTCCTCTTTTTCGCTGGTGTCCTGCTTTGCCTCTTGTTCTGCGAATTTTTGCATAAATCCACATCTACACTGCGAGTTGGTGTAGCTACAGTCGTGTACGACATGGAGATGTTCCCCGTGGACGGCGACGATAAACACGCCTCTTTTATTTCTGTTATTATTTCGAAGGCTTTGGCAAAAAAACTTTCCCTCAAGAGATCGTGGTTTTTCCCATACATCATGCAATATCCGTGATTTAAGACCCATTTCTCGAATTGCTCGATTCCACAGGGTCCGCAATACTTTGCGTTGCTCCTCCATTGTACAAAACTCTTGATTATTTGTTTGTAAAATGTTAGTTGTTCGACCATCGTCATTGGAATTCGTGCTTCCAACGTTGCTACTATCGTCGGATGATTCAGAATTATTAATCGGTAAATCCATACCTTTTTTAGAAATTTCATCAACGTTAGATCGTCTATTGCTCGTTTCTTTTCGTCCTCTGTCAAGTCTTCGAAATTTTGCACTCCCATCTCCTGCGTCTGTATGATCTGTACTGGTACTAACAAACTTGAACATTGAGCCTCGTTCTCGAAGAGATTCTGAGTTTCGTTTTGCTCTACGTCGAATTCGAATGTTTCCTGCTGCGTCGTCATTTTTAACTTTTTGTATTAATCGTAAATCGTTTTCGTCTAATAAAAATTTTAACATTTACAAATGAAAAATCCTCGTGGTAAACTATTCTATAACTTCCTACAGGTCCAGCAGCAAAATTTGGGTTGGAGAAGGATATCAAACTTTTGGAATGCAAGCTACTCTCGAGGGACAATATTCATCCAGTGGTACATTTGAAGTGCAAGATATTAATGAACAACTCGCCTATGAATTACAACGAACCTCTGTTTCAACAGCCTCACGAAAGAAGAAAAAATCAGTTCGTACGTCAGAAGAGGAGTTCGAATTATTGTAACAATTGGAAATTAGAATCTTCATGTATAGTTGATACTAAATATAAACGTCGTGTTTGTATTAATTCTACTTCTTCAGCTTTTGCTTGTGAACGTGATTATATTACTAATTCCCATTTTTATGATGAATGGGCTATTTTACGACGAATTGTTTATGATATTGGAATATTTTTGAAAAATAAGGAAATTAGTATTGATGAATTATTTGGAGAAATTTTAAACAATTGTTATACAGTAAAAGTAATAAATAATATAATATGGAATTTACGTGATAATATTCTTTATTATGAATCCCATAATATACGTAAAATTTTACTGTGGGACTTGCAGGCGCGCGTGGCTAGTTATATACCCCACCAACATGAAATCCCATGGCTATAATCATGACCCTATGGGTCGATTATATGGGTCGCCCGTTACTTTATTATTCAAACAATCAAAGGTGACCTTGAAATAACCTTAACATGATCTTGAAGGTCAAAGATAAGGTCACTGTAACATGCTCCCAGTAGAATTTAATAAATTTAGCCCGAAACATTTTATAAATGTTTCGCGAATAATATTGGATCTCGATTTCACATGACCTTAGCGATGAACGTCGTGGATCAATCGAAACTCAACATAATACCTTATCCAAACGTCGGATTTCGCGCTATGTGCGAATCCGGGGTCAAAAAGAAAGGTTTCCATTACAAAAAACACTTCGCCCTTGAAATGACCTTCAAAATGAAGTTAAAGGTCAAAGGTTTTTGGTGCATTGAGTGGCCCACTCTGTTCTGAACAAATTTTGTAGAGGTCATTTTTCGATATCTTAAAAATTAAAAAAACGCTTTTAGGCAGTTTCCCAAGCATTTGACCTTAAATAGACCTTCTCAAGGCCATGAAAAAAAATTTTATAATACCGTTTTGAACGTAAAATTTCCCGCTCTTTCGATTGCCGTTGTCAAAAATAGGGGTTCCCATTTGAAAAAAAATTTTTACCTTGAAATGACCTTGAAGGTCAAGCTCAAGGTCAAAACCAAGGTCACCACTGGATTCCTCGTTCAAAGTTACTACAGGAATGACCTTAATCTCCTCGGCAATAGTTATATCTCAGGACTACCTGGGGTGTCCCGGAACTTTTTGGACACCCTGTATAATCCAAAATTAAACCACTATAAGTCCACTTTACAACAAAATTAATGTTTTATAATTGAAAAAATATTTTAATCCACCAAAAGAATCTATTTTTACCACAATTGCTATATAAATCGAATTTTTTATTGATATTTGTGTGCATTAGATCAGACATAGATATAGATGGAACATCTAAATCTTTTTTCGAAGATTTTTCGAATTTAGATTGAACGTTGGTTGCAAATTCTAAAAATATCGATTGTTTAAAACTTAATATGAAATTTAATTACTGCTGTTTGATCACAAACGCTTTCGAAATGCAAACAATAGAAGAAATCAGTAAAAAAAGTTAGATCATTCAAATCAGCACCATGTAGTATCGATTGAGTCGTTAATACCAAACTAAATAAAATTTAACATAGATTCTGTGTAACTTTTGTGATATGGAATGTCGCGTTTATTTTAAAATAATGTTCAAAATACTTTAAAAAAAATAAAAACAAAAAAACGTTCTATTCGCAGAATATGCAGTTACTATTTAAGTTATGAATCTTATCTTCGTGTACGAACTCGTTGATATGACTATTTTCGCGTAAAATTGAGTACCATTGACGTTATAAAATAGGTTTCGATATCACATTACTTTTCTTGGCTTGAAAGTTGATTACATCGCCACTTACCGTCTTGTTCAATCTTTACAGTAACAATATTTTCGCAAGTGGAACAAATGATGTTCGACGCACCTTGCTTGAGATCCGTACATATTTATCCTGCTGACATCAGAAATCTAAAAAAATAAATGATATATTTTATCATGCGGTAAGGATTACATCAGTTGAACATTAAATTTTACTTTACATAACATCAAATTTTTTAATAATGAATTCTTATAAATAAAACACAGAGCGAATACGAACTTTTGTAGAGAAAATATCTTTTTGAACATCATGTGAAATACTAGCTTCAAAGAGACCATTTCCTGGTAAAGTTTTGATCTTCAATTGATATATTTCAGTTGTGAGTTGAGTTTTCGCATTTAATGCAGCAACAAATCCATCAGCATCGCGAGATCTTTCAAAATGGAGAAGACCTAAATAAATAATAAATCTTCAATATACGTATATTAATTAAATTATTTCTCATTTCTGACATGGTATTCAATGACTATATAAGGATTAAAATCCAATGTCAGTGGAGTATCCAGGCCTCATGGTTACGAATGTTCACGAGATACTGTCCATGTTGATTTTTAATACGAAAGATACGAAGGATCGTTTGTACAAGCTTCTAGGAAGCGTATGCCGTATTAATTTGTTTTGAACTGACCTTTGGTAGGAATCAATTTAGATGCCCACATAACTTGGCCGACATGAAGTTTCTGACATATGTCCCGATGTTCTCCTGTATAGAAATTGAGGAACTCGACGAAAAATTTGGCAGCTCGTTGTACGATTGGTTGATCGACGGAAATTTCTTGCCAGGTTAAGCAGGCACACCAGTGCGGCTCAATGAAAGCATCCGCACAGGTTCTCTCGATGGGAATCTACGCAAGAAGAAGATCGAATATGAGGTTTGAGCGTAGGAGACTTCTTCGACGCTACACGATTGAGGCGGTACCTTGTCGAATAAGCTGATGGCCCTGTTACTGAGGTCAGCCTCTTTGGGCTTTTCAAAGTTCAAAATGTGCTTGAGAGTGGCGTGAATGTCGAAGGGCGTCGTGAGATGCTGCGTATTAAAGAGGAAATTGGCGTAGGCCTGGGGATAAACCTGCTTGAACCAGGGCGGAAAGGTGAAGGAGAAGAAAGGCAGCCTTTCCTCTTGCTTGCCCTGGAGCGTATTCCTAATGTCGGCGAACCTGGAAGGATAAAGAGGTGGTAACGAGAGGACAGCGCAGCGGAGGCGGGGCGAACGCGAACCTGTGGCCGTGATCGCTCATGACGATGAGAATGGTGTTGTTGAGGTGCCCGGAATCCTTCAATTGCTTCATCCAGCGGAGCAGGTCGTCGTCGGCCACGCCGATGTCATTGTAAGAGTCGTGGGACAGCTCGCCGTGAAAGCCAAAGATGAACTTGGGCTTATGCCTGTACTCGTCGAATATGGCCCGGATGTGGTCGAGCATGAGCTGAAAGGAGGAGGGGCAGAGTCAGAGAAAGAGAGAGAGAGAGAGAGAGAGAGCCGCTGGCGAGCGTGCGACCGACCGCGTGCCTGGGCAGGCCGCCCATGCAGAAGGGCTTGGAGTACTTGAAGTAGGGCGCGGCAGCGAGGTAGTAGGTGCGCATGTAGTGATCCGTGGGCTGGCGCTGGAAGCCCTTGAGGCGGTAGGTGAAGGTGCCGATGTGGGGCACGTCCTCCATGAAACCGGTCAAGTAGTTGGCGGCCTTGTAGTCCTTCCAGACCAGCGGGTAGACGTCCACGTAGCTGGCCTTGTCGGCCATGCGCTTGCGCGCGTCCGGCAGCTCGAGCTCGATCTTGCCCGTGAGGATGGGGATGAGGGCCTGGGGCGTACCGTCGCCCACGATGTTGTAGCCCTCGAGCACCAGGCCGCCTAGCGCCTGGCGCAGGAACGCATACGACCTGGGCAGCTTGCGCTCGAAGGTGTTGCGCGAGAGCGAGTCGAAGCCGAACATGAGCACGTTCAGGGGCAGCGCCGACCTGGGCAGCGCCGACCAGCTGGACTGGCGCCGCGGCGACGGCTCCTCCCTCACCGCAGCCAGCACGCCATGCCACCTGGCGAATGCACGAGCATCCAATTACGTAGGCGCTCGCACCCCGCCGCCTACTTGTACTCACTGCTTGCCGGTGCGCGACTCGCACTTCACGTCCGCATAGTCGCTCTGGCGCAACACGTACGACTGGTCGCTCTCCACGCTGCCGGCCAGCTCGCTGCTGAAGTCGTCCACCCGCAGGATCTCTGCGCAGACGAGCGCGAGAGTAGTGGCGCGCGAAGCCGTCGCACGACCCGGCACTTACCGCTGAACGCGCAGGTTATCGGCCCGAAGCGCTGCTTTGCCTTCTCGTCGACGTACAGCCGGGGACCGTCGGCCTTCACCCAGTCCTCCGGTGCGCACTGCAACGCTGGCACCTCGTGGATGAACTTCAGTATCTCGGAGTTGTTGATGTCCAGCTCGGGAAACTTGCAGGCGGGAACCCCGTTTCTGCGGTGCACGTGCGTCGCTCGATTAATCGCGGGACTACCGAGCCAAGCGGCTCGCCGCCACAACTCACCCAACGTAGCGCGCCTCTTGGTTGAAGCTCTTGATCGACTGCGAGATTCGCATGCTGAAAGAAGAGAGGCGCCGCGCGCGTCAGTCTCCCCGTAGTCCAGGCAATAGAACCCGAAAAAGAGCGTTTCGCGTACTTTTTCCGGAAAGCACGAAATTTTTACTGTGGATAGCTGACAATGAGTGTAATAACATATCTTCATCCAAAGTCTGAAATCGGTGCAGAACATTGTTAACCAGCCGTTTGAAAAAAAAAAATTGATCTACTTTCATGTTTTCGCGTAATATCTTTTTTATTAGCAGTTGAAACGAAAAATGGTCTGATCTCTATGATTAAATATTGAACGGTAATTATTAAACAATTGGCCTTTTTGTGTTAATAACTTTTTACCTAATTAACACGTATTAACGCGCGACACATGCTTTTGTAGGTCTTACCGAGACGAACAAAAAACCATTAGACCATTTTTCGATTCAACTACTAATAAAAAAGATATTACACGAAAACATGAAAATAGATCAAATTTTTTTTTTCAAACGGCTGGTTAACAATTTCTGATCCCGTTTTTGAGACTTTGGATGAAGATATGTTATTACATTCATTGTCAGCTATCCACAGTAAAAATGTTGTGCTTTCCGGAAAAAAGTACGCGAAAAATGCTCTATTGCCTGGACTACCGGCCGGCCGGCGTAGTAGAGGTACTTGCGTACTCACAGCTTGTCCAGATTCGAGTCGGCCGCCTCGTTGTAGCCGCCGTCCGACCTGAGCAGCTGGACGCCGCAGAAGACGACGAGCAGCAGGCCGCCGAGCAGCACGAGGCGCCTCAGGTACTGCGACGTCAAGCGCATTTTCATCTTGGTCTAGCGGGTCCGGCCTGCAGCTGCGAGCCAGCGACGCTCAGCCAGAGCTGCCACTCGTGATATCTTCGCATGTATTATGTTCGCCGAGTGTTTGCAGACCGACTAGACAGAAATCAACTGATTGTTACGTGCTCGCCTCGGTGCAGCGCGCCGTTTTGCCCGACGAACGTGCGTGAAATCGGGGCGGGGAGGGGAAGTGGGGGGGCAGCGCCGATAGTCGCGTCTGCAGAGCCGAAAATGTGCGTGCGGTGCTATTGTTTCATCAATAACAGCTGCACGAGCACGATCGTTAATTATGCCGAGCCGTTAACGTGCCTGCACTGCTGGACTTTACGTGGATTGATCACGTATGCACGTCCGCGAAAGGTAAATGAGCTCTGCTTCTATTATTGGATATCTGCACAGCACATTTCCGAGAGTTAATACGTTACTGCTGCAGTGCGCCTACAACCGCGCGAGCCCCCGATTACCGATAATAGCACGAGTATCACGGTCTATTCAAGATACATCTTCTCTTTGTCCACTTTCAAGGGTAAACCCATTACCCTTATTGTGTAACGTTATATTTAGTAACCGGGAAGGCGTATAGACAATCAATTTTGTTTCGTGACGCGTTGTTCTTTCTGTCATAACGATAAGCTAACGTGTAGTCTCATGCTACACGCTTAAAAAACCGGGTATTGACACCTATTTTTAGGCATTCAAAATCCGAGCTGCTTTCCGTTGTTAAGATATCTATTCTTAAGCTCTTATTTGAATTATCCTTTCTTCGATGTTTTATTGTCTTGTTAAATAAGTTAATTGTCTAAAGGCACTAATAAACTTTTGAAGAACAAATCAAGTATTACGTTATTATATAATTGTAAATACAATCTCAATAATATTAACGATAGATCCGTAAAAAAAGTTGAATTACGTCAATTACATAAAAACAAAGGTTTTCTCAAACATTGCATGATGAATATTGCATTACTAATTTTCTCAAATTCCCACAGTACTTCCATTATCTAAAGATTTTCGATTGTTAATTACAAAGCAGTCTGATAGTTTATCAACATTTAACCGTACAACGGAACTTTTTTCTTACATCTCAGTACAATCAATATCGAAATATAATTTAGCAGCGTAATACGAATTGTTGACCCTAAAGGGCTTCTAAAACTGTAGCGCTGCTGCATGGCATTCGGGTTTTCAAAGCTCTGCAATAGTCAGATGTTCAGCAAAAAGTATGGTAACAAATATGATTTCCGGCGTATGTTCACTCGCAGAATTCAAATTCAATGTCAGATTAACGCTATGATTTTTTGGTTTTCATTAAATTCAAAAAAAAAATTATAAAAAATCCATGATAATGAGGCTTTCGCTTTTATACATTTTGGCACATTTATTTGCTAAAAAAAGGATGTCGCAAGCAAACGCGACGAAGAGTCAAACTATTTTCGTATAGCAATATTACATAGCTTGAATAAAGAAATCGACTAGTAAGAGCGTGCACGTTGCACTTTAGCAAAAGCGCTGTTTCAACGTTGCAAGAGAAACACGGTTAAATGAACGCACTGTGACGGTCGATAATATTTCACGAAGGAAAGCAACTGGGATTTGGGTTGAAGTCGATTTCTGTCGCCGCTTTAGGTCTAATCAGTCGTCCTTCGAAGCCAAAGTGACGATTTGCACGTATAATGGAATGCCTGTGTAAGCGAACGTCGAGAACACCAATGAACAAGCACGTTGCATGACGTTTACAGTCGTCCAATCTCAAATTATTGCTTCGTTTTTCATCTGTTTGTCACGCACAAGTGTGTTTGCAAACAAACTTGACCACGAGCACCTCGGATCATCAGATCAATAAATTTTTCATTAAATAATAGTTACATGCTACTTACTACAGTAAAGACGCCGGTCAAATCGTTGAGTCATTGAGGAAAAATAAGGTAATACTAGTGTATAGTGGTCATACAATACGACGCTAAGAAGCCAGCCAGACAAACGTAAATAGAAATCATTAATATTCGAGAGGACGAAATTTCTTGGAATAATGAGTCGAAGTAGGTAAGCGAAGAAACACGACACGGCACGCGACACGGCTTCATCACTGCAACGTTGCAAGCACTCGGTAGTAAGGTTGTGTTGCTTATCTCAGCACTTTATTGCTCGAAATTCCTTGAATATGACGCTTTTTAGATTAGATTGTAACACGACGAGAAATATAAGTAGAATATAAATGGAAACCCGAAAACCGTCACGTAACAAAAAACATAAATACAAATCAATGTATTTATAAAAAATATACGCGTTGATATGCTTTTACCGAAAGGTCTAGTCGGAAAAGATAGTACAGTCGGCTTTTGAATGGTATGAGAAGTATAATACCCCTCCAGCAATTTTCAGCCCTCTATACCCACATGCGGACGCAGAATCGCAGCTTTGTGGAGCTGGTATGAGAGCATGGATGTATGAGTGAGCAATCCGTTACCGTATCGGAATAAAAATCAATGATTGGATAACAGTAGTATCAATAGCTTTGATAATTTATTATATCATATTGTGCAATGATTGTGAATATCATTATTGTGCTTTAATACTCTCTTCTTTTACAGTATTATGTAAAAGAATATATTAAAAAATATTTATATTAGATATATGTATAAAATTGTGATAACCTGATGTGATTCCTCCATAATTGATAGAATGATGCAAAGTATTATTATCCTGTCAATTCAATGTTCTTATGCAAATTTAATTTGTGGTTATATAGACTAACTGTAATGCTAATATATAGGATGACATATGTGTAAATATCATCTTTTCCAATTGTGATTCGTATTACCAATCCAATGTTCTAATAAAGTGAAATGATAAATATTTATTTCATATGTTACACCTGAATGAAACATTCCCAAAGCCAAATATATTGTATAATATATAATAATATATATGTAATAATATTAATACTAAATTCGGTTATTTGCATTGGTTGATATATCAAGAGAGAGAAAAAAATTTGCGCGCGAAATTTTGTACTAATTCTTTTTCTACTGAATCGATTACTGGTAACCATTTGTTCTTCAACTTCCGGTATGTTAACATCGGATATCTATTATCATTCCATATGTATTGTGCTATATCTCGTGTGTTACGCTTGATTAAACGTTGTGAAAGTCGAAAATACGATGTATGGTTATTCAGGTTAGTCACTATTTACATTGATTCAACTATTTTTTATTAACAAGCACTTATAAAAGTGAAAAGAATTTGCGCGCGAAAAAAATTACTCTTTTCGAGCTATGCATTTATTTTTTCCTGCTGAACCGATTTTCTACGATACCCATTCTGTTCAAGTTTCGAAAAGTTGATATTTCCAGTCGTTCACAATAGTTAATTTATATTGATCTGATTTATTTTTATGAGGTAGACATAACTATAATCTTTGCAATCATTAGAAACTCCAATAATGTCATTACGCAGCATTGAAATAGTGCAGCATTTATTAAGTGTAATACAAGTCATGGGAATATATTTTGTTTAATTTTAATAAATTAATTAATTGCAAATGACGGTGTCAAAAGTAATTTAATTAATAGTTCGAGTAGCTGTGAAATGTTTATATGATTGGGAAATAAGGTGAGCGTGTTTTTGCATAGAGGTTATTTTTCTTGTATCGCTAAATTAGGATAATATTTATGCAATATACGCGAATACAGTGTCAAAGTCATTTACTAAATCAAATCTAAGCATGCATATTTAAGTCACGGGCCTCGCGTCCCCGATTCGTCCCTGACTGACGCTAAGCGCTGGCTCGCAGCCTCAGTGTCATGGATCCTCTCCGTTCCTCATACCATTCAAAAGCAGATTTTACTATCTTATCCGGATAGACCTTTTACAATTATAGAATATATATGTGTAGAATATTTTATGCCAATTAATTTTTTGTTAATTTTTTGTAAAACGATATCAAATAATATATCGTTTCTGAAAGAAATAGTATTTTATCTTTCGTGTTCAATAGATAAACATAGAAATAAACGAAAATTTAAATTAGTATAGAATCGAATTGTGTAAAATCGGTATGCATACAAAATAAATCCAAACTAGAGTTAGAGCATTTTCTTTTTTTAGTTTAACAAACGGCAAACGGAACTGAGTTTCTTAATTCCATTATTTGGATTAAAAAAACATAAGAATGCCCTGCTTTTATTGCTGGTAATACTTTTAATTTTACTATTGAAAACAATAATGATAATTTGTATTTATAACACAATTTAATCTATTCCTATTGTACTTTAGTTTTCTTTGTGACAGTGATATTAAGCAACAATTAACTGCTTAACCACTGGTACGTGCGCGGTTCACAATCGGAAATGCAGAATATTTAAATTTAATGAAATGTTTTAATTTTTTATTTAATTTTATTTAAAAAAACTCCATTCTTAATTGATTTATCAATTTCTAGATATCGCTTCTATCCTGGTATAGATTCTAAAGTCGATTCTTTTTTCGAGAATCGCCTATCACTAGACTACTGGCTCTACGAATTACGGGTGAAACGACGGTACACGTAACTCGGTTATCGTTTGACCAAATGATTATAGTACTCCGCCCCAGCTGCGATCGCAATCGGACGAGTGAAAGCGTACGAAACGTAGAGATTGAGCGGACGAATAGCGCAACGCCATGCCTAAAGTGTGCAGGCAGCCTGTCAGATAGAGATGAGAGCATTAGCGGTGCTATGGAGCGGTCGATATTGCAATAGGTACTATATACAGCTGCTGCCGTGACGGAGGTTGTCGTACGCGACTTTCGAAGAAGGATAGCACCGAGGGATTAATCATTTCAAGAAAATTTATTGTAGTGATTTCAGATGATTTCAAAAATATTTCATAATAACTTTATTGGAAATTATTCAGCTTACAAAATAATCTTTCATACGATTTCAAGTTATTGCACTCGATGTTCTAAAGATATGAAATCGATTTCAACTCTGAAATATTAATATCAAAGAATTTTATATTTTCTGAATACTTGAAAAGGTGCAAAAACATATGAGAAAATATAATTAATGATGAATCATAGAAAAATGTTTTAATTCAACAATCATTATTATTTTACAAAAGCAATTTTTTATTTTATTGAACAATTAGAAACTTAATATTAATCTATAATTTTCGATCATCGTTGGGGAAATTGTGAACATATAACTTTTTATATCTGTATACCCATATATGTACAAACATTCATGGATACAGGAACAAGAACATTGGAATTTTTAATTTTTTTAATGTATACCACTGACAAAGTGTCTTTCTTATTTTTATTGATATTTGTAAAATCATTAGAGTATTCTAAATTTTTCCACGTAGATCCAGTAGAATATGCAAATGATATATAACTTAGTCCCTACATGATCTTAGTCTTGCATACATGTAAGTTTAATATTTAAAAAGGAATCATAATATTTCTTTCAACATTTTTCGTCTGATAACCTCTATTTGTTTCCTATCGCCTACTTTTAATAAACATGAGTAATCATCGGTGAAACCACCTAGTACAATATGATTCCTCGCGCCGAGCGCCAAGGCTTTTATATTCCGCGATGCAAACATTTTTTCTCCGGTGTGTAGTCGCTCATTGTGCAGCTGATGCTTAAAAAATTTTTCATTTCTGGCAAGGCCACATGAGGGTCTTTAGATGCCGAGAAAAATCGGTCGGTAAATGAGTCGTAGTCGTAACACTGTCGATACTCTTGAACCGGTTAGCACAAACGTGCAGTCAAAACCATGCCTTTGTCGCGTCAAAACAAAACTACCAACTTACGCTAACTTACGCCCCATGCGGTGAATGAAAGTTTTACTGGAGAATGAGTAACCCCTTTCCTGCCTTCTCCTAGTCTACTATTACACTAGGAGGAGCTGCTCGCGCGTATGGGACTCATTTACCGACCGATTGGTACTGTATGTAAAAACCCGAATACGGCCACCTGCAGTGAAAATAACTAATATCACTGAATATGATAGAATAAATGAACATTTTTCAGATTATGTGTAAAAATCATCAAAATTAGCAAATACATAACAGTCATCAGTAACAAAGTAATAAAATACGAGTCTGATAATATGAAGGTCTTGGATTCAAGTTTTGATCTTGATCAGGTCGGTTATTTTCTTTTATTTTTTTAATTTATCCTATTTAATTTATCTTTTATGGCTACAACACAGGTTATTTTATCCACAATATGCGTGTAATATTTATTTATTTAATTTAAAAAAACAGGGCGTATAGTGAATACAAAATGTGCACAAATTTCGTGAAAATTTTGTTTAAAATTTATACAAAACTTTTAAAAGGCTTGTACCAAACTTATACGAATTTGGAATACATTTTTTTGGAAAAAATGAGTACGAATATAGTAGTTATTCAAAATCATTTTAGTTGCAATATGCAGGAAGCTGTTATTTTATGCTTTAAAAACTATTTCCTATTTTAACTTTGTTAAATTGAACATACTGACTGATTGATTATTACCAATATATTTTTGGATTATTACTGACATGCAATAAATAACCATAGCTGACTTTGGAATAAATGAAATTTCCATAAATAACACTTTTGACTAAGTAAAAAATAGCATAAGAGATTTGCTAACAGTCTTAGTTCAGTTTTAACTATTTTATATTGTAATCTATGTTTATATTTATTTTATATTGTAAATAAATCTTAAAAAAAAAATAATTTAATAAATTTTCCATTTTTAAATTTAATTTCTATAGATTTCATTGTTTGAAAAATGCCATAGATGCTGAAAATTATTTTCAGATCGCTTACACAAATTAATTAAATATGTATTAAATAATGGCACAATAAAAAAAGATCCACAAAAAATTAAACAATTTCGAGTATCATATTCTACACTTCAACTATTAGCCTGACATATTTAATATATGATATTCATTTTTTTATGGAGATGTTAATCAGAAGTTATTAATGAATTGTTTAAGGTAATAAAAAGATATATTATATTCTTGGTGGACCTGTCATAATCAAGTTAATTAATTAGGAAATGATTTATTGATTATAATGAAAACAAAAATTTCTTTTATAATTATATCTAAAACGTTGTTATTATTATCAATGTACATTTCTGACAACTAATAATTTAAGTATTTCTTACAATAAATTGTTGATCGTAGCAATAAAGCAGTTATTTTTTTAGTGACACTATTATGAATTTTTGAATGTAAATTAGAATTCTAAATATTATAACTGCAAGTGACTGATTGAAGTTTATAAAAAAATATTTTACTAGAATGTAGTAAAAATAGTATAAATATCAATTAATCAGTAAATTAAGCTCTACAAAAGAATATCGCTAATAAATTATTAGTGTTATTGAAACTTACAAGTTTTATTTCTTAGCTTTTATGTGAATTGAATGAATCATAATCATTTTTATTTAATTAATTTTTTCTCTAAATGTTTTGATAAAATAATAAAAGTGCTTTCACTCTTATTATTTTATCAATAATAAATTCTACTTAAGCATACAGGGGATTTATTAGTTAATAGTAATTTTCTAAAAATCAAATGGATTTTCAAATTTCAAACCAACAATGTTCACTTGATGACAAGCCTGGCAAGAATATAATATATCTTTTCATTACCTTAAAAAATTCATTAATTACATTCGACTAACATCTCCATGAAAAAAATGAATATCATATATTGAATATGTCTAACTAATAGTTGAAGTGTAGAATTTACACATAAAATTTTTTAATTTTTTGTAGATCTTTTTGTTATTATGCTATTATTTAATACATATTTATTTTATTTGTATAAGTGACATGAAATTAATTTTCAGTATCCATGCCATTTTTAAATAGATTTCATTATTTTCAAAACTTTACGAATAATTTTAACCAAATAATGAGATTGATAGAAAGTGAATTTCAAAATAGGAAATTTATTGATTTTTTTTTAAATTTATCTAGCACAACATAATATAATAATAAAAAACAGTTAAAAAAGAATTGCGACTGTTTACAAAGTCTCATAAAACTTTTTACTTTGTTAAACTTTTTTAAGGATTTTATAAGGATAATATATATCAAGTGAAAAGCGAAAAGAAACTCGAGTTTGTATCCTGTTATGAGAAGAGGTGTGTAGGGAGTTTAACGGCACGCGCGATGGAAGAAAATTCGCCCGCATCGCACCTGTAGCTGATTGCGTAGAATCATCAGTTGATATACATTTTTCATACAGTTTAGTAGTTTTATGCGAACAAGAAAAAATAATACAAATAAATTCGTTAGTTAGAATATCCTTTGCTTATATATTCTAAATGGCAGCATCATTCTGCTGATTAAAATAAAACACCAATATCAAATGTAACGTAGTATAACTAAAAATCAATACTTACCTATTAACCTCGTCGTTAACGAATTAGGTGAATTGAATTCAGCTTCTTTATACGCAAATTTTGATTCAAACAGTAGGCGATACCTCGAAAAAATGCGTGCTCTTTGACGAAGAGCAAGAGTGAAATAAGCGTGTAGCTAAGTAGTATCTAATACTGTGCGACAAAACAAAATATCTATGTCATATGCACAGGCACCCTTACCCCGCACACATGACATATGTATGTATACATATGTAATATTATTTACATATTTTTTATCCTTGGACTCCATTCAGTGAATTCTCTGATTTCATCGATTTCACTAATGTTGTTTAAAAAGATGAAGAACATAACGATTTTAGATGATTTTAGATCAAGTTGAAATCGATTTCACAGACTGCTCACCACTGCCTGACTGATTTTATCAAGAAATAACCCCTCGCAGGCTATTAAAACTGACCTCAAACTGACAGTAATCAGGAAAGGGCTGCTCACTCGGCTCTCTGCACCCGATAATCCCACTAGTTCGCTGTCTGCTCTCATATCGTGTAACCAAATTACACTGATACTAAGTCGTCAACGCCAGAGACTTTTGTCTGCTCGTAACCTCCAAAGTCACGGAAACCTCCACGCACTTACAACGATCGACGAGTAACTGCTAGCGCCAGGACGAAATGAAACCGAAACTAGCAGTACTGGCACTACCAGCAGTGTTGTTGCCATTCTGCCGCCTGCTACTAATTCGTTACAACACCCTCCATCATAATGTTCAATAGTCTGTAAAACATGTGCTCGAGACGAAGATATTGTTTTTTAATCTTTAAAATTAATATAGTGTCATTTAGCACGATTCGCACGGTTTTTTTCTTATATTTTTCTATTATTTAATACATTATTTCAACCTTTTAAACGTCAACTTAGAGATTCTAATCTGATTCTAATGGGTACGAATGAGGCATGCTATTTAAAATACAGGAGACAAATATAGATATTTATTTTGAGGTTATTTCATTTCTATCCATTCTTTAAAAACTAATTTATACTATACCTCGTGACCATCATTCAGCAAACCAGATCACTAATAAACTACATGCAATTTCATTCATCTCTTTTGTAGGAAAAAAATCACTACGAAGTCCCCCTCCCCTCCTCATTTTTAAGGGAAATAAGTAACGAAAAAGGGAAAACGGCATTAGTTGCTCTATTTATCCCTGATATCAGTGCTAATTTTCCTTTTTCGATTTCTTCCTGCGAAATACATGAAAATTTCGACGGCATGCTCGCAATCTGACGTCAGAATGCGGATACACTTGGAAGTCATAGACGCGCATTCTGACGGCAGAATGCCGCCACAGTGCTATCTGGGTTCCCTACTCCCAAAATTCTCAACTGGAGGTCCCGCGTATTTAAAAGGAGATTGTTGTGTATGGTTCGCTTGTATAAAGAGAATTATTGATATGTTGAAGCGAAAAAATGGAGGGATATTTCTTAGATGATCAATTTTTTGATAGTTTTTGTTGGAAATCAAAATGTATTTTTGTTTGTTTGAAAAAAATTATAACCTCAAAATTTTTTAAATGCGTAACTTGAAACGACGAAATTGTTACGAATTTTTCAAAATCTAATATATATTTATGGTACATTGTTTATAAATATCCCAAAAATAAGAATATGTATATCAATTTTGAGATATATTTATTAGAAAAAACCATAGAATCGATTTAGTGAATTGGCGTTACACCGCGACAACAATTTGTATTAACTTTTCCGTCAACATCACTTTAACCACGTACCTTAACTATTATTTTAAGAGAGTTATCGCTTTGTAATTTCAGAAGCTTTATTTTGTCAAAGTTTCATAAAATTTTGATCGTTGGATCTATCTCACTTTTACATAAATAAAATGAAGATTTTTCTTTTGATAGGAAAATACATTGAAAATAATATTTTCATACTTTCTAATTTATAAATGTGAAAGATCCAACAATCAGAATTTCACAAAATTTTGATAAAACGAAGCTCCTGGAATTATAAAGCGATTATCGTATTAAAAATAATAGTTAAATAATAGTTAAATACGTGGTTCAAGCGTTGTTAACGAAAATGTTAATAAAATCGGTGCCGCGATGCAACGCCAATCTACTAAATCGATCCTATAAATTTGTTAAATTAATAAAATATTAATTCAACTTACAATCGATAAGACTATTCTCTAATAATTCTATAACACTAAACTTTATATACTCAATAGTTATAGCATACGCCATAAAAGTATGGAACGCCAATATCAGTGTCTACCAATGTGGGTGCTTAGTGGATGTCGTTTGGTTGAGAGAATTCCGAGAGCATGTGTAAGTAATAGATTTTCGATACTCCGTGCGCAAAGTGCGTCTTTCCCGTACGCTCGGCAGAAAACGTGCGTTGAAAATCGCACTTTCCACACGTCGTATCAAAAAGTACTTTTCCACCCTCGCTTCGCTCATTTGTTGCCTCATCGAAAACACTCATGAATATTCTTCAAGTTTTACGGGTTCACTATTCTGATAATTAGTGTCTGTTACTCGTATACTTCTTAATTTACAATGTACAACAGATAAAAATGTATTTTTCTTTATTTTATTCTATTCATTATCTTTCTCTTTCTATTAAATCTTAACACAATAATACTAATTTCAATATCACAGATGGATATAAAATTAACGATTTGTACCAATAATTTCCAAAACATAACGTCTTCTGAATTATGAAAGACATATTGCCATTCTTGCAGATTATTATCCATATTAATTATTCATAAATTGAATTTACTGATGAAATATAAATCTTTCACTCCTATGTATATATATATATAATAAAAATATTTCAAAGTATACAAAAATCTAAAATTTCGCGCTCTATTTTAGCATCAACCAATCATCATTTTTTGAATATAGGAAGCTATTGCTCTACGATTTAATAATTATAGGGCCGATTGCACACTTTCTTATTCTCCCATGGTGGATCATTATCCGAATGGCTTGTGCACAAGATTGCTATAGATATTTATATCTTTAGCAGCTGCTATTTTCAACACTCACAGACATACGTAGGTACGGAAAGTTTCAGCACACTTGATAAATGAACATTTGATTTAATGGCCGTAGCTTGCAAGCCGTACAATTTATTAATGGAGCCGGAACAGAGGCACGTTCGTAGCAATCGCACATGCGATCAGTAAAATTACAAACGCGTAAATTTGGCAGGTTCTAATAGGTGACTAAGCGGCAAGTAGGCTTGCTTGGCGATCAAGTCCGAAAAGGAATCAATCGAGCGGCGAACGGCTACAGGCTTGCAGCTGGCTGTTGAGAGCTTGCAGCTGGTCGAGACGGTCGTTGCAGGCGCCGAGGAAGACGTTGAGCTTGTCGGGCTGTACCGGGCAGTAGACGGGCGCATCGTCCCAGAGCAGGTCGAAGCCGCCGACGCGGGTCTCGCGACCGGTGAGCTTGCGCTCGAGGTCTAGCACGTTGAGCACGTCGTCGACGAGGTCGAATTTCAGCCGGAAGTCGTGGGCGTCGGTTGCGTTGAGCGACGGCGAGGCGTTCACCTCGAGCAGCCAGGGCCGCAGAGCCTTGTCCAGCAGCACGTCGTAGCCGTAGAGCTCGAACGAGTTTTGGCAGGCCACCACCGAGCGCTGCACCGCCGCCAGGCTGGCCATTATCATACCTGCGCTTTCGAATCGTCCGCGTTAGTGGCCTCGCCCACCCACAGAACTCGCGCGCGACCACCTGCCGCTCGCCCAGCCCTCGTCTCGCGTCCCGATATTCATAGTTCAGTCGAGTGCACGACGTAGTCTAGGTTTCTATCAATAAATTTATCACGATGGAAGTCTCCAACGTTCGTCAATTCTAGTCGCTAGATTTATAAATAAGACCGCGTTGCAATTCACTAGGAAAAGCGTAAAAATTCGTTGAATCTGAGTAAAATGCCCAGTGGGCAGTGAAGAGACGTCAGCAGCAAGAGGCCTCGACGGCCACTCGTTTGGACCGGATCTGCCGGCCGGTGGTCGCGCAGACGACGGTGCAGCTCCAAACGTGCGTCTGCTCGTCCTTGACGTCGTCCAGCCAGTACAAATACTCGTGGCTCCTGAAGAGCTCGCCATCCCTGTACCAGGAGAACATCGGCCGACAGGCGTAGTCGCAGCTGGGCACGAAGCCGATGCCGAATTGGCGGTCGCAGTGTCCTTGCAGCTGGTCCACGTCGCGAAGGACGGCGTGCTCGCGGCGCGACTCTGGGAACTCGATGGATCTGGCGCCGCTGTCGTCAACGGCTAGCTGCAGAAGCACTCGGCCGCTCTTGACGATTCTCGAGATGGAGAAGCCGTGCTCGAACGGCTCGAAATGCTCGATGGACGGGCAGGCGCCGCCGCTGTCTTCGAACAGCCGGCCGTGCAGCTCGGCTTTCTCGCACTCCATGTAGGACAGCTCGTTGGTGTAGGCGGATTGGCGCACGTACAGGTAGAGCACGCGCACGTCGTTCGCGATCCTGGGTCGGAGCCCGCTGCTGCGGGTGCTGATCGTTCGGCGCTCGCTCCGCGCTTCCTCGTGCTCCTCCTCTGCCGGCGACGTCAGCATGAACAAATCCAGCTGGTACAGCCTTTTGCCTCTGTCCTTGCAGTACTCCCATATGTCGCACACTTGGCCGTCTCTTCGCTTGAAATCCGAAATCGGCTGGCCGCCGAAACCGCCCAGGTTCACCACGAACTCCTCCTCTATCGCGCGATTATTCCCGCTGTTGCTCGAAGCCTCGAAGGCCTCCATGGCTAGTCGTCTTATCTGGCCGGCCGAGTAGCGGGCGGTCGCGTCTAACTGCAGCTTCCTCACGCCGCCGCGAGGCTTTGCCACTCTGCGATACTTGGCGCGGCCTCCGGCAGCCTTCTCGAGCCATCCTATGCGCAGAGTCTTTTCGACGTTTCTCACTTTCACGGCTCGGCCCTGCGTAACAGCAAATACGTACTATAATATTCGCCGAGCGTGTAATGCACACAAGTCGTCGATATTTTTTACGGAACCTCTGATTCGTTGACGTGCGACGCGTTTTCTTTGTCGGCACCTCCAATGATTTGCAGCGCCAATGTTTTTCCAATGTGACTAGCTGCAAAAGCAATATTTGGCGCGAGGACGAGCTCACGATAAGATCTGAAGAAATCGAGCGACACATACCTTCGTTCTCATTGACCGTGGCTTTTGCGCTGACTTCCTTGCGATCGAGCATCGAGCTGCTCGGAATTTCCGAAGAGCTTGAAAGCAAATCCCCATCGCCGTTGACAGCAGTAGCTATATTATTATGGTTATCGCGATTATCGGCGACCTCCGTCATCTAATGCAGCACAATCAAAAGTAATTGTTAAATTATTTATTTGTTTTAGACTGAAACGGGCTGAAAGGCCTTGCGTGCGAAATTGGTGACGGTCAACGACGCGCGACGTAAAAATTGAGTACCAGGATACAACAAGAAAAAACGAAGAGACGTATGCAGCGTTTGCCGCTTAAATGACCATTTTTGTCGGCATCACTGTTATATTCGAAAGCTACTGCAGAGCAGCTAACAGTTGATCGCAGCGAGGAAGCGCAGCCTCGCTTTCCAAGTTGGCAACAATTCAACGGCGGTCCTACAAACGTTATAAAAACGCGAATGGGAATTCAAATGACGACGAGTACAATGTCATCGGTGATCCAGGGAGGCTGCTATTCGATCAAACTTTTGAGCGAAATGCTTAAACTATTAAAATCGGACAGTCGTCGTATCTTACCTCTGGCCAGCAATTAGACGCTCACCGCAAATTGCACTTCACTCCCAACTACGCGCACGTTGCTCTGCGCGAGAGCTGCCATATTCGAGCTAACAACTCGGCACTATCTGGTAACTTGGCGATCACTTTCACTCGATAAAATCATAACAAGAGGTCGACACTCGCCCGCGTACGCGTATGGCGATCGGCAATGCAGAAATTCCTCGCGTGGTTAAATTCAAAATATTGGCGCTATGTCAGAGAGGCGTAAGCGAAAGGGTGCACCAGTAGAGCAGTAGCGGAACAAGTCGTTCGGTGGTGCGCGCGCGAGAGCGGCATTCGGAAGACAGTCGAAAGGGGGCCCATTGTCTCCGCATACGCACCGGCAATGTTGTGCAGAAGGTCGTCGACGACGGCGGGTCCGTGGCGCTCCGTCAAGTACTGCCTGAGGCAGCTGAGCGGCCACTTGCTGCCGAGCCTGGCCGGCGGCGCAGTTCGCTCGCAGTCGCGGTCCGCGCTGGGCCGCGCTGGGCGCCTAGCGGGCCTGCCGTCGGCGGCCTTCAGCTGGATGGCCATGTTGGTGAGGTGGACGCGGCTGTCGTCGATGCGCGCGAGGGAGAACTGCTCGCCCGAGAGCCGCGCGAAGCCCTCGCGAGCCAGCCAGACCTTGAGCGGCTGGAACGAGGTGACCAGCACGTAGATTCGCAGGTCGAACTTGCAACCTGCAGGCGTGCGGGCGCAGCTGTCAGGCGGCTCGAGCGCGCGTCCGCGGGCGTACGCACCTGCGAGCAGGTAGGGCTCGTCGATGTACTTCTGCACGATGTAGACGTCCGGGGCCGCGAGGCCCTCGCCGTCCGAGTTGGAGTCGGCGCTGGGCGCCGGGTACTCCCTGGAGCGCCACTCCGCCAGGTCCCTGAGCCTTCGGAACAGAAAGATGCCTCTGCCCTGGAAGCGCGGGCGAACGGCCAGTGGGCGGCGGCTCGCGGCGTCGAGCGAGTACCTGTGAGCCGGCGGCGGGCTTGACGATCCAGGTGGCGCCCTGGCACCTGCGGTACTCCTCGACCAGCATGCGGTACTCGCTGGGCAGCTCGAAGCTCACGGGCATGATGTCGCAGAGCGCGGCCTCGCGGCTCTTGCCGGCCTTGAGCAGCAGCCGCTTGTAGCGGCGTAGGTTGCGGTACAGCAGGTTCTTGCGCGTCAGCTCTCCGTGGTTCAGGAAGTGGGCCACGCGCTGCTGGGCGCGCAGCCGCTGCAGGTTGTGCAGCGCCAGCTTCACCTCGCTGCAGTCGCACCACCACAGATCCCAGCGCCTGTCCTTCGGGTCGTAGATCTGCGGGCCTCCGTGCAGCTTCATTCTCGGCGACGCCTGGTCGGCCGCCTAGCTCTAGTGTCACTCACTCTCGTCCAGCCTCTCGACTCCAGCACTCTCAACGGCGTTGACGAGTAGTCGCAACGAAACTTTATCGTCTTCTCGCCGCTTCGCTTTCTCCTCGCGCGTTTCCCCGGCTGCTTGTCCATGCTCTACTATTCGCTACCTCGCATTACCTCGCGTTCTCACGTGCTAAGGTTATGTCTATCTGTCGATGACATCCTCGCAAACGGCAATGAAGCGCCAAAATATTCAGACGGGTATCGACCGCGAATCGTTGGCCAGACAAATGAAAATGTCCGAATATCAACCCATACTATCTGTGTAGCACGGACAGCGAGCTATTCACGCGAACAAGTCAGTCCATTGTTGATCCGAGGGATTCTCGAAAAAATTCTCGCTATCAGGTTCAACCGCTTCATCATTCTCATTGACCAGTCAAACGCGAACAACAACTTTGTTCTAGAGTTACAGTCGCAAATGACGCAATTCTCGTCCAATGCCAATTCAAGAAGTCCAGCTTACTTATACAATAAGTTTAAGACCAAAAGTTGTACTTGTTAAGAAAATAAAGATATACTTATTACAATCATCGGCGGCTTAAAATCTATTGTTATACGTAACTTATTACGCGACCAAATAATTTATTTGAATAAACTAAAGAACAGCTCAAGCGAAGTCCATTCGGCACATGGTGAACTTTCAATTTTTAAGAGGACATATTCTTTGCAAATTTTTAATTTTTATAGAAATTTATTTGAAACATCAAGCAGGCCCCAGCAAACTTAAGTAACAGATAAATATGCAGCGCACGCAATCGACCCATTCGAAGAGCCTTGAAAGAATAATTGAATAGGACGACGTTCCAACCAGAAATTATATTAAAATTGTACTTAACTATGCGTGGAAGTGATACAGAACAGGAGGAGGATTTGACGAACGAGTTTTGCGCCGCGCAGCTTGAACGGCAAGAAAAGGGCAGCGACACTATGCGATCGAGTGAGGTTACAAGCCTAACATTTGTTCCTGCTTTTGGGTATAAAGCAGATTTTCGTATTTTTGATGTGAGACATGCGCTGTCTGTATAGCGAGTAAACGGTGACTCCCAGAATAGTGCACAGGATGATAGCTCTGAAGCACAGCAGCTTGCGCGCTTCCCACTCCTGATTGGAAGTCCACATCAAGAACTCGACCACATCCTTGGCCATCTGCGACTTGGTCGCGGGAGTGCCGTCCTCGTAATCCACCAAGCCGTCCTGCAGGATCTGGAGAAGAGCGCGCCGATGAGAAAATCGCGGGGGTGTGGGGGTGGGCGCGGTGGCGAACCTCGCCCATGCCGAGGGCGCCGCCGTCGAAGTAGACGTTGTAGGCCTGTCCCTCGCGCAGCTCGACGCCGGCGGGCGGCTCGGTGTAGCCGGTGAGCAGACCGAAGACGTAGTCGGGGCCGTGATGGCGCGCGTTCACCACGTAGCTGAGGTCCACGGGCAGCGCGCCCTCGTTGGCCGCGCGGGCCGCCTCCTCGTTGGGGTACGGCTCGGGCACGCTGTCCTGCAGCTTGCCGCTGCGCGTGAAGTACTCGCCCGCCTGGTCCGGGCCGTCGCGCACCTGCTGCTCGGCGGCGGCCTCGCGCGCCTCCCCCTCTGTCAGGCAGACGCCCACCAGTTGCCGGTAGCACACGTAACGGAGGCTGTGACACCCCGAGCAGACGGCCTTGTAGACCTGCCAGCCGCGTCGCACGGCCGAGTGGTCGAGCGACGACAGGGCTCCACGGAAACTCCACAGCTGCTCCGGCGGCCGAACCGCCACGTGGGCCGCCTCCAAAGGCGCACTGCAATGCAACGGCGGCCGCTCGTTTAGCGCAGCGCTAGCTTGGGCCGCGACGTCGGGCTGCGCACCTCTCGAGAGCGTAGACGACCGCAGCGGCGGCGCCGCTCGCTAGCGCGCCGACCAGCAGACCGAGGCCGTCACGTCCCAGCACCAGAGCGTCCCGCAGGCCTCGGCGTCGCCACATCCTCTCGCTGCGCTTCTTTGCTGCTCGCTTGGCGAGACTGACGCGCCCACGGGCTGCTCGCCGCGGACAGAAGACGATCAGCCCTCTGGCATGCCTGCGCTACGCCTTTCCTTGCTCTGTGGCCAATCCGTCGTGCGAACAACCCTCGGTTTAGTCTTTCCTTTCTTTGGCTGACTCCAATTGCGCACAAGGCTTCACAGTTTGAATAATACGCACTACCAACTATCCCAACGAACAGTATGCTATAGCATTATAAGCATTACAGCCATTTTCTCACGACCAATTCGGCCAACCTTTACTCTTCATGTCTACCGACCATATCATAACCTATCACATTTTTTAATATACAATTTTACAAGTTTCTACATTATTACAATGTAGAATTAACAACAATCAACAAATTCTATTTGTTAGATTTATTTTATAAAAATATGCTTGTTTTTAACTTTGAAACTATTGTTTTATTCTAATATGCACAAAAACAGAAATGCCCGCCAAAGACCTGCCGGTAATTTCAATTATTTGTTTTCTAGACACTCGCCATAACATAAATATTACTTATGTTTTTTACAGGAAATCTCTTGTCAATGTCGATTCTTGGCATCATTGCCGCCTCCTTTTGTTTCCTAAATTCTTATACCGGTGATTTTGTATTTGATGATTCAGAAGCAATTGTTAACAATCATGATGTTCAAAACAGTCCACCATATAAAATATTCCAAAATGACTTTTGGGGAACTTATCTATCCAATAACAAAAGTCATAAGTCCTACAGACCACTTACAATACTATCCTTCAGGTCTATAATTCTTACAGTCAGATTAAATTCATTAATGTTTTCTTTAAACTTAAACTTCAAAGTTAAAGTTGAACAAATATTTTCTTTACTATTTTTTTAGGTTTCACTACTGGATGAGAGGAAGATTAGATCCAAAAGATTTCCACATTGTCAATATTATTTTGCATACGTTAGTATGTGTTATATTACTATTTGTTTTTGAAATTTTATTAGATTGGAAGGAACCCCAAATAGCATATAACGCCGCAATGCTTTTCTCTGTACATCCTATTCACACTGAAGCAGTCTGTACAAGACACAATAATTAATGGTTCTATCAAGATTCTACTGATTATTATTTGCAATATATCTTTTAGGTATCTGGGATAGTGGGCAGAGCTGATGTTTTAAGTGGATTATTCATGTGGTTATCCCTAATTTCATATTACAAGTGTACTTCTTCTACCTCTCTATTTACACAACTGATTGGTATGTTTTTATGCATTATTAACAGTGCTATTGCAATGTTATGTAAGGAAACTGGAATAACTATTTTGGTATAAAATTGTTTGTTACTGAGTTTTTTTTATAAAATTAAATTTTTACTACTTATTCGTTTATTTATTACAGGGAGTCTGTATTATCTATGATATTGTTATTGTCAATAAGATACTGCCTTTTGAAGTATTTAATATATTAAGACTGAAATATACTTATAATGAAATGAAAACTCTTATAATCTCAAAAACTGCTCTTCTGATGCGATGTGTACTATTAACGATTGTTTGTATTTCATTTTTACTACTACGATTTTATATAATGGGCTTTTCTAAACCAGTTTTTAAGCCTATAGATAATCCAACGTCATTTCTTGAAAATGTGTTCCTTAGAATTATAAACTATAATTATATTTATTGTTTGAACCTATGGTTGTTGATTTGTCCTGAATGGCTGTGCTTTGACTGGTCAATGGGCTGTGTACCTTTAATTCATGGAATAGATTTTAGAATAATTTTCATTATATGTTTATGGGTTCTTTTTGGATTATTGATTTTAATTCTCTTATCTGAAAAGGACTATATTCTATCAAGGTACATACTTATTTCTAAAACTTTGAAATTTAATATATTTTACATTTGCATTAGAAATTATGTTTATTTACAGAATTATCACGATAAGCATGGGTTTGTTAGTGATACCATTTTTACCAGCTAGTAATATATTTTTTACAGTTGGTTTTGTATTGGCAGAAAGGACATTGTACATTCCCTCAGCTGGTTATTGTTTATTAGTAGCTGTAGGATATAAATTGCTCTCAATATGCATGAAAAACTCAAAAGTTTTATCTATGTTATATTGTATTTTATTGATCACATTCTTTGCACGTTCTTGGTCTCGAAGTGAGCAGTGGAAAACAGAGATAACTCTATTTCAGTCAGGACTTAATGTGTGCCCACTGAATGCAAAAGTTCACTATAATGTAGGCAAAAATGCTGCAGACAGGGGTAATACTCAATTTGCAAAACTAGAATATCAAGAAGCTTTAAGGTAATTAGATTAAATGAATAGAATTTAAGAAATATCACATATATATATAACAACTACAGTTTCTCTAATTTTTAATATTTGCAAGATTGAATCCCAATTATACCCAAGCAATGAATAACTTAGGGAATCTATACAAAGATGAAAAAGCTTATGATTTAGCTGAAAAAGTTTTAAAACAGGCTGTTAACATTCAGTAAGTTATATAATTATTGCTTTGAATTTAGTAATATAGAATGAATAACATTAATATTTTTCAACTTAGAAATGACTTTGCTGCAGCATGGATGAATTTAGGAGTGGTTTTAACAGCACAAAAAAAATACAAAGAAGCTGAAGAATGTTTCATTACAGCTATTTCTCATAGAAATAAATACCCAGACTGCTATTATAACTTGGGTCTTCTAGTATGAATATTTCAATTTCTCAAGTAAAATCTTTATACAATTATTATTCATGAGCTATATGTTCAATGTATTTTACAGTATTTAGCTATAAAAGAAAATGATAAAGCTCTAAAAGCATGGAAAATTGCAACTAAACAGAAACCAAAACATAAGCAGGCTTGGACAAATATGATTTTATTGCTAGATAACATAGGAGAACGAGAAAAAGCTTTAAAAGTATCTAACCAAGCACTATTTCAACTCCCAGAAGATCCATCAATAAACTTTAATACAGGAAATTTATTGGGAAAAATGGATCAGTTTAAAATGGCTGAATATCATTTCAAAAAAGCTATTAATGAAGATCCAAAAAACCCTAATTTTTATACTAATTTAGGTAACTATAAAAAATTACTCTTATATTCATTATAAACTTTACTTCAATAAACATTATTTACATCAAGTACAAAAATATCTGTTAAAGGTGTACTATATCATCGATGGAATAGGTTTGATAAAGCTGAAGAAGCTTACAGGAAAGCTTTAAAACTCAATCCTGAGTCTACTATAATCAATGAAAATTTAAATAAACTAAATAACATAAAATTAAAGAGATCAAATGCAACTTAAAAATTAAAAAGTCTTGTTATAATTGTCAACGATTCATTAACAGTCATTCTTCAAATCTTCAGTAGATGCACAACTATCGGCTGATGCTTCTGTTAATACTGTATTTTCAGAATTTTCTTGAGTATCATACATTCTGTCATAATCATTTAGTTGTGGTTGTAATAAATCTACGTCATATGGGTATGGATAAGCTTTAAAAGAGCCAATTTTTTTTCCTTTGACATAGTTGTAAGATTTGAAACAAGAATCACAAAACAAACATGGATTGTGTGGTAATCTATTGTTACTTGTTGTGACCCATGCCACACTATATATACCACAAGTCATACAATAGCGATTAGGTCTTGGTTTAATTCTCACTATTTTAGGATAGCATTCAGAATTCAACTCATCTGATGCATTTACAAACCTAAATAAATTAAAGAACTAAAGTCATTCATACTCTTTTTAAAATTGTAGACATAAAAAATATTAAGAAAAATAGTAATTTTACATTTTGATTTGCCTGTTTTATCTGATAAATTTATTTATCTGTGTATTTTATTTATTATTAAATAGCCATAAATATATCAAAATTTAACGACTTTTTGTTCGACTGTACAAAGTATCACCAATTTGTAAAATTTAGTTTTGAATTTATAGAAAAGTACGATAATTTTCTATTGAAATTTGAAGTACATACCTGACATCGCTAAAAGTAATTAAATGTTCACAGTCTCCTTGGTGCTGATATACCCAAGGATACCCAAATCTCATAGCAATACTAGCAACTGTAGTTTCTTCCATTTTTGCAGTTTTATAAGGACCCAGATTTCGTGTTTGAGCCCATTCTATAATAACTTTACTATTATCTTTGTTCAAAGGATCACGAAAATCATTGTAAAATGTATCTTCGATAAAAAAAAATCCTGATTTATACACATCCTACAAGAAAAATAAAAATGTCATTCATTATGAGAATATGTATCATTTTCAATCAACTTAACAAAAGTTAAAGAAATGCATTAGTTTTATAATAATATAAAAAAAGTTTACTTTTGCATTTTTGGTTTTACTTCTAATTGGTATTTCACTTGCTTCTGTTGAGATGGCATAATCTGATGGGCAGATTATTTGATCTCTCAACTTGTCTAATGTTTGAGATCCATGCATAACTATAACAAAATTAAGTGACAACTTTCCTAGAGCCCCAACACTTTGCTTGTATCTACTTGTGAAAGGCACATAAACTCGAATAAAAACTAAAATATCTGATTCAGGAACCAAAACAGGACTAGCTCTTTGAAGTGGAACTGGATCGTATCTCTAAATGTTGAAGAATGTGATTAGTTGTTATAATTTGTACAATATCTATTTTTTGTAATATTATTTAATTCAAAATTGTAATACTTACAATTGGTTTTTCACTTCTATATTTCAAGTGTACTTGATGAGATTTTAATTGATTTCTCTGTTTAGAATATTTTACAGTTTCTAATTGAACATTATCTACAATTGATGGATCATAAGGATCTTTGCAAAATTCAAATGTGGATTTATTCATCTTTTCTAATTCACCATCCACAGTTAGTTTATCAATATTACAATAATATGCTAGCAAATCGAATTTTTCTTCATCTATTTCATTGCCTAACAATTTTATAATTTCTGCTTTATTATCTTTCTCGTAATGCTTGTGAAAACTAGATCTATCAATTATTTTTTTATATTCTCCAAAATGAGATGCAATATTAATTTTTGCAGATCCTCTATAACATTGATCATACATACTTTGATATTCCTTCTCACTGATATCCATTTTGATAGTATTTTACTGCAATTTTAATTTTTACTCAATTTCAATGCTTAACATCACATATCATTGCCATTGAAATAGAAATAAAAAAAATTACGTTACTCTAGGTTAGAATTTAATCCATAAAAACTATAACTTCGACACTTCATCAATAAGTCTTTAAGCTCACTTAATCACTACGCTCCTATTTATTTTGAATTTCAATGTGACTTTAATTCTATGATTCTAAAAATTTATATTTTTCTTTCTCCACTGCCAAAATTTCATTCAATTTGAAATTCAATGAGTAGAATATCAAAGTAGCAAGAATGACGGCAATGCGATCGTAAATTTGAAAAATAATTAACATTGTGCTTTTCTACAAAGCTGTCAAGTTTTATCTGAAAAAGTGATAATATTGTATATATTGTACTACTGAAGGTTATATTTTGATACACTATTGTCACATAACACATGTGTATGCACATATACATAAGGTATGTTATCAAGTATGTGGTACATAGATATATCTTCGAGCATAACTATATACTGGGACGATAGCTTACGAGCAACCGCGTACGTTACCAAGCATAAAACTCGAGAGACACAGAGCTCCACACCAAGGCATATACGTGTGCTACTTATCTTTAACTGCGCTTTGATTCATTGCTCGCTATCCTCCCTAATAAGAGAGATTAACAAATGTATAAAGCATTAACTTTATTTTTCGACCTTATGGAGAGAATCTATATCTCTGTAATCAATAACTATCCACCAACAATATAAATAAAACGATACAATCAAACAATTCAATTACAAATAAATCCTTGGGCAACAACTGAAATAAAAGTTTAATAAAACTGTAAACATAAAATATTGTTATGAAAATTAATTCTTTATTGTAATATACATAACAGTTGTAATAATGTATATTTTATAATATAATACTTTTTATGTATCATTATGTATTTAAAATTGATTTATTGTATTGATTTTAAAATAATGTTAATTTTTTTCGTAGCTTGTCTTCTTTAACGTTAATAATGATTTATCCTAATTTAAAAGTATTATTCCTATATTTAATTAATTTTGGTCCAATTTAATAATTAACTAATAATTAATATACTACTGGAGGTAGAGCCCTTAGACAGACGCGCGCGTTACCGCAGGAGTGACCCAGATGTAGAGAGGGACAGCTGCTAAATTCCATGCGCGTATACCAATTACGTTAATCTTACATCTATTATAATATTTTCTCTTCGAAGGGCCAAGGGATTCTGCATTGTTTCTAGTTACATGCCACACTTCCACTTTTACCTTGCCTACATGCTTCTCCTAAGTGTGCTCCTAAATTTTCAGTTGGTCTCTTTAACATACATACAATACTCATATAATTATATATTGTTTCGATACATATGATTTGTACATGGTTAATTAACTCGTTTTATGCAGTCTTTGCATGATATGTGGTAACTTGCTGGTGGGCATGCCATCAGTAACTTAACTTATAGGTTCGCGAGTCTCCATGGCTACAAAGCTCTTGCGGCGAATTACACATATATGGCTGCGCAGCAGTTGCGCAGTACTTCGTCTCCTGTATACAGTCTCCATGCGCCAGAGCTAAAATATTAAACAAGACAAGAGCCTGCGCTGTTGAATGTGGCAGACGCCGCTTCATGCGCAGCTGTTTCGATCTATGAATACAAATAAATATCGTTGATGTCATAGTTGTTAATTTTTTATAAAAATCTTACAAAATGGTTGTGGGATCTATTGAAATCCCGTTACGGGACACCGATGAGGTAGGTTTATTGCAAAATAATTTGTGTTTCCGATTCAGTAGTCAATAGTGAAATTATAACCTTAACATTCATACATATTTTTATATTTTTACATAATCTGCATTAAAATAAATGCAGATATGATAAATATCACATTATTTTTGAACGTAACAATAATTTATTATTGATAAATATTTATATTTTATAAAAACAAGCTTATCATCAACTTTAAAAAAAGGATTCTTTATTATGCTGAATTTAGCCATTTTGCGTATAAATATTTGTATTCTAAGGCTAGCTGATTGATTACATATGCCTTTACATAACTAATATTCTTTTCCTTTTTAAACTTGCATAGGTGATAGAGTTGTGTTTAGACCAATTACCTGATGGAGATGAAGTCCTTGGAATATTACGCCAAGAACATGCTCAACTTCATATTTGGGTTAATCTTGCTGTATGTTACTTATTTTCAATATTATTTAATTAGTTATATTCAGCAATAAGTTGATAATCTTTTATTTGAATGTTAATATTTTAGCTGGAGTATTATAAGCAACACAAAATTGAAGATTTTATCAAAATTCTTGAATCATCTCGTACAGATGCCAACAATGACTATCGTGACTATGAAAAGGATCAAATGCGAGCTTTGGATATGCTTGCTGCCTACTATGTCCAAGAGGCTAACCGTGAAAAGAATAAGGATAAGAAGAGGGATTTGTTCACAAAAGCTACACTTTTGTATACTACAGCTGACAAAATTATTATGTATGATCAGGTAAAGTATATCAACAAATATTTTTACATCATCTCCACTGACACTTGTAATTAATGATATTATATTTTTTTAGAATCACTTGCTTGGAAGAGCATATTTTTGTTTGCTTGAAGGAGATAAAATGGAGCAAGCTGATGCTCAATTTAATTTTGTTCTCAACCAGTCTCCTAACAATATACCCTCTTTACTTGGTAAAGCCTGCATTGCTTTTAATAAAAAAGATTACAGAGGTGCTCTTACATTCTACAGAAAAGCTCTAAGGACTAATCCAAACTGTCCTGCTGGAATGAGAGTAGGCATGGGTCATTGTTTTATGAAGTTGAATAATCAGGATAAAGCACGCATGGCTTATGAAAGAGCTTTACATCTTGACAATAAGTGTGTTGGAGCATTAGTTGGTCTAGCAATATTGAAATTAAATGAACAAAATCCTGACAGTATAAGAGCTGGTGTACAAATGTTATCCAAAGCTTACACGATTGATTCCACGAATCCAATGGTATTAAATCATTTGGCTAATCATTTCTTTTTTAAAAAAGATTATAACAAGGTTCAGCACTTAGCATTGCATGCCTTTCACAACACTGAAAATGAATCAATGAGAGCAGAGAGCTGTTATCAACTGGCTAGATCTTTTCATGTCCAGGTATGTTTCTGCACATTCACTCTCTTTTTATCCTTTTCTGTAATAAAATCATAGATTTATTAAGACTGTCATAAAAAATGCTATTGTTGAACCTCTAGCAAGACTATGATCAAGCCTTTCAATACTACTACCAAGCAACGCAATTCGCATCGCCTTCTTTTGTCCTACCGCACTATGGTTTAGGCCAAATGTATATGTACAGAGGAGACAATGAAAATGTAATGATTATTGATTTAAGATAACTTTAGAAAGTAATATGTGTGCCTTATTAATGATTTCTTTTTTCGGGTATTTAGGCAGCGCAATGTTTTGAAAAAGTATTAAAAGTCCAACCAGACAATTATGAAACTATGAAAATTCTTGGTTCATTGTACGCAAACTCAAGCTCTCAGTCAAAAAGGGACATCGCGAAAAATCATCTTCGAAAAGTTACAGAACATTATCCAGATGATGTTGAGGCCTGGATAGAACTTGCTCAAATCTTGGAGCAGAGCGATTTACAAGCCTCATTAAGTGCTTATGGAACGGCTACTCGAATATTACAAGAAAAAGTTCAAGCAGATATACCTCCCGAAATTCTAAATAATGTTGGCGCTTTACAATACAGATTAGCAAACCTTGAAGAATCACGCATAAAAATGATGGAATCGTTGGAAAGATCAAAAGCTGATGCGGAGCATGATCCAAATTACTATAATTCAATCGCTGTTACAACAACTTACAATCTAGCTCGAGTTTACGAAGCACACTGCATGTTTGATAAAGCTGAAAAGTTGTATAAAGATGTTTTAAAGGAACATCCGAATTACATAGACTGCTATTTACGATTGGGTTGCATGGCTCGTGATAAAGGACAGATTTATGAAGCATCAGATTGGTTCAAAGATGCATTACGAATTGACAATGAGCATCCAGATGCTTGGTCACTTTTGGGTAACCTTCATTTGGCAAAACAGGAATGGCAACCTGGTCAGAAGAAATTTGAAAGAATTCTTAAGAATTCTTCGACCAATAATGACGCCTATTCACTTATTGCACTTGGTAATATATGGCTACAGACATTGCATCAGAGTAATAAAGATAAAAAGCGAGAAAAAAGGCATCAAGATAATGCACTAGCCATGTATAAGCAGGTTAGTGATTCTTCTTACAAAACAATTTCTTAACAATTTATCTTTCATTCATTTATTATTATGACGTCTTACAGGTTTTGAGAACTGATCCAAAAAATATTTGGGCAGCTAATGGCATTGGCTGTATATTATCTCATAAAGGTTACATCAATGAAGCTCGTGATATTTTTGCTCAAGTAAGGGAAGCAACAGCCGAGTTTCCCGATGTATGGCTAAACATAGCCCATATTTACGTAGAACAAAAACAATACATCAGTGCCATTCAAATGGTATAGCAGTTAATTTTTTTAAAATAAAATACTTTAGTCAAATATACTAATATGTTGATAACTGTATATTGCAGTATGAAAATTGCTTGAAAAAGTTCTACAGTTACCACCACGTAGAAATTCTTGTGTATTTATCAAGAGCCTATTTGAAAGCTGGAAAATTGAAGGAAGCTAAATTGACATTATTGAAGGTATTACATTGATTTCAACAGAATTAAACTCCTTTTCAATGACTCAAATAATATTGCATACATTTCAGGCTCGCCGAGTGGCTCCGCAAGATCCATTGTTACTGTACAACATTGCGTTAGTACTTCAGCATTTAGCTACAATGGTGTTAAAAGACGAAAAATCAACGCTTTCGACGGTGCTTCAAGCAGTACACGAATTAGGGTTGTCGCACAAATACTTCCAATATCTAGCGAGCCACGGAGAAAGGCTTGTACAGCCAGCTGAAACCGAGTCGAGGCGCTGTCAAGATTTGCTGTCTCAGGCACAGTATCATGTCGCTAGAGCTAGAAGACTCGACGAGGAAGAGAAAATGCTCAGAAAGAAACAAGAAGAAGAAAGGTGCTTTACTGAAACTAACTGCAATTACTCTAGATCACAAATTTTTTATGTATAATTACATTTGTTTCATTTATACAGGCAAGCCTTTAAAATGCGTCAGACCGAGGAGCTTCGTAAACTGGAAGAGTTACGAAAGCAACGAGAAGAGGAGATACTACAGAAGCGTCAAGAATATGTGGAAAAAACGAAAGGTGCGCTAGTGTTCGGCGAAATGCCTGACGAAAAAACCGGAAAGAAGGGAAAGAAAGGTAAATCCCGCCAAGAGGGCGAAATCGCCACCGACAGCGACGACTCGGATGCTGTTAATGAAGCAGGTCCAGTCGACGGTGAAGAGAAAAAACACAAAAAGAAAAAGTCCAGTGGCGAGGGTAAAGAAAGAAAATCCCGTAGTAAGGGCAAGCGCAAGAGGGATCTGAATGAGAGCGATGGTAAGAAAGACAAGTTTTTAAAATGCGCTAACTTATGTTTAAACATTTATTGATGCAACATTAAATGCACATTGTCATCTCAGGATCGGGCAGTGATAGGCCTAAGGTTAAACGAGGAAAGAAAAGTGGTGCTAAAAAAGAGAAAGCTAAGAAAGCTGTCAAAGAGCTCACAGTACCCAAATCACGTATCATATCGAAAGAAACAATTTCAACCGACGAATCAGACAGTGACAATGAGCGTGCGAAACTCAGGAGCGGGTAAGTTCATCAAACGTTCGTTAGCTATAAACTCGTTTCTAATTAATGGAACTTGGACTTATAAGAACGTTTTTTTCATTTTAGAGACGAGAGTGACTCAGGAGCTCCCAAAGGCAAACGACGCATCGCTTCAGACTCTGAAGGATCGCGCGCTTCGCGTTCACGTTCACATTCAGCTTCACGTTCAGGTTCAGGCTCGCGGTCACAATCACGATCGCGCTCACGTTCCCGCTCCAGATCTGGTTCCGGCTCTCGCTCACGCTCAGGTTCTGGCTCGAGATCGAGGTCAGTGTCTAGATCGAGAAGTAGAACTGGTTCAAGATCAAGGTCCGGGTCGAAATCTGGCTCGGCTAGGAGCGGCTCTGGTTCCCGAGCATTCTCGAGATCGAGATCGCGCTCCAGGTCAGGCTCAAGATCGAAGTCGAGGTCGAGGTCGCGTTCTAAGTCTGGCTCTCGTTCGCGATCGAGGTCCAAATCCCAATCGAGATCAAGATCACGTTCAAGATCTAAATCAAAGTCAAGATCAGTGTCGAGGTCGAGATCTCAGTCCAGATCTAAATCCAGATCTAAATCCAGATCAAAATCCAGATCTAAATCAAGATCAAAATCCAGATCTAAATCAAGATCAAAATCCAGATCGAAATCCAGATCGAAATCTAGATCGAAATCCAGATCGAAATCCAGATCGAAATCCAGATCGAAATCCAGATCGAAATCCAGATCGAAATCCAGATCGAAATCCAGATCGAAATCTAGATCCAAGTCTAGCTCCAAATCAAAGTCGCCTTCAAGGTCCAAATCACGTTCCAGGTCAGCCTCTAAATCCAAGTCTCGATCACGGTAAGCTTTCACCTTTTCTTTCAAAGCTATAGGCAGTTCACAAACGATCTTATATCTAAGTTGACTCATGCTTGGACCATTTAAAAATGTATTGATTTGTTTCAGATCCGGATCAAGAAGTGGTTGAATTTCTAGATATGTCATTTAATAAATCTTTATGTAAACATTTAGAGTAAATAAAATCATTATGCAGAAAATCAATTTAGTTATATTAGTTACTATCAAGAATTAAACATACATTTGATTGTAATGTTAAAATTAAGGATTATCGTAGTTCAGTTGATAACAATATCTCGAGAAAATAAAATAACGAATCTTATTGTATTTGCCATCGAATGTCGTTGTTTTACAATTCATTTAATGATGGGATCGAAGTTATTGAAAGAGGTTATAAAGAATTATATAATTTCATTCTATCATCGATTATTATTATTATCTATACGTGATATTGGTGTAGAACAGTAATTTGTACTGTACATAAATTATATATAATACATATTATTTAAGTACGAAATTGTTACTACCGTCTTGTCTATATAATAATCTTGTATGATTATAGTTTCATGTTTTTATTACGTATACAAGAAATCACAAAAAGTTTGATCGTTGATTTTTACTACGCAATGACAGTATAGATTAATAACAAATTATACAATTGAATAAAAATGAATATCCAAACAAATACTCTATGAGTGCCTTGAAACTTTGAACTGTTTTTTGAGATATAATTTTAGGACAATCAAATAAAATATTTGCATACAGTTGTAATAAAAGATCAGTCAAAGAATGCATATTAATAATTGTTATTGGAGTACTCATTCTAATCAAAGTTGCCCGCATGCGATTCTGAATTATAGCAGCCGAAGAGTGCTTATATCAGTAAATATTTCTAATACGTTGTTGGAGTGCAATTACCGTTATAAAACTGAAGACATCTCATTTTTGAACTGCTATTAAAAACAGTGAAATCACAGAAAAACGTTCTGTATGCTTTTTTAATACGTCGATTCCTTAAAAAATATGTTCAATTTTATTGGCGATACGTATAAATTATACAGGATAAATACGTATAAATTTGAAAAATTTACAAATATCATTTAATACTTGTCAGTCTTTACATTTTGTATGCAATACAATAATCTTTTGAGAATATTTTTATATTTTTAGACATAATTTAAATACCTTTTTATTCAATTATTTTTAATTCTGCCCCACGTTATTTGTTTTTAAATTAATGTTGTTGCGCTTAAAACAGCAACTAGCAAATTCCTACATATCTTACGTAACTATTTTCTATTTCAATTGTAGTGCGTACGTGATCAATTTGGCAAAATTGGACTATTACACCTAGTAAAAAAGATTCTCTGTTACGAATCTTCAGAGCAAGCTTTGTATAATTATAATATACGACTATTCTATAGTAAATAATCATAGAATAGTATTCGCGCATATCACAGAAACAAAGAGAAAGTGTTGATTTGTTGACAACAATGTTCTGTCTACGACGACGACACAGAAAAGCTGTTCGGGATTTACACGAATAAATGGAGTTTATTAGCAGTATTTCAACGAAAAATAGACGTAGCTTGAATTGGACCAAGCGCTGAGCAGACTTCGCTACATTCGCTGAGTGGATTTTTCGGTGCGGAAACAGCCATGTCTTGTTTAACGACCAACACATATTAGTTTTGATAAAAACTCGAGTGCGCACTACATTGACAACTTGGACAGCTACTCGTTCGCTATCTACATGCTAGCTATGCTAATAATTTATCACAAATGTAATCGATTGGTTCCGAATCGCCGAAGAGTCCACGAGAATGAAAGCAAATAGAACGACAGCTACTCCGGTAAGAAGTAAGTCTCTTGCACGTAGGCCGACCGATCCGAGATTGGCTGAGTATTCCTTTGGCACGTTGACCGACAGCTCGGCTGACAGTGCATTTGATGCCTGAGCGAGCGAGCTTTGGTTGGCGCGGCGACGACTCGCGCGAAAATATACAAGTGGTGCGCGGCCGACGACGCGGACAGGATGGAGGCCGATCGGCACGGCGGGGCGCCTATGTACAGAGGGGGGAGCAGCGCGCGGCTCAGGCGTAGAAGCGGTCGCGGTCGCTCATCCTCTACCTGGGCGATCAGGCGGAGCGCAGCGTGGCGCTGGGGCAGCCGGGCTCGCGCGCGCCCGAGCCGGAGGGCGAGCCGGCCGCCGCGAGGCGCGCCTGCGAGCGGCTGGGCTTCAGGTTGGCCTGGCTGCCGTAGAACGAGGTGAAGGCCGTGTCCGAGCTGACGCTGAGCGGCAGCGAGCTGCCGTCGCAGCCCAGGCTGGAGGGGCCGCGCGCGTGGTCCAGGGTGCCGCCGGCGCCGCTCATGCCCGAGCTCGTCGCCAGCTCCGCGTCCGCGCCGCCGTCCAGCTGCTGCTGCTGCTGCTGCTGCATGTGCCTTAAAATCACGTCGCTTCGGTTAGGCGCGCGTAGCCGAGCTCGGCGCTGGCCGGGGCCGCGCGGTCCGCCGGGGGCTACCTGTAGTCGGCCGCCGTGGGCTCGTGCTGTTGCTGCTGCTGCTGCTGCTGCTGGTGGTGGTGCGGCTGGTGATGCTGATGCTGGCGCCGCGAGCCCGACGACATCGGCGTGCGCTTGATGGCGTAGATGTAGATGCCCGTCATGGTCAGCATGTACGACAGGAAGTACAGCGTGTGAAACTGCAACACGTTTCCGTTTCGCGAGCTGCTCTCGACCACGTGAATTACGCTCCCCTTGGCCCGTCTCCGAACGATCGAGCGATTGAGCGTGCGCCAATCTCATCCCACACGAAAAATATCGCGCGAGAAAGAGGTGTCATTTGGCGCCCTCCCTCTCCTCAGAAATCATCGGCAACTGTGCGTCGAGCCGCGTCCCAGTTGATCCTCGCAGTGCTTCCGAGCTTTTTTACCGAAATGACTTTGTTCAGTTGTGTTGTGCAACTGGCACGAGCTTAAAAGACCCGATCACCTCGAACGGTCTGTAAAGCTTGGAAACTAGAAAAAAGTACGGCAGCAGTAACAATGCCCATAGAGAAGAGCAGATGGAACAAAGTTGAACGTTGCATTCGCGGCTGACTAAAGAGAGACTCGAGCTTACACCGAGAACAAACAATACGCCTGTGGAAATCAATCCGCGTGGTCTATACGGAGCAGCTTTCGTTATAAAATCACATGGGAACAGTTATAGGCTGTTTTTTGGACTAAATAATACCTTGTATTTGTGCAGCAACATGCCGAAAAGTATGTTGAAAATGTCGGCTGTAAGCAAGGTCAGTTGGAGCGCTGTTGCACCTGTTTCGTACAAAACCACTGGAACGAGGGAGTAAAACACAAACTGCGTTATACAGTAGACTACCAAGAACGTCATGAGCAGAACGTTGTCGAATGGGAAGCTCTCGATCTGCACTTTCTCCAAAACGGCGCTGCAAAGAAAAGAAATTCTCAGCAAAGAAACGCACGGGGGTCCGTCGTTGAGAACTCGGGAACAGACATTTGCGAGCCGCAGAGTATCGTTCCGAAAAAGCCCATCATTCCCAGATATTCGATGATGTCGATCGACTTGACAGCCAGCTCTTGCAAGACGGTGATGATCGAAAACAAGACGGCCCCGCCAAGACAGAGCATGTCACCCACCAGTTGATTTTTGCCTAGAACAGTGTCGACAGTGTGAGCGAACGCGGCTTCCGCGCCCGGAGCCCGCGAATCGGAGGAGACGCTGACCAGCGGAGGCGGGATCCTTGTTGTCCTCGATGCCGGCCCACACGAGGCAGCCGACCCCCATCAGGCAGACGGACACGCCGACGATGTGCACCATGCGGTAGCGCACCCCGAGCACCAGACAGGAGAGCGCCAGCGCCACCGGTATGGCCACGCAGTCCAGCAACTGAAACGAGAGCGGCGCCGGTGAGGAGAGGCGGCGGCCGGAGCCGCGAGCGCGGCCTGCAACCTGAATGCTGGCCAGGCTGGTGAACTGATGCGAGGCCGTGATCAGCGTGTTGGCCTCCACGTCGATGAGGGCGAGCAGCAGGTAGCGCCAGCCGCGCGCGCGCATCACCGAGAACAGGCCGTTGCCCGCGCCCCGGCACGACATCCAGCTCGTGTAGACCAGCAGCATCATCGCGTAGTGGGCCAGGTTCTGGCCTGCGCGCATCCACAGAGGTACGTACACGCCCGGTCACGAGTGGCCGCCCCTCTCGCCCAGCCGCGCTCCTCACTCACCTGTCGGCAGGTTGATGCGGTACGAGGTGTTGATGTGGTGGTTCAGCAGCGTCATCAGGCACAGCACCAGCGACAAGAACTGACCCATGATTATCGCCCGCCAGACCGCCCTGCAAGCAGTCAGCCGCGTCAGCCAGCTCGACTCGCGCCAGTCGCGCGCCGCTCGCGCTCCGTGCGCGGTGCGGGTCCGCGGCGCCTCCGGGGCAATTCTACGCCGGGCGTCGATGCCGCAGCCCTGCCGCCGGCGCCGAGCAGCGGAGGCCGAGGCCGGGCGCGCGACTCGCGGCGGGGGAGGGGGCCAACGCACCAGTGCCCCAGCTCGGAGATGTAGTTCTCGACGTTGCTGCAGAGGCCCGTCTTGGGCGGCCGGCCGGCCGCGAGCGCGGCCTGGGCGGCGTGGTGCGCCGGCTGGTGCGAGTGCAGGTGGTGATGGGGGTGGTGCTGGTAGTGGTGATGCGGCTGCGGCTGCTGCTGCTGCTGGTAGTGGCCGAAGCGGACGGCCGACGGGCCGCCGGGTACTCCCGCGCCGTGCATGGCTCTGCCAGTGCCACTCCCTGCGGCGGCGGCGCTCGCGCTCGCTCTCGCTCTCGGCCTGCGCTGCTCGCTGCGCGCCCGGCCGACCCCACGGGCTCGACTCGACTGAGCGCCGCGCGCCCCGCGCCCCGCGCCTCGCCTCGCGCCCCTTGACCCGCGCGCCGCCGCCGCCGCCGCCGCTCCCGACCCTCTCGGCCAGCCAATGCGGCTCTCTCGCAGCGAGCGCCCGGCGCCGTTCTGCGCCTCGATCGCCGCCTTCTCGCCCTCGAGCACGAACACCCGCGCTGAATACCATTTGGTCGGACGCGCGTGCAAACACTCTCGCCAACTACTCGTCGTTCAAATGCCAAAGCTCTGACTCTTTCAATTTTACTTGTGATTTCGTTGATCCGTGTATTGTGCCGCAAGTAGTAACTGATTACGCTGGACCCCTGCAGATTCTACCCAAAGAAATTCTAGAAAAGAGAAATATTCTGCGTGACCGGACAATTTAATGAAAAATTCGCGTAGAATTTTTTCGCGACATAAAAATAAAAAATTGTGTCAGGGCTCGGGGGTTCGTGCCTTTGCAGAAACTACTCTGAGAGAACCTTGAAAAGAGCTTGTTGTTAAAACTCTGTTTGACCCTGCTCCGCGTTCCGCCACTGAATAGTCGCTTTAGAAATGCGTAGTACCACTTGCTGCTTCTCGTAGCACGGGAAGCATGTGTGTGTTTAACCTTATTCCATTTTGCTGCCTCCACAAAAGCGAATTGCTTTTCCAAAGTGCAAGCTTCGATCCATTGAAATTTTATCCAGCAACCGTCACATTTTTCAATTGTTCCATTTATTTTATTGTTTTCCTACACACTACACGCTCAAAGCTTGCGTACGTAATGCAGACAGCTAACGTCCAACCGTGATGCACGTATTATGTATATTTAGCAATAGGTTTCACTAATCAAATGAATCTCATAACAATAACAGTTAAAGCTGAAAATTATTTTAGTCTTCAGCCATAAGATTTTATTATTCTTTGTTATTAAAATAAATGTTTCACAAGTTCGTGTACTAATTTTTATGTTCTTTTAAAAACTATGGCCCAGTAAATTTAGATTAACTTGATATCACGTAATCACATTACTGATATTCATTTTTTAATTTCTTTGCGGATAATATTTGAATTTAATATGAATGAAGACGGGTTAGGTTTAACTAATAAGGAACCCTTGTGAGTTGTCCGCCTCCAATTTTAATCTGACTGTAATATATTGTAGAACTTAAAAAATAAGAGACACGTATTTTTTTGATCGGCGAAGAAGAATTTTAGGGGGTGAAAACAACCCTTAAAATCAGCCCTGAAAAAAAACTTTTCTTAATATTTATAAAACAAATTTGAATATTGATAGAATTTCAACGCCAAATTGTTTGTTATAAAATGGCAGTTCTATGATAATTGTTTGTACTCTATAAGGTTACAACTCCTTTTTTTTTTTAAGTAAAAATATTGTTTTTTCTATAATTTTTCGAGTACTAGCTTTTCTAAATCGCTTAAATTAAATAAAAATGATTACCGTTTTATAAAAAATAATTTGACATTGCAATTATATTAATGTTCAAATTTTTTTGAGAGATATCAAGAAAAGTTTTTTTGTCAGGGCTGCATTTTTAAAGATTGTTTTCACCACCTAAAAACAATTCTCCGCCAGTAAAAAAAAATACGTATCTCTTTTTTTTGTGTGTTCTACAATATATTACAGTTACATTAAAATCAGAGGTGGATACCTCGCAAGTGTTCCTTTTCAGTAAAGTGAGTAACACAAGAAACCTTCTAGTCTATTCATTTTATGACCTGAAAAATTCTGCATAGCCTGTTGAATATTGAAAATTTTAATTCATGTAAAACATTCGCACCTCTATTCTACGTATCTATATAACTAATTATTTAAAAAAGACTTGATATGATCATGAATTAAGACAGTAAACTAGGATAAGTAGAGTCTATTTTGCCGTCACAAATGACGTTTATCAATAAATCGTATTATGAACATTTTCAATTACTTTTATAAAAAAATTTTTCTATATATCAAATGTATTTTTTCTTTTGGTTTCTTGCATCGTGAACTACATTCTTTCATTGTAGCAAATCTAAAATTAAGACCAATTTTTCATTCGTAAGATGTTAAAATCTTAAAAAGTTCAAGTTAGTATTAATGATAATAAAATGGCTTTTGCAGAAGTTCAATCCCGCTGAAACTTCTAATCTGCCGAGCTTGCTGCTCGAGCCTAACTGGCTTTGATCCTTTGAAATTACTTCACCTACATCCCAGCGTTTGTAATTTCTTGAATCAAAAGCTCAATCGCTTCGTACTTTTGTAAAAGCCCACTTTGTAACAAGATTTTTCTTGTTACAGTTAACTTACCATGAGCCTTAGGTAATTCTGGCGTTTCTTTGCGTATACATATTCGCCAACAATTTCTCAAATTAATTATCATTAATATAACGAAGTTAAACTTAGTTTTGTAAGTTCGAGTGATTAAATGTTATATTATAATAACATTTGACATATGGATGGATATACATGCGTAACTATAGACTATATGCTACGTTTTTACTTCAACTATTAAATTTATATCCATATGCTATCTTTGGACAATTAACATAAATCGTATTGCCTAGATCAAACTAGTTATCCATTTCCTATTGTATGTAAGAAAAGCCAAACTTTGGGAGAGTTCAGTTCTATAGAAACTTTGAGACAATGTTTATTTTTAGAAATAAAAATATTCGTATTTGAAGGATTTGTCACATTGGCCGTTAATCAGGACGTCAAGATCTGTATATGTTTTTACTTCAGTCAAAAACTTACTAATTACTTCAGACAACTTCAGTAAACATTTTGAAAATTATTGAGAATTTTTTAAAACATATGAAAATTGATTTCAATTCATGTTTTTAGCTGGAACTATCGATTAAATCCACCTAGACAGATAATTGTTTTGAAAGTTAAGAAAGAATGTGAAATAAAATATTATATGTTATAAAATTCATAACAGGAAAAAGTAACCGCAAAAACAAGCCATTTTTCGCCTGCCTGGCAGCTCTTGAAATCTAACTTCAAATCTATGTTAAATGATAGTTTATGATGAAACTTTAATCTCCTGAAAATTTCAGATTGAGGATGCATTCGGTTCTCGAAATATCGAGGGTCAAAGTTGTCAATTTTACATGAGCTCGAAATCCAATGTTACTTTGCTTATATCAATCCATTGTTTTAAAAGATTTATTAAGCATTAGGAATTCATATGTCTTTATTTTTTAAAAGTAAATTCATTTTAAATATCATCTTTTCATCTTCAGAAATTATTAAAAAATCTTTCAAAGTATAAACAATTTAATACTGATTTGCGATATTTCGGCTATGAGTAGTGTAATACAAATCATATTAGACTTTTAAAATTTTTAAACTTCTTCTACATTGACTTACACTGAATAACCTTCAGAAAATGATAATAATGCGAAAAATTCCGCTGCATGTAATAAATCGCAAACGATAACCGAATTGTGAACCCATGCAAAATTGACAACTTTGAGTATCGATATCTCAAGAACCAAATGGTGTTTCAATTTAAAATTTTCAGGAGATGAAAGTCTCGTCATAAACTATTATTTAGCATAGATTTGAAGTTAGATTTTAAGGGCTGTTAAAAGGCAAAAATTGCGGTCACTCTTTATGCTTTACTTATTAAAGAATCTCTAAAATTAATTGTTTTCAAATATAAACTTACGACCTTAGCAATTATTCAACTTGTACTTGAACAGTAATTTATTTATACAATAATTGCCCTTTTTATCTTTGACGAAATAGCAAATTTACTCACTTTGATTGTTCAGACGTACAAAAGTAAAATACTGCCTATTTGTGGATTGAATTGGAACGTACCGGAAATACATTATGTTCAAATACAAATTAATCATTACGAATGATTTATTATTTTTGCATTGAATATAATACATGCAATTTGAACGAAAGGCCTTTATTGATAAGATATTGAAACTGTCTCTCCATTACTTGAAAAACTACATGATTACTGAATACCTTGACCTAGACATCAAACATTATCTTACACATTTGCGCAGAATAAAAACGACAATTTCACCGTATCCTTGACTACTCATGAGCAATATGTTTTATTGAATTTTCAATAAAAAAAGCATTGTACTGATTTAGATATCTGATTTTATAAAAATGATATAAAAATCTCCAAGTTATATTACATAAAGGATTTTTCTACACGAAGAAAATAAGCTGTACAATTAACAGGAACAAACAAATAAATTTATCGAATCAGATACACTTTTAGTATTATAATCCTTTTTGAAATAAAAATGTCATTAACAAGTCAAATTAGTCAAGATATATCAGATTTGGTTTTACTATTTATGTTACCATTGAGAGTATGAATTAATAAATTAAATTTATCTAGTATAACATTTTATAAGTTGGAATGGTTTGTCATAAAAATTTGAAGTGGAAATGATATTTATTTCAGTGCTAATTCATGAAGTGACCCGTGATCATAAGGGAAAACATGTACTTTTCCAGCAAGTTTTAATATTTTTGCTCATTGTCGTTATCAAAATTAAAAAAATTTTTTTTTAAATTGAAGGCAGATTGATGGTATCTATTACGAAATTTCATTGAATGTAGCTTGATTTGTAATCGATGAATCATTCAATGAAAAGCTTATCGCAACAAACGACTAAATGTTGATTATGTTGGCGGACTTCAACACTTGATAAAACATTTCGAAAAACGTCACAATATCATAACAATGAGTCGACTTATGCTATATAAAGACTCCTATGTAAGTATTTTGAACATCGATCCGCTAGTAGGAGTCAGTATGAATAACATAATCAAAAATGTCATTTTTACGTGCATTTTTGTCGGTAAAGTTGATATTACAATTAAATTATAAGCCATAGTCAAAGCGCAAATGACAATAATATATAATTGCGATGTTTTATCGCGAATCTCGTTGTGATCTATTCATATAAAAATGTATTTAGGCATATGTAGTGCGGAGGATTCACAAAGGATAATCGGCGGCGATGCGGCTACCATTCAAAACTACCCATACCAAATTTCGATGAGATGGACCTATGGCCTGGGGCAAGGTATTCACTTTTGCGGTGGATCCATAGTCAGTAGGCAGCACATTATCACGGCAGCTCACTGCGTCGACAAAAAGCGCAGCCCCGAAATCATGAGAAACATCAAAGTTTTCGCCGGCACAAGTCGATCGGACGTCGGCGGCAAAGCCTACGGCATCAGCAGCATTACCTTGCACCCCGGCTACACGGGAGCCAGCAACTTCTATCTCAACGACATTGCCATCGTGACGGTGGGTTGCAATGCTCGCGCGGCCGAAGCCTGCACACCACAGCCGCTCACCTCCGCTTGCGTTTGCAGCTAAGTCAACCGATGCAATTCAACGCTAACCAGCAGCCAATCATACTGCCTACCAAAGACGTGGAAAGCGGTACTGCGGCGACGATCACTGGCTGGGGCGACACACGCCATCCCAACGGCCAGACGCCCATCCACTTGCAGAAAGCCACCATGAAATTGCTCGATAGTAGTCAGTGCCAGAGTCAGCTGCCTTACCCGCTTTCAAATACTCAAGTCTGCGCCGTTGCCAGACCTGGACTTGGCGTCTGTTCCGTAAGCCATATTTCTTTCGATATTCACTCTCCTTCGACATACTTGTGACATAACATCAATTCACGCTGTTTCCAGGGTGACAGCGGTGGCCCATTGGCCGCTAATGGACAACTCGTTGGCGTTGCTTCTTACGTGGTCGAGTGTGGCAAAGGCCATCCAGAAGTATATACCAACGTATATTCTTTCGTCGACTTTATCCAACGAAACATCGACTAAACGCCGTCATCTATCTTAACGACTGTTTCTTCTTTCGCGAACCAATTCTAACACAAATAAATTTATTTGCCCACAACAAATTATTCCACACGTTTACCTCACGTAATTATTTATTGAATGAATCGCACGTTGAAGATATTATATCTTGAGCTATCTGTTATCAAATAAAAAAAAATAATTACTTAAGATGAAATCAATAAATCAATGTGATTTTATACGTTATTTCAAGTTTTACTTCTTGCTAAGGTGTAGCTGTTTGGTAATCGGATTCAAGTGATTTGGAAAAATTAATAACAGCGAGTTGTGATTGTCAGCGACATTATGTATCGGCATTTTCTTCGTTCCCCTCCCTTCGGAAGGAAGAATGTTTTCTTATGTTTCCGGGCTCTTACAAAGCTCAATGCGAAAGTTCAAATATTATTTCAATAAGATGTATAATGCAGGGCAAACTGTGAAAACGAATTATTACATTAATTGTCCAATTACTTATTTGGTCGATTTCAAAGCTTAAACGCGCATGAATAAGCCCAAAAATTGATCTTCCAACTCTTTTGACATGGTACCTCAACCAAAAATGAATGGTATCGGCTTTATTCATAAAAGATTTAAAAAACGTTATTTCACGCGCGACCATGAAATCATGTTAGCCTTTTTGAATGTTCACGTGCGTAAAATAGTGGTTTTAAAATTAATCTCGAGATAGGATATGAAAAAGTTCTCTTATGAAATATAAGAAACGTAACAGTTTCTAATGCTTTTATCTTTCGAATAAAATTTACAGTATTTCGATCAAAAAGATGAAAATATATCGAGGCGCAGGCAACTCGACTCTCACAAGTCATATTTAGGCGATTCTTAGCTATTTCAATCGGCCTAGAGACATTAGTCAATCAATTTTTTTAAACTTTATACACTTATGATATATATAGAGCTAAACATTTTCCAAATTTTTATGAAAAAATATTAATTTAGTAAAAAGTTATTACAATTTTTTTTAATTGAAAAAAATTTTCTATTGGTCATATCTTAAAAACTTATAATGATAGTAGCGAGGACTAGTTTTTTCCAAAATGCGCGGAAAATCTCGAACTTTGATATTGTCTAACAAAGAAATAAAAATTTTTTTTCCAAAAGTTATTAAATTTATCATATTTTTGGTGCTAATATCTCAAAACCTAGTATTTTTTTCGAATAAATCTGCCGCCGTCGGATTCCTAAAGATTCCTTTCATAAAAATCACACGTAAAATTTAACTGGCCGATTATAGCTTAAGCGTGACAATAAAAGGAAAGAGGCCGGCTGCCAGGGCAACGCGGCACTGAGTTTAAGGTACACGTTTCACAGGTAAGTACAGCTTAATGACTGTACAGTTCTCTACTAAGGGTTGAAAAATGTCTCATCAGTATAGATGGCATATTAATGATTACAATTTATGACGTTGGCGAACAATATTTTAGATCAGCTGTGGACGATTCTCACCTGTACTAGTTTAGTATTCTTTGTGTGTTCTTGTGTTACTTTTTAATTTGATTGAATTAATAATTAATAAGTATATACCAAGAGTTGCAAAATAAAAATAAAATCGGGACTAAATTGTGTTTCTCCTAAATAGAAAAATAGCAAAAACGATGGTCGATAAGAACAATGTAGAAACATCTTTGGCATTTACAATTTTTCTGAAGGTAAATTTACCAAAATTTCGGATACAATTTTGACAACATTTAGTTTTGATCTTACGGAAGATGATAGACTATGTTTATCTTGTGAAAAAAGTGCCACAAAAGAAATGCTGAACGCCATAAACTTGGTGTAAAGCAAAATCCATTGATGATTGTGTTGTAAATGGAAAATAATCTAAATATTTAGAGCATAGATATTTCGATGATTTAGTTAATCATGAGAATCTTCAAGACCAAGTACAATAGAAGTTGATACACAGAATTCAATTGGCTATACACTAACAGGTGCAATGGAGACTGAAAACTGGAAATAAGACAATTATTTTGAAAATAATAACTTAACAGAACCACAAAGAAAGGATCAAGCGTTCGAATTTAAATGTACTGAAAAAAGGTATATAATGGCTTCGTTAAATGAATCATACTCGAAACTTTACATATCTTTCATAACTTCAGTAGATTAAAAAAAGCTTCAAATTTAATTGAAGAAGTAACAGAAAAGATTAAAAATACTCAAGTGAAAGCTCAAAAATAAACATATTAACTGCTCTTCCTCTTTATATGAATATTAGAAACATTCAGTCTGAAATTGGTTGCTCTTATCATACGGCTTTAGTTTCAAGAAAATTATGTCAAAAGGAAGGCTTTTTATATTATCCTCCGCAACGTACTAGAGCGCGCAAAACAACAACCGAAGTTACTAAAAATGTTGAGAACTTTCATCGTCAAGATAATATTAGTAGAAATTGCCCAGGCTGGAAAGATTTTACTGTCGTGAGGAAAGGAGATGAACGTGCAAAAGTGCAAAGCCGTTTATTGCTCCATAATTTGAACGAGGTTCACGCACTTTACAAGCAAGATAGTCTGAGTGCAAAAATTGGTTTCTCAACCTTTTGTTATCTTCATTCCTCGAGAATACTTACTAGGCACCAACTTGAAAGGATTACATAACATTTGTACATGAATTTATCATTCAAATGTGAAGCTAAGAATAAATGGTGTAAAATTAAAAATATAAGTAGGAAATGTAAGTTTGTTCTTGAAACTGCAAGATATTTTCGAACAGACATTGTGTGAGAATCCAATTGATGAGTGTCGTTATATGACATGTTGCGAATGTCCTGGCTTAGGAATCCAGCCGATCGGCCTCTTTTTTTTTACTGCTATGCTTTTTAGCTATAATCGGTTGGTTAAATTTTATACATGGTTTTTATGTAAAAAATCCTGAAGAATCTGACGATGGCAAAATTATTCGAAAAAAATACCACATTTAGAAATATTAAAAAAAAAAAATTAAAAAGCTACTAATTTTTGGAACAAAAATTATTCTTAATTTTGCGCGCATTTTGAAAAAAACTAGACTCACTATCATTATTAATTTTTAAGATATAAGCGATAGAAAAATGTTTTTCAATTAAAAAGAAATTTTAATAACTTTTTATCTAATTAATATTTTTACATAAAAATTTAGCTTAATATATAATGAAACGGGTGTATAAAGTTTAAGCCGACTGAAATAGTCGAAAATCACCCATTTATTGATATTTTACAGTGTTAAAAAACCTATTGATATAAAAAATGTATGATTAAGCATTTTTTCCACATCCTTTAGATTTATATAATCCATTAGAAAAAAAGAAATTTACCAAGTAATATATATAATGACAGATTCCCTTTTGTCTCGTGATTTTATTAACCTACAATAAGAGTTTTTATTCTCTTTAAAGCAAATAATTTGCATGATCAGATTTCATATATTTCTATTGATGGTTACTACTGAACATCCAATATACTTCATGCATTCTATCCAAATTCATACTTTACTAAATTTAAATAACTGTTTCTCTGCATACTTATTACATATATTTTCTACATTTTCAAGTAGATTTCATTCACTTGTTGCCACAATAAATTTATTTAAGTATTATACCAACTATATATGTTGTACGCTATTATGAGCCTATTAATTAATGACTATTATGTTTAAGGGATACAGAAAAACTAGTGCTTTAATAAGACAGCAGCAATTTTAAGAAAACTCTTTCGTAACAAGTGGAAACTTTCTTATAAGAAGATATCTTCTCTTGCTTATAGAAGACCTCTTGTTATACGAGGAATAATTTGCAGTATACCAACGTAAAACGATATTTAGCTTATATAAAATAGACACTTTCATACTTTTTGAAAGGATTAAACTGCTTTTGTGATTATGTGAGTTGCAGGTAATAAGTAAAAATAGTGCATCCAAAATGGACGAATTTTGAAAGCACGAAGTTTAACGGATAACAAACGAAATTAAGTTTTTAATTTACACAGAATGTTTAGCGAATTCGTTAGCATTTGATACGGTTGATTGTTTGACAAAGGATTTTGCAAGAACGTCTCAAAAATTTTTCGCGTAAGAATTACCAGTGCTTCATTCACTAATAACATAAGTTTAGGGCAAGCGTTACATGAAAGGGAGCTTTAGTTACAGGGCGGATACTCTCTAGGTCACGGATTTTACTTAAACCTATACGGTCAAAAGACAACTTGACGAATGCATCGCTACGTCATATAGGACCACATGGGCCTCTAGACATTGTTTACATTGGTTTATATTTACAGGTATGCATGCAACTTGTAGCAATCACCTACGGCATTACTACGCAACAGATAAAGAATCGCGAGTCGACAATGCGTGGAGAAAATGAATGGATAGTAGGTCAATAGAGCTCTCACCTCCAGACATTATCTTTGATAATTATTCATTTGAATGATCTAGTGCAATGTCATGACGGCAAATAAAAGTATAAAAACGTTTGGAGCGCAACGTAATTTGTACCAATCTTCGACTAGACAGCAATATGCATAGCAAGATTCTAATCTGCTTGTGCCTCAGTTTTTCCCTCGGTAAGTTTACTCTCGTCGAAGTAACGAAACAAGTAGCTCATAACAAATGTCGTGTCGTTGGCTTTTTCAAAGTTCGGTGCGTCAAGAGGAAGTTGAGCGAGTGAAAGCAGCGCAATATTCATATACGCATATATAAAGAAACAATACCTGCTCGCAGGTAGCTGTGCGTCCATCGAAGGAAGAATAATCGGCGGTGAAAATGCGAATATCGAAGAGTACCCTTACCAAATCTCGATGCGTTGGACCTACGGATTACCGAGACCCATGCACTTTTGCGGTGGCTCTATCGTAAGCAACAAGCACATCGTCACCGCCGCTCATTGCGTCTACGACAAGCAGGCAGCGAACATGCTGAGGAACATGAAAATCTACGCGGGCACCAGCAGGTCCGACTCGCTGGCCGAGGGCAAGGCCTACAGCGTCCAAAGCATCAGCGTCCACCCTGGATACCGAGGCGTCAGCAACTCCTACCTCAACGACATCGCCATTGTCACGGTTTGTTCGGCTCGCGCGACCTCACCTTCCGCTCGGGCGCGACTAATGCACTCTTTCTCGCTCTCCCCGTTGCAGTTGAAAGAACCGATCGAGTTCAGCGCGATCCAGAAACCGATCGAGCTGCCGAGCAGGGACGTGCAGAACGGTGCCACGGCCGTCGTCACCGGATGGGGATACACGAAACATCCGAATGGCGGTACGCCGATCAATCTGAAAAAGGCCACGATGAGGTTGCTCCCCAGTTCTCAATGCCAGCGCCGGTTACCCTACGCGCTGAGCAATTCCCAAGTTTGCGCCGTTTCACAACCGGGAGCGGGAGTCTGCTCCGTGAGTTCATATCGGCATTTCGCGCTTTCCGATCTTGTCTCAACTTTTTCGCATTGCTTTCAATCTTTGTACTTGTTTTATTCACCAGGGTGATAGCGGCGGCCCACTGGCGGTGAACAACCAACTGGTTGGGATTGCTTCGTATGTTGTCGAATGTGGTAAAGGACATCCCGATGTCTACACCAATGTCTATTCCTTCGTCAACTTCATCAGACAAACCATCGGTTCATAAGATTTCAAGCAATCGATTCAAGCCAATCATTCTTAATGTGATAGCAACGTTCAAACCTCTAGTCAAGCGTTATTTCTCTTATTTATTTTTATCCTAAGATTAATTGCAAGCTGTACACTCCTTTTGAAATATGTCAAAAAGATTATCTATGGAAAGATTATTCTTAAATATTATCAATGCACAGAATTTCATTGTATATGGTACATTTTTATTTGAAGCAGCAAATCAAATCTCAATACACTATTGCTGGCAATACCCACCACACGTAGATTGCAATTGAGAGTTTTGAAAAATATTGATAAAACCAACGAAAAATCTGAACTTTATATAAAATTGATTTCACTTCATCAACTGTTGCGTAGCATTATTTTTTGTATACTTTTTGTTCATCGTGAAACAACTTTCGAATTTCAAATATGGACAGTAATAATATGCTTATAATGCATATATTTGTTCAAACGGAATCATTTCAAATACTGTACCAATATAAAACTTACTGTTACTTTGAAAATAATCGTTAGTGAGTTATAAATATTTCACTCAGATGTTTTATTAAAATGTTGATCATTCTAATGCTTTCGTCGTGACTATGAATAGGAATACGCAAAACAAATGTTCTTTCGTAAGCCAAACGCAGCTTCGGCTCAGTGGACAAAGCACTCAACTGCAGGCTATGGAAAATAAGCCGTTTCCGGAGTATTTCGAGTAGAAAACGACATGCTGAGCTCCGACTAAAATAAGCGTACGATGAGAACTCTTGTGATGATGTAACGCGTTTTTATAGTCCCCCGTCACGTATTAGTTCTCACCAACAATATATCTCGCAAAATTCGGACAGCATTGAGTGACTGTATTGTAAGATTTATTATGAAAACTCCGAAAATATTATTTATTTATTTCATCAATTACGGATTATCTTAATCAATTATCTTAAAACAATAATTGTGAAGAAGTAAAATATTTTCAAATTTCATTAGACAAATTTTATAATTATTATTATTTATTTGATTAAATAAACATTTTTCTGATATAAATGAAAAGAATTAATTATTCACAATTATTCTTAAGATTTCGGTGAAAAAATATATTTTTTTATTTCTTATAATAGATTTCAGAAAAGCCGAATGAGCTTTGTGAGAATTAATATGAGATGGAAACCTATAAGAACGCATACCTATTTTAACCAGGATCAAATGTGGCTACAAACAGCGTAACTAGATAAAAATATGATTACTAGATCCCTCGTTAATCATGGACATCTACTCAAATAGACTGAAAATAAATGTAAAACGTGTATTCTATGACCTTTATCTGTATCTTGTTTGCTTACTGTTACAATATGATATCAAATGTGAAATAAAAAATGATAACTTGTCTTCATTTCCCAATGGCCATGCGAGTAAAACGTTTGGTGCACGAAACATTAATATTTGTCTTCTTCAACTACTTCCAAATACAATTTACTATAGACCAGATCAGCATCAGCAGAAGAGGTAGGGCCAGTAACTGAAATATTTCTTTACACATATAAATGTTTACTTGAAACTAAAAGATATGACGGTGGCGAGGAATTGGAGTGAAAACAGTAGGCAGTTCTAATCAGTAGCCCTGCTGTAAATATTTATTTACAATTTAGCGATGTAAGCTTTTACAATAGAAATTAATTTGTTGGTTGTTTCGATGCGTCATAGTTGTAACTGGTGGTATTGACAATGTAATGAATAAATTAATTGAAGCTCAAAAAATAACAATGCTCGTTAGTAAATTCCGAAGAATAAGGTATAATACGTATTAAAATAAACGAAAAATAACGCAACATGTATATTATCAGAGTTACCGACACATTTTCACTTATGAAACTTTGTGCATCTGATCGTCATTCAAGACAACAATTTCATCATCTTTGGCATTGCTGAGCGGAAATAACGAGTATGAGTGCTCATAGCCGTATATGACTGATATTCGTCGCAGTCGCAATTATTCGTTACGAAGAGATGGAAAAATAGATCGAAGTCCGCGATCAGCCGACAGTCGCACATCGCGGACATATCTCTAAAATCTGCAGATATACAAAATTGATTAGACTAGAAGTGAATTCCGAGGAGGAGAGGCTTGCAATAGCTGAACGAGAAGACTCGGTCGGCAAACGGCGCGACTCCCTCCTCTGAATTCTCGTGAAAAAGTCTTGCTTGCTAGGTAAATTGAAAAATATAATACAAAAGATCGCTCTGTGTGTTGCTGAGAGTCGTTATTTCTCTTCCACGGCTTCATTCTGCTTCCGGAAGCAATCTCCCACTGGGAAGAAGTCCCAGCATCTTTGCTGATACATTTTCCAGACGTACGTCTCCTGACCAGTATGCTCCGTGTCCGGCTTATTGATAAGATGCATGAGGAAGAACCTAAAGTCGAAAAAAAAACAATTTGGTTAGAAAACTTGATTTGTCAAGCATCGAGTCAACTGTGTGGCAGTGGTTACATGTAATTGGCGAGGTTGTGCTCATTCTGAACGTGCGTGTCAAAACCGTGCGGTACCGCGTCAAAGTACTCCTTGCCGAGTCCACATATAAAGCACATGCTCTCCATGTTAGTCTTGACGCTCTCCAGTTGATCACGAAGCTCACCAAAAGCATCGATGATCAAACCTTCAAGTGGAAAGTTGATAATTTTAGCGAGGCCCTAAACTAGAATTATTTCATAGAACCATGAAATACTAGCCTTGAATTATAGCTAGCAAGATGACGATGACAAAGAAGAAGAAAGTTATGTCAAACAAAATACGCCAGACTTCGTATTCGTCGCCATCGGGCTCGCCGATTTCATCGCCAATACCTCCTCCAGCTCTGACTCCTTTGTACAGGTGGAAGACAAAACACTGAAACATAATAAAGTCGATCAATTCAAGCCATTTCGAGCGTACGCTTGAGAAATGACATCGGCAATAATTACCGTCATCATGCTGTGGCATTTTTTATCGACGTCTTCATCCTCCTCCTGTATATAAAACTTTCGGAAGAAATTGAAAGCAATGACAGTGTATATGTAGACGACAATAGTCAAGAGCATAACTGTGAGCACCAGTTGTTTGCCGTTGTGCGTTACCGACTGCAAGATCGTGCGCAGTGTTTTGAAACCTACTGCCACGTCTAGCAAGTGGGCCGCGAAAAAGAAGTTGTTGTAATTGCCAAAGACTGACATTATAAAATACCAAGCGCTGTACAGAAAGGCCTGTAAGATATAATTAATTAATGATCCGCTCGCCTACGCTTCATTGTCGATCACTCACTTTGTCGGTTATTGTTACACCGGCTTTCCAAAGTTGGTATCTCCAGTCAATGTTCATAATACTGTTAACAATAGGTCAAAATCATAATATTATTCAAAATCTCTAAATAATTATTTACTTGTTTTCTCCAGCAAGCGTACGTACAAGTGCATTATACCGGAGCCTTCCTCCTGAACCATCGTAGTCTTTTCCGAGCCAACCAATGCATCGATCAGCTCGTAATCGTACGTCTCGCTGTACTTTTGCCGAATTTTTTTCTTGATAAACTTGTCCCAGTAATTGACCGGGAAGGTCTTTGCCGAAATAACCAGCCTATCCCAAATGGCTTTCATGTCATAATCTTCTGGTTGGTTCTCGATGTAAAGTCCTTCGAACTCGACCATTCGAGCGATTTCCTTTTCTCGTTTAAAAATCGCCAGAGGTACCTTGGATTCGGATGAGAAATCGCAGTTAGACTCATTGGATGAATCTGAAGTCGGAGACGCGAGCTCGATACCTTGAGGTGATAGTAAGCTACCAGCATCGCCAGTGAAATGATGGAGTGAGTGGCGGCGAGTAACCTCATGGCGTAAGCGATGTAATAGTAATCAGTTGGCACTTCGACCAACTCGAGGGGATCCTCTTCTTCGCCTTCGTCCTCGCCATCCCCGCTAGCAAATTCGAAGCCGGAGCCCGATTCGGCGTCGAAACCGGAGCCGTTGTCGCCGGACATTTCGCTGAGCAGATCGGCCATGGCATCGACTTCGTCGGCGCCGTTACCGTTCTCTTCGCCGAAAACGGTCACCTAGAAAGAGGTGAATCGTTGAAGCGAGAGCGAGGAAGGGAGCGCCGAGTCTAACCTGGTAGAAGAGCAGCATAAAGTTGATGAAGAATGCGAGTATGAGGGCGCAGTACTTGAGGGTATAGAAGTTCCGCGCGAGGAAGGAGATGACGCGCATGCCGTACTCGGTGAAGTTGATGGAGGAGGCGGCGGAAGGTTCGGCGATCACCTCTTGCTTGGCCTCGGCTTCGACCGCGGCCATGGCCGCCTGCTGTGCCGCCACCGCCTCGGCCGCAGCCACCGCCTGCGCCCTCGCCTGCTCTCCGCTGCAAAGGGAAGAAGCGAGTAGTTAGCACCGGTACGACGCGTGGCGAGACTTGCTGGCGGAGGTCGTCTCACCCGAGAAGGTCGGCCAGCGTGAGCGGTAGTTCTGTCTCGGCGGCGGCGTCGCTGGAGGCGCGCTGCTTCTCGTCGGCGGCGCCCTCCTCGGGAGTGCTCTCGCCGGTCTCCTCGGGACTCGACTGGGCGCTCGAGGCCACGGACTCGTGGGCGGCCAGCTTGATCTGGCCCTCCTCGCGGGTGATGTCCATTCCGAAGGCCTGCACCTGCAGCTGCGACTCGTCGGGAGTGGGCGGCAAGGCGGGCAGGTGCCTGGAGGTGCGGATGTCGTCGTCCTTGACCTCGGGGACGGGCTCCTCGACGCTGGGGCCGCGCATTAGGCTGAGCAGCATCTTCATGAAGTAGGCGACGAGCGAGGCGACGCCGAAACCCGAGTAGTAGCAGGCGTAGAAGATCATCTTGAAGAAGCCAACGACGATCTCGGGGATGGACATGGCCTGCAGCTCGCCGATCTTGTTCTTGATGTTGCTCGGCGAGAGCATGGAGAAGAAATAGTAGACACCGTCCTTGAACGCCTGCACCTTGCGCCTCAACGGATCCTTCTTCTCCTCGTCCTCGTCGCTGAGGTACGTGTACGACGACTCCTTGGCCTTGCTACCACCGCCGCTTTCCTCCACCGCCATCAGCGCACTCGCGTGCTGCATCTCGAAGATCGCGTCCTCGCAAAAGTTTATGAACGTCTCCAACTTCTCCTTCTCGTCCGAGTCAACCACGGTGCTGTAGAAATAGGCCCGCTTCGACTCCTTGATCTATCGAGGCAGCAGCTTTAGCGAGTGCAGAGGTAGGGGCACGCTTGCTCGCGACTGGACGCTCACCTGCGGCTTCTCCCACTGCTCGATGTTGGACTCCTTGATCTCGAAGTAGACGCGCTCGATGCGCTTGTTGCTGCCGAGGATCTCGATCCTGCCGAGGAATTGCTCGAAGTAGCTCAGCACCGACTGGGCGGTCTCGAGGAAGCGAGCCAGCCGAGGCTCATTGGGCATGTGCTCCGACAAATTGGTTAGCAGCACCGCCAAATTGAAGCCGATCTCCTTCGCAGGCTCGTGGAAGCGTTCCATGAACGTGATGTAGTTGATCTTGCCGTCGTGATTGACCTCGCAGCACGCCAGTAGAAACTCCATCTCCTCGCTGCATAGAAACAAGTACCGTCGTCGATCAAGTTGTTTTCCGTCGCCTCGCCAACTCTACTTACTCGGTGTAGTTTTTCGTTTGCTCCATTTTCTCCTTGAAGTCTTTGGGGTATACCCAGCCGTCGTCTGCGTCCGCGAAGGCCGACGACACCAGGCTCTTTAGCTTCAGGAACATGTCGAAGTACTTGAGGATCAGTTCAACATTGCCGGCCGACTCGACCAGAGTGTCCACCATCTGCTTGCCGATGGTGCCGTTGACCACGTTTCCTGTTACCGACAGATCGACCGAATTCAACCGCCAAATCAGGCCAGAAGTCATCGATGTTCGCATACAGAAACGCTTGCTTACCTTCGAGCATAGACAGCATCATTGTGATCATGTCTTTCTGCAGGTTGAGCAGTTCTTTGAGCAGATCCACCTGGCTTGAGTGCTTCGACAGCTTATCCTGCATGTGGGAAAATAGAAAGAGGAAGCCACCCACAGCGTCCCACAGCCTCGAGTGGGCGAGCGCCTGCTGGTTTTGGGCGCACGGGCCCTGTATCACCTCGGTCAGGGTGTTGAACACCTGGCTGGCCACGCCAATGGCTTTGAAGAAATTAGCTTTGCCAGCTGGATCGATAAGCTCTTTGCTCGAGTAATGCCAGTAAAAGTCCATGATGGATTCTTGAAGACGCAGCAGGTAGTCGACGGTGCAGATGACTACGTTCACGGTGGTCGTGTTGCCCGCTTGCGTTCTCAGGTAATTCTGCCAATCTACAAGCCAGTTGGCAATTAGAGAAAACCCCGAAAAAATTCTCGTTAGCTACTCACCCAAATTGTGACCCTCGCACGTCAGCTGAATGAAACGAAAGAGCGCACAGGTGAACTCTGCGTCGTGCATGTTCTTCTCGCCGGCTGCGCCCTCCGAGCCGACGCCCAGGCCCTCGGCTTTGGTATTTCTTTCGAAGGCGTCCAGATCGAGCACGCTGCAGCTGTTCATCAGGCCGGCGATCGACGTGAAGAAACCCACGTCCTTCTTCTCTTTCAGGTGGTTGAGCATCCCCCGCTGAATGTCGATATTACCGCCTCGCAAGATAGAAATGCCCAGCTGGAGGGTCTTCATCACCATCTCGCTGGGGATGCCCTTGCACGCGGATATGTGTAGCAACACCATCTCAGCCACTCCACGGTCCGCCAGCCGAGCTTGATTGAAAAGCAACTTTTGCTTTTCGATTTCTTGTTCCTGATTACCAACAGTTCACAATACGATTTACATTTGCGTGCATATTCATTGTCCTTCTACGTATAAATTGCTCGATCAAATTGGAAGTTTCTACGTGGGTGAAATTACGAATTAAAAAAGATTTATTTCAAGTTTCGAAAATTATTCGCTTACCATGAGTTTTTGCATTGGCTTCTGTACGCACGGTAGGCATTAAATTAAAACGTTTGTTATTCAACACACAACTCATTAATTATTGTTTCTTATATTACAATCAAGCATGATGCCCCAATTTCATGTATAAACGATAATTCAGCATAAAAAAAGTATTTGCGTATATACGGATGCTACAACTGCACTAGCTTACGTAGAACTGTTACTGTTCGATTGTATACAACGACTATTGTGTTCCTTACCATTGCTAACCTATGCGACGGATTCAAAGAAAACTATTAACAAAGAAAAGTTGTTTCAAAATTTTTACCGGCAATCAAAAGATTCTATGTTATAAAGAAACTCAATCCTCGAGAAAACGAACGTATTAGAGATGTGGCGCCAACTTACATGAATGCTGCCGGTGCTCTCTTCTTCGCCACCACCACCTTCTTCGTCACCTTCCTCTTCCTCTTCGCCGCAAGACTTGGAGATGATCTGAGCGTAGCTCATATACAGTGGATCTTCCTGAAGAGCACCCGAGCGCTCAGTCATTGCACCCCGACAGAAGGTCGTCACTAATTGCGTTAGCGGATCTGGCTTGCCTTCCTCTTCCTCCTTGTCGGCTTTTTTCGCATCTTCGGCATCCTCAAACGTTTGCTGTGATTCATTTACATAAAGATAAGCATCGATATTCCCCAAAATTGATATTAATCGAGGTAATAGCTATATAATTCAGCCTATTATTTACCGTCAGATCTTCAATCATTATTTCCTGTCCTACATTTTCATCTTGCAGCCACAGCTCGTAATAAGTCCTCACGAAAATGTTAATTGCCCGGTGTCTGTTAAAAACATCAAATAATTGCAACAAATTTGAATAAAGTTATTCCATTGATATATAAGTTGCAGCTATAAAGTACAAAACGACAAACGGAAATCTGAGCATTAATTCAGTGCCATCAGAAATATTGAAAAGTAAATCTATATAATAATTACCTTCTGAGTTTGTATAGAGGTTCACTACGAAGACATGCAATGGCAGCTCGTATTCTAGCGGCGCAGAGCACGCGATTCCAACCGCCTCGAGACGGAGGTGGCTTCGTTGCCTTTTAGCATATTCACACAAATCATTTTGTTAAAACGAGCTATTAATTACTCATTCAAAATCCATGTATAATTATATCCAGCACGGTTTACCAAGCGTCAAGTTTACAGTTTGTATAAGCGTTTTATTAGTTGTGCAACTACAGGAGAAAATGATGGGATATTCTGGTTTGGCCGCGTCAGTTTCATCCAAGTCGCGCACACAAATGCACAACGCACGCGTGCACAATAAAAGATGACAAAAGCTGAATGATTATGTGTGGCGTTGAAAAATCACTGGACATGAGTATAAGCGAGCGTGTTATTGAGTTGAAAAAAAAAGAAAAAGGTAACACGACAGAATGCAAATCAAATGAAAAATGAAGATACCTGGGCAGGGAATGTAGGGAAGTTTGTCGGAAGCAAGCAATCACGGCTCGCTTCCGCTGTATGGAAACCACCGAGCGATAGCTACTCTTGCTTTGCTGCTGTGGATGATCTATCTACTCAGAGATGACAAAATCATAAGTATGCATAATAGAATTGAGAGAGTGATTAAAGTAATACGAAATGTTGAAAGTTGAGAAATCAATGAGCTCTTCACGTTCAACACTCGCGTAACAAGAGACGACTGGTATGGGGTATAGGAGTGCAGTGAGCAAATGGCCCATTACCATGTGCAAGCCGTAGAGCACTTTGGCCATGTCGGTGATCCTGGCGACAACCTCGTCAACCTGCTGGGTTTTGGTGAACTCGACCACGTCCTTTTGCTGGCCAAGCTTGGAATAGAGGTAGTGCTGCCAGGACATCTCGTCGGCGGGATCGATCTTGTCGGGCAGGGTGAGCTGGGTCTTGGCAAACTCGGCGATGTCCTGCTCGGCCATGCGCTTGAGGAAGCGGTCCTTGCAGTGCTGCACGAGCTCCTGCTCGCGGCCGGCGAAGAGGTTGAGGCCCACCGGCAGCAAGCGCTTCAGGCAGGCCACCATCAGCGAGGCCTGCACCTCCTTATCCTTGTCGCGCTTCTTGTCGCGGTGCTTCTTCTTCTTCTTACCACCGCCGGAGGGCGCCGAACCGTCGCTAATGGTGGTGGTGCGCCGTGTGGCGGTCGGCATGATCAGCACCATGTTGTCGATCTCGTTGGCCGAAATGAAGTTCTGCTCCTCCTTGAGGAAGTATTGCGACTTGGACCAGGTGTTGAAGATGGCGGCCACGTGGTTGTACAGGTCTTCGGCCTCGGGAATGTTGTTGCGCAGCCAGTGGTTGCGCTGAAGGTCCACGTACTTAATGAGCAGAGGATAGAAGGAGTATATGTCGCGCACCAGCAGCTGCCAGTCCTCCTGAATCTGAGCCTCGACCTGCGAAGTGTCGTCGGTCGATGACTTGATGAAGCCGCGCATCGACTCCTCCTTGTGGTACATATTGTCGGTGCGTTTGCGCACACGCTCGGCTAACGGCAGGAACGGATCCTTCAGCAGCTCCTCCGACGAATTGATGATGATCTGCTGCGTGTACGCGGCTATCCGCGTCATCCACGGCGCGTTCTCGTTGCCGATGTTCTTCTTGATGAGCTTCAACACGTTCTTCAGTAGCTGGTTCATGTGGTCGCTGGTGACCATGCTCAGGTAGGTGCCCTCAGTGGGGTTCACGTTGTCCGGGCCCTGAGCCCACCAGAACGGCAGGTAGGCGCACAGCAGCGGCAGGATTACGTCCACAATGTGCGGTGCGTCCACGTAGCTCTTCTCCGACTCGACAAACTGATCTACCTCTCCAAGGATACTCTCCAGAGTGGGCATGCTCGACTCCATGCGTGTCATTATATCCTGCGCCTCTAGCGAGTGGTCCGCTATGCGATTCAGCAGCGAGAATGGATTATGTTTATTGAGATGGGGCTCGAGGAACGCTACGGGGAAACAGCTGGAAAATGCGCCGAGGCACAAGCCGAGATTCGGCTTGTTGCGCTCGATTTCAGTCTTCAGATACTTGCGATCGTGGGTCAATGTCGGGTCAATGCCCAATGTGTACAGCGATGCCAGCATCTTATACGCTGCCACTTGGATCTCGTCCACTACGTGTACAAATAATTAAGGTTAATCCGATAGTCCGATAATTTATGCTCAATTTCAATCCCGCACTTACGCAAAAGATCGCTCCCGTATTCACAAGCGGCCAGGTGATCGAACATCGCCGTCAACACAGGCAGCACCACGCTGTTGATGTAGGACAGGGATGTCGAAGTCTTCAGATGCGTTCCGCGAAGGTGACTGTATTTGCCCTCTTGAAGATTAAGAATCGTGTGACCGAGATCGTCCGCGGTGTTATTGAAGAAAGTCAGCATCGATGTCCTGATGAACTCGGGGCAATTTTTCACCAGCGATTTGGCGTCGATTCCCTTGACCAGCACTTGGAGACATCTCACTGTTATACGAACGTCGGCGCCAAACGCAGCCATTCGCGATCGTAACAGACTGGCAAGCTTGCAGAACAGCGCGGCAACCATCTCCTTCTCCTTCAAAGAGGCCGCTCCAACGTTGTTGGTTGCCGTTGCAACAGCGATAAAGTAGTTCCTGTGTGTGCTGAAGTATTTTTCCATCAGCGGCAATACCACCTTACTGAAGAATTTGATATCTCGCGTGGAAGTCTTGAAGCTGACTCTTCGGCTGAACGTGTCCGATGGCTTCAGCAGTTTCATGTTGATCGTCGCTTTGTCCAGATACGCTATGAGTTTCTCTAACAGGGAGTAGGCGAAGCGAAGTTCCACAGCAGCTCCAGCGCCGGCTACTTCCGTCTCAGTGCCTCCGCGGTTGGGTTTATGAAGTTTGTAACCCTGATACTGCAAGTACTTTAGGAATTCTTGAGAACGTTCGCGATCTTTCCTCTTTTCCTTGTCCGTCAGAAGGTCATACGGGACCAGCTGCGGATGAACTTCTCCTCCTATTTTATTAAAAATTGCCATTAATTTTTCACATAAGCAAACAAGCCTTCTAGTTTTGCAAGTCAATCGTACTGCACTGACCATCTTTCAATAATTCCTCCTTTTTCTTCTTAGCCCAAATGTCGTGAGCATTGTCGGCTAAACGTTCGGCCATGTTTTGCATTTCCCTGCTTAACGTCAGATTCGTCATGTCCACCGGATGAGGATTATAGTTGTGTGGATTTGACGTATCTTGCTGCTCAAAATGATAGTCTCGTGAAGGATCGCGCGCGACTGAGAGTTTTATTATTAAGTAAGCTTCACTTACTTGACTTTTGGAGGCTCTCCTGAGCGAATTGCGACTCGTTGAAGCAACTTCGAGTTCCGCGTGCTCAACAGTCCAGCCAATGGCAAGTAGAGCTTTCAAGCTTTCCCGAACGGGTTCCTTGTAACGTTCTCTTTCGTAGTCGTTCAGCGTGTTGTATGGCTTCAAACGCGGATGGGTTTTGTTCATGTCCGACCATTGTTCGCCATAGTTCCAGCCATTTTCCAATTTGCGACTAGCCCAAGCATCGTGATAGTGCTCCGAGAACTTTTGAACTATTTGATTTAGATCGTTATCCAATACAATGCTGAAACGAATAAAAGTCAGATCGGTTTTTCAACGAGGGTTCGAGCTATGAGACATAGGCAACAACTGAACTTACTTGGAGGTATTTATGGGCTGCGGATTGTAAGGTCCGTCTGGTGACTGCGTGGAAGCTGATTTACTTCCGTACCATTCGTCATCGTAATTTTTGGAGAGGGTGTAATCCGGCGGTAAAGCACATCCAATGGCCGTCAAACACGGCAAAGCCTTACCGAATAGTTCTGGATCATAGTCCATTTTCGACAGTGAATCAAATATGTTACTAAATAGAACCATGGTTAAACGTTTTTCTTCGTCGCTTGATGCACCGTACAAGCTCTGGCTACTAGTTGAACCATAGTATTTTCCGCAGCGTTCGTAATGCATGGTCAATAGCTGAAAACATTATCAAATTGCACGTTGTTTCGCAAATGAACACTTAGAAACGTACCCTCAAAGCAACAGTCGTATACTCCGATAAATTGGAAACATCAACGGTCAGTTTGCGCAGAAGCTTCAACAGCATGCCTGGCTGCATTTGGCTATAGCAATAATGTTGTATTATCGATCAAGTAAGGAAAAGCTTAACACTTTCTTAAGCAAAGTACGATTGTTGAGATTCAACTGACCTTGTTAGAGCTACGAGAAAATCGGATACGGCTTCACGTTGACCTTTGGTGAGCATTCGATTTTTACTGAGACGATAAACAGTGTGAAGAGTAGCATCCAACAAACTCGCGTAGTTATCTGCCTCGCTGTAGAACTTTGAATGTTTAATGAGCAGTGGTAGAATGCTCACCCCGATGTATCGGTTCATAGCTAATGCCATATCGGACTCGTAACCGTCATTCTAAAACGAACGTCGAATGAATCTTGTAAAATGAAAAGCGAGTCTATCAAACAAATGCATGGAATACCGCGGAGATAAAGCGAGTCATACCCTATCAAGCATTGTAGCTGCCCTGAGATCGGGCAAAAAGGCCTCCTCCAAAATTTTGAAAAACAGCTCTTGCGTCTCTATACCGTATACTCGTTCCAAAAACAGCACGATACTCTGTTTGTGACCTGGGATCAAACCGGATGGCGTGTCACTTTTCGGTCTGGGCTCTCCAACAGCCGGATTCAGTATTGTAAATCGAAGGGACAGTACTCCTTGGAGATCGTCTAATGGGACTAAAGATCGCAGAATGGCTCTTGCACGCAGAGACTCGTTTTTTCCTATGAACGATGATCAACAATTAATCAAATTTGGTAGTAGAGATCAAAAATATTTTATTTCGCTTGCAAAAACAAACCTTGTTCAATGACTGACGAATCGGGAGCACATCGTCCAAGAAGATCCACCAGCGTACAGTAAAAATTGAGAATTGCCGCTCCAGTGTCGATGTAATCTTCATCTTCGTCAGATTCCGGGAATGGATGCTCAAATTGTAATACACCGTTACCGTTGCCCTCATCATGTAACTGTTGAACGTGCTGTATTGATAACTTATTATTGTAAATTGTCAAACACCTCATGCGAGGATTGCTACTGTGTGTGTTTTAAAGGAATCATACAAAAACAATGGACTAATTGTTAAAGTAACTATTTCAATATCGAATCAAACATTGACGAGGGTGACATAACTTTTTTCTGACAAATATACATTTGCAGCTCTTTTTCATGTAATTAAATAGAAATTAAAAAATTAGTCATATTGGTGATGTGTCAATATGTAAACAACTCAAAATAATAGAGAGATAAGTGGATATTTGCACACGTCAATTCAATCAAAGTAAGTGAAACACGACATTTTGCTAATCACCCATAAACAATCCATTAGAAGACGTGAAAACTCGTAGGTATGTGCAATTACTTACGTAAATGTACTTAGAATTCAATTTGCTGCCTAAATTAAAAATTGGATGAAATGTGACTTACCTTATTTCTATCGGTAATGATTTCCGACATTTTGTTGGCATCTATGATGGCTCTGAGCAAGCCTTCGCCTTCGCCTCGCAGAGCTGGGCCAAGGCATTCTGGGCGGCGGATCAATAACCTAATGACCAAGTTGGCATTTTCCTCGACACTCTCGCCTTTTAAGGAAGGTGAAGAAAGTTAAATTGCACTGCGAGAGAAAACTGCTATTGCAGGCAAGGTTGATCATACTGACCATTGACCCAGACACAGAACCGCAAAAAATCCAAGTAACGTTCTCCTTCGACTGGATCCCAGCCGAGATCGGGGTAGCCCTTTTCGACTAATTCCGAGTTGGATTGCAAGCCACATCTGGATAGGTAGATGGCGATTTTTTCGAGATAATGCTCTCGAAGAGCGAGCGCAAGTTCAGTGTTCTCCATGAGCGACGAGTAGGCCACATCTAGAGGCGTAGAGCCTCGGAGAGATGGTCTCGACAGCAGAATGTTACTGTTCTCCAGTAAGAAGTCAAAGTGATCGAACATGGCCTTCTGATTCTGCCTGGAGGTTCTGCAGAAGTAGCAGAGAAAGCGGCAGCAAGCGACGACCATCTCATGAGAAGTGTCTTTTTCTTTAGCCGGTGTCTCGCCGCCTTCCACCGTTTGAGCCTGCACTTGTGCATCCGATTGAGCCTGGGCTCGCCTGCCTAGCGTATTGATCATGATGGCCATCACGTTCTCATGGATACGAAGCACGCGTATCAGGTCCGGATGCTGGAAGAAGGTGTGATTGTTGACTAGCTTCCATAGCCTCTCACGGACTAGCTCCTCCTCTTCCTGCGACATCTGCACGGGAAGCAGAGCACGAATTTGACTAAGCCCGATCCACATCTCTGCCACGTCCTCTTTAGTTTTGTTGTTAGTCACGTATGTCTTCTCCAGCGCCCTTATCAGCCCACCAACCGTGTCGTATTGACGAACCAACAGGCTGAACATTTCGCGAACGAGCTTCGGGGTTTCGATTTGTGATTCTTCCGCCCAGCTCACTATAGTCGATATCAGCACCTTTCGAAATATCTCTGGAAGCAAATCATCATTAAATTAATACGCTTACACATATATGACTTTCATTTATAATACTTACCTTCTGGCGTCTTTCGTACGGGCTCGGGTTCAGGTTTGGGGTCTTCTTCTAACTCTTTCACGTGATGAATGAAGTTCAAAAGCTTCTTTATCGCTCCGGGCTTCTCTTCGTCACCTTCACCCTCGCCACCTCCTTCGGCTTCTTGCAATGCATGCAAACTTACATAGGACATGAGATTGCTATGAAATTCGTTCATCTTGACGATCAGATCCTCGCCGCAAGGGCAGTTATCGGGGTCATCTTCCTCCATATTCTTGAAGCTAAGTATGGCATTCATTTGCTCACGAGGTGGACATCGGAACTCGCGAGTCTTCTTTGCGGCAACTGCCGATGGCAAATCCGACTGTTTGATCTCTATATAGCGTCTCAATTGATCCGCCTGAAGGTCGCCGACAAAGTCGTGACTGAAAGCTACGATTGACTCTACTCTGTGACGCAACTGAATGTCGTTCAAATGGTGTAGTAGGTAGCACATTTGAAGTTTCGCTCCCTCTGCCATTTTCATATGCATCAGGCCTTTTCTGTGCTCGTCTTTGCCCTCTTTAAAATATAAATGCAAACACATCAAAATGAGAAATCTTCGCAAATACCCACGGGTAATATGAATCTTACCTTTGTCGAAGGTTGGATCCCAGGTCTCCGGATGAATCATGGTGAGCAACTTTTGTATGTCTTCGTTTTGCAGCATTCCAACAAGCAGCAGTCTGTCGACCAACTTGATAAGGGGCCTGCGAGTGAAATGATCATCAAAAGCCAAATGAAAGATAGAAAAACCAATGCAAATCGAGTATGTAGAGTACGTACAAAAACAAGTTTTCGTTGCTGCCACCAATGGGATCTCTGTTGTGAACTTGATTAATTTCAACGGCTTCGTTGAGGGCCATCATGACGTAGTCCCTGACGATGCTTAGCGGGAAGTACGGACTATAGAGGCTGCGTATGTTCTCGATGGACTGACTCTCGCTAGAAGGAATGAGCCTTGTTGGGGCGATCCGTTAGTCTTAAGGGCTCTCAACTACTTGTCAAACTTGAGCTTACCTGATGTCGGTCATTTTCATTTGGGGTCTTACTGACTCCGTTTCTAGATACCTGAGACTGTGTTTCATTTCCTCGTTCTCGTACAAGTCTTTCAGCTCTTGACCTGCCGCACACAAATACCCAACATTGCACGTAAATAATGGAATTAGATAATTAGAGGCTACGTTAACCGCGGCAGCTTGCGATTGGCTTGCTGTAAAGTTACTGGTTAGTCAGAATGACAATATGCAGATCTTAGAATTACGATTGGCCAAAATATAGCAGCTTGCCATGCGCAGAGTAGCTTCTGCAAAAGTACAACTATGTGGATTAGCGTAGAAAATAGAAAGAAGAGGAAAGGAAAAACAGCTAGCCGGGACATTGGAAACGCGAGCGAAAGTAGTGGTCACCTAGCGGAATGATGTATTCGTTGGTGCAGACCTCCATGGTCGTGGCGTGGGACTCGAGGTGCAGGGCGATGAGCAAGTCGTAAAATCCCTGACGAAGCGGCCCGGACATGTACTCGGCGCGGATGGCGTAGAGCAGCTGTTTCTGATCGACGTGCTGGCAGAGCGCGTGAGCCGCCCTGAAGTTGGACTGGTAGCAGAGGGCCGCGTAGAGCACGAGGGTGTGCGAGTGGAAGCTGCAACGGGCGCCAGGCGTGAAACGGCGCCGAGCGCTGGGCGAGGAGAGGCCGCGTACCTGAGCAACTTGTCCATTTCGATGAGCTCGAGGATGTCGATGCAGCGGTCCTCCTCGGGGATGTGCAGCGCGAGCATGGAGACGGCGTCCTCGCAGAGCATGGACCAGCCCCGGATGTCGGAGAGCTTGAGGGCGTGCACCTGGAGCGACTGGTTGGGCACGCGGGCCCACTGGTGGGGCTTGAGGCACTGGACCTTGAGCCTCGGCGGGAACTGCGGCGTGACGTGCCGCTCGGAGCTCTGCAGCACCGCGGCCGAGAGCGGCAGAGTGGTGGAGGTGCGCCCGAGCTCGATCTGCAGTATCTCCTTGCTGGTGGCCTCCACGAAAATGGCCGGGAAGAGCTTGGTGTCGGGCTCCATCTTGTACTTGTGGCTGGTCTCCTTGCCCTCGCACGTGAACGACACCCAGCCCGTGGCCGTGTCCACGAAGCAACCCACGAACATGCCCTGCGACGCGCCTTTGCCCGAGGCGTCTTGCGTCACCTCGTTGTACAGCTCGTCCGCGCGTACCATGTAGCAGCTCTGCCGATCGACCCTTGAGCACCAATCGATCGATTAACGCGCGCTCGCGGCCGCGCCCCTACCTGTCGTAGCTGGCACTCACTGCTCGATCGGCCGGTCGTACTCGTCGACGATCACCACCGACACCTTGCGCACTTTCGACAAATTGAAGTCCTTCGTGTGCAGGTGGTACTGCGAGGTCACCCAACCGATGTACACGTGCGTGGGATCCTGTCCCGGGAATATGCGCACCCCGTAAAAGTACTCGTTCATCAGCTTCAGGCAGTCGGCGTCGTAAATTTCGTTGCCGATCGCCTCCACGCCGCTGCCCGACAGCACCGACATGGCCTTCGGTCCGCTCCGCTCCGGGATCTGCGGCGGCACCACTTTCAGATCGCTCTGTAATCAGCCGTTCGTTCGTCTCGCAACCTTGGCCGTGCGCGCCTCTCTATCTCGTCCGCGCGACACTCACAGTCGAAACCCGAACGGTGGCCGAGCGAGCGGCGGCCGCCTTGCCGATGGGCGCCGGCTTGGCTATCCTCTCCGGCTCCCCGCGAGCCGCTGGCTCTGGCGTTTTCGACTTTGCCTCCGGGGACTTGACTTTCCGGGAGAAGAATCTACGACGTTATCATCATCGTTATTACCAACATGCCGTCACTACCTGCCGGTGCTTGCTTTAGAAACCACTATGAAACGTCACGTTAATGTTCTCTTACCTTTTTCTTCTGAAAACTCAACAATGATTGTGTGTCAATAAACGATAGTCGGTGATAGCAAACGTGAAAAATAAATAACAATCGTTTCATTTCGGTGTGCAGAAATGTTGACATTGATTACGAGCACGTAATGCCTGGCATAAATGAAAAACAACTGTGCAAATTTATTGCTAATGAGAAAACTTGCAACGTGTACAGCATAAACATGACAACGTGACAATGAATGGATAGCGTTTGAATGAAGGGAAACGTACGAAACGTCAAACACGGGGACTCGTCGCTATCACTTACTCGGTAATGATGTCTTCCATTTGTTGGCTAGGTCGGCTGAGAGGAATGAAAAATTGCAAGGGTTAGCGAAGCATCAATTATAAGCCAAAAATGCGTTGAGCGCTACTCGACAAACTTGTAAATCTTGTGAAAAGTCCAATATTTTATGCGAATTCTTGCGAATTCTTAAAATTCGACCGGCATGAACGTGAAGAAAGTTCAAGGAGGATCACACGTACGAGGTTTTGCATAAATAGCTTCAGCCAAATATAATACACTAACGTCGAGGATGACTTGCAAAAAGCCTACAGAGAAGAAAGCAATGCAAATGAAATGGAGAAAAATGAACGAACCGGAATGGCGAACGTCCGCGCTTCTTCTTATCATCCTTGGCATCTCCGTTCATGTCGCCGTAGCTATTGACTTCGCCGTCGCTACCAGCGAGATTGCGCGAGCCCGAGAGCGAGCCGCGACGGGGAGGCCTGGCTGGTCTGCGCTGCATCGGCAGCGGCGATTCGCGCATCATTTCGTCCAGTTCCTGGGCCTCTTCCGCATAGTTACGCTGGAGATCTGCGTAAGAACAAGACAGCCGACTTTAGCCGGAGTATCTCCCACTGTATCTCTACGTGTACAAATCCCTTGGGCATAACTTAACTTAACGGAGTAAACTAAAACGTGTAATAAATATAGACGATTGATCACTACTTACTTCTGATCGTGGGTCTAAACTGCACAATATTATCGGCATTCAAAGCGAAAACTATCGATGGAATCGCGTATAATGATACGGACCAATAAGTGGTCGTCGAAGGATTCTGTGCGGTTCTGAAGATCGATCAGTTGTGAGAATCAAATAAGAGAATCGAACAAAGGCTAGACAAAAGAGGAAAGGGCAAAGGAAAGAAGACTGAGGAAGCGAGCAACGGCGACAGAATCGAAGAGATTAAGTGGAAGAGATATTAATCGATTAAGCAGCTGCATGCACTCACCGGTCATACCTTTGATGTCGCTCATACTAAAGCCAGACCTCATGATCTGCTCCATGTGGGCGGACGGCTGGGTATGCTGGTCCTGGATTGCCTGGTCCTCGAGCAGCCGGTTCTGGCGTATCTTGATCTCCTGCCAGCGGTGCTGCTTCTCCGCCTCGCTGATAAAGCTCGACTGGCAGATGATCGGCAACGATAGCCGCAGGAACTCCCAGTTGGCCTTCTCCATGGTCTCGAAGGTGTTGTGCGAGATCTTGAGGCAGGGCGGCGTGTCCGAGCCCGCGGGTATGCGCGCCACGTCGATGCGCGTGTCCGCCATGTCGTCGGTGTTCTCGAAGATCGGCTGGTCCTTGGTGTACCAGTAGGTCACCGGCCGATTCATGTTCCTGCCCAACGCACGTTTCGCGGGTCAGTCTCGTGGCTTGGCAAGGCTCGGCCGCGTCGCACACTTACACGCAGAACGGCTCGTAGCCCTCCTGCAGGCCGCAGGTCGTGAAGAACTTGAGCGTGTTGACGTCCTGGCCGAAGGTCAGCTTGGCCCTCTGGCCGACGCCCAGAGTGAAGGCCGGCACGAAGCAGTCGCCCTGCACGTCGGCGAACGACGTTTCGCCGCCCAGCGCGTCCATCAGCAACTCCCCGTTCAGCGAGAAACCTGCGCGTTACGGCCCCCCCGGACAAACAGCATCGGTTAGACCTTCGCAACGTTCGCTCGAACCTACGCACGACTTGTTCGCTGATAACTTTGGCAAACTTGGAAACTCTAGCTGTTTGATGATCGAACACGCGAAACTCGGACGAGTGCAAAACAGTCGCAAGTTAGACTGCAAAGTATGATTAGGACTGTGCGCGAACATGCTCTCGAGACGACAGATGACAAAAGGTGCAACTACTACACATCTACAGCGCAGTCGTCAATGAGACTTTCACTGGAGTTTAGCCGACGCGAGCATCGCTCGGTGTTAGTTATAAAAATGACGATTAGCTTAGTATGACAGAAATATTTGACTGTTAAGAGATCACACCAAGAAAGTACTGGATATTAAAAAACTTGTATACACTGACGTTAGCCACTAAAAATCTTCGACACAAATCGTAAGTGTATTCCCGCTGTAGCTCGTTATAGAGAAAGAAATTTATCTGTATCCAGTGACTTTGGCAGTGCACGGTAATAATGCAACAAGATAACAGAAGCTATTGCGTTAAAGATAGCCTCTTACTGATCGTTCGGTCAATCAGATCCAAGAAAACGCCGACAACATCGCCGACCTGCCATTGCTTGCCGAAAGTCTCGGCAGTGCCTGAATACACTTTTTCCTCCTTGAATCAAAATGTTCATGTACAATATCAACAAGCTGCTCGTTTCCCGCTAACTCATCGCTTTTGCCATCTTTCAAATATCCATAGCCAGCAAAAACGCAACTACTGCACACGTCAGTCACAGTCGATTCGCGGCTGATCGAAAGAATTTTAATAACAGCGACATTTACGGGAAGGTCGTTACGACAATTACGATAACACTTTGAAGGTTCCGCAACGTGGACAATTTAAGACGCAAGGCAAACTTCCACAACAGAAATAACAACGGGAATAGAAAATGCGATAAGTATTAATGTCATGAAATGAATTATTCAAATCGAAGGGATTATCATTATTTGCTTCTTACTGATAGTTCTGTCGTTGGCGTCAAAAAAACATCCGACAACGTCGCCCACTTGTAATTTTTGACCGAACGACTCGTTGGAGCCACAGTGTACTTTGGTTACCTGATTCGCGTGGCACAAAACGATTCATTGAGTACAGTGGCTTGGCCGATAACTCTTCGCGGGAAACGAAAAATCGCTCGAATGCGGCGGCGGCGGCGGCGGCGCCGGATCTTATCTGCGCTATAATGAAACTTACGTTATAGCCGTCGAAGGCCCAGGTATTTTCGTCGCTACCCAGCATGCTGCCAGGCGCGCAGTCGGCCTTGGCCCAGCCGACGCGCATTGGACCTGCAGTCATTACTTCGAACTCGAAGTACCATTTGCCGCTACTCACCGCATAGTGCTTTTCCACTCTGTACGTGCGGAACTGTTGTTGCCGCTGACGACTGGCCTCCATCAGCATAGCTGTGTACAAATCATTCCTCGTGTTACATCGGTTTTGCCAACTTGGCGAATGGTGTAACAGACAAGTAAATTAAATTAATTCATTGCTTTATATTAACTCGTTAACCTAATTTCATTCAGCCATTAAACGACCAGTCTTTTTCCTGGTATTTTTAAGAGAACAGTTAGTTCGGTTAATTCGCTCTATCTTTTTAATCGACTTTCACATATCCTTTCCACACAACTAACAATTGCGTACGTTCCATTTGTCTGCAATCGCTGCATTTTTTTTTTTTTTCTAATGTCAACTGGCATGGAAAGGAAAAATGAGGCGGCCAGAATGCGAATTTGAACGGTACTCGGTAGAAACTGGTTCAAACAAATTCATAACTGTTCTCTGGTGGAGTGAAGATTAAAAACAACAAGACGAAGAGCGTGACGATCGCACATCCAAAATACAAATATTACGCGAGGAAAAATCGATGATTAACGTTTCATTAGAATGTCGCGACAATGAATTTCGAGGGAGCTGGTTGGTCGTACAAGCCCTCAACAGTCATTCAGGACGAATTCTTATGTAAAGCACACTCGAGATTTGCATGAGTAAAGCTTGAAACACAGTGCAAAAAGCAACAAACGACTGACTGGCAAGTGGTCAGTTGAGAAAGAAAAGCGAATGACTGGTGGCGAGGTTGATTAAGCGCGTCGTGGAGGGTAAGGATTAGTGGCAAAATACCTGCGAGCAGTACCTAAAGTGAGGCAATTACTTTCGGAAGCAGAACTTTCGAAGCGCTTATTTACGAGCATCAACATTTCTAGAAAAGGAAAAAGTGCAAGTGAGCCAGGAGGCGAAGCATCCGGGGGTGGCGGGGTGGAGGGGGGGGGTGCAGTTGGAGCAAGGGGCCGGGGGCGAGGGCGAGGGCCGACCTTCGTGCTGCTCGCCGGTGGGCGGATCGAGCATGTAGCCGTAGACGAGGAGCGTGCGCACGGTCTCGCTGGCGGTGTCCCGGTTGGCCTTCTTGATGGCCTCGTCGACCTTGGCGTAGGGCACGAGGTGAGGGCTGCGCCGCATCTCCGAGTCCTCGTTGAGGCCGTAGGTCCAGCCCTGGCCGATGCGCTCCTTCGCCCAGAGGTTGTGCGTGTTCTCGGCCAGCTGGTCGACGAGCTCCTCCATCTTGGGCGTGAGGCTGACGGCGCCGAGGTCGAGCGGCGCCGGCCGGTAGCCGGTGCTCTGCGTGAAGCGGTCCTGCGGCAGGCGCAGCGTCTTGATGCGCGACGGCGGCTTGTCCATGCTGATGTAGTAGCCGAGCGCGAGCACGGTCTTGAGCGTCTGCACGGCGAGCTGGGTGTCGTAGCGCTTCTCGGCCGGCGGCAGCTTGTCGAAGGGCACGATGCACGGGTGGATCTTGCGCAGGTCGTCGCGCTGCTCGCCGTACGTCCAGCCCGCCTCGATCTTGTTCATGGCCCACATCTCGTGGATGTTCTCGGCCAGCTTGTCGCGCACCTGCTCGACGTAGGACGCCAGGTTGACCATCGACGTGTCCACGGGGCAGGGCACGAAGGCCGTGTCGTCCTCCATGAGCCAGGGCCCGGCCAGCACCACCTTGGCCATGTTGCCGAAGTAGAAGCAGGGGTCCAGCGAGAGGATCTGCTGGGGCAGCAGCGACTCGACCAGCGGCGAGAACTCGGCGGGCGGTTGGTACTTGAGCCGGCCGTGGTCGCCGCCCAGCAGGAAGCGGCAGCTCAGCTTGCTGGAGCAGCTGATCACCGGGAAGAACATGCCGTCGAGGTTGAAGTCGCGGAACGAGCCGGCCACCGGCGCGCCGTTGAAGGCGAAGCTGATCACGGGCACGCCGAGGTCGAGCGAGCAGCCGATCACGTCGCCCTTGCGGATGTGCGGCGGCGGCGGCGGCGACGCCGCGGACGGGTCCGCCGGCGGGCCGTCGGCCGCGGCCGGGCCCGGGCCCGCCAGCTCGCTGCGCCGGCCACCGGTCCACAGGTGCGCGCCGTCGAAGCCGTACGAGTAGAGGTCGTCGCCGACCCCGTTGCCGCCCCACTTCTCGCCGCCGCCCGGGTAGGGCATGTAGCCCGCCGTGTTCGCCCAGCCGATGCGCAGGTGCGGCGCCATGTGGGTCGTCTGCTCGATGTGGTCGACCGTCACCTCGAAGTACCACTTCTGGTAGAGCGACGAGCCGTCCACGCGGCCGACGAAGATGTTGGGCCGCACGCTCGCCACGTGGTCCACCAGCTGGGTCTGCAGCAGCAGGTTCTTGCCCGGCAGCAGGAAGTCGCAGATGTTGTTCTGCGAGGAGCGCACCGCCACCCCGTTGCCCACGCACAGCGAGCACAGCACGTCCAGCACCTTGGGGTCCCGGCCGTGCTTCTCCAGCAGCGAGATGATGACCTTGATGTGCTCGTCGCGCATCATGTTCAGCGCCTCGGGCGAGTCGATGAGCACGCAGTGCAGCACGTCGAGCATGCCGGTGCCCTCGCCCGAGGCCTGCGAGCCCAGCCGCGAGAACAGCCAGTTCAGCCGGTTGCTGTTGGCGAACTGCGCGCAGTTGGTGTGGTTGCCCTTGATGATGGCGGCCAGCAGCTGGTACAGGTAGCCCGAGATCTGGTCCCAGGCCTGGCCGCTCTCGTCGCCCGACAGCGCCACGAGGAAGCCCTGCGACGTGATTACGTTGATCTTGTCGATCGCCTCCAGGATCAGGTTCAGGATGCCCTCCTCTTGGAACAGATCCTGCCGGTTGCGCAGCGCGCGGAACCGGTTCTGCTTCTCCTCGTGCTCTGCGCACCAAAGCCAATCGGCCTCGCTGAGTCTGCTGCCGCGACAGGCCCACTTCCGCGACGCTTACCCATGTCGTCTTCCGGCTGGGCGAAGTAGTTGATCAGGTCCTCCAGGCACATCACCATCTCGTTCAGATTCACGTTCTGGAAAAATATCGAGGCCCTCCTGTCCTCTTGCAGCATCTCTAGGCCTCTGAAACAGTCCAGTTTGGCCGTTCCAGTCCAGTTGCGCAAGCCCACGCGGCCGCGACTATACTTACGAGATGAACTGGGAAAAGAGGCTGCTGCACTTCCGTATGACCCGGGCCGTGCGCGACTCCTCTTCTTGCGATCGCGAGAAGTCGAGACCGTCGTCCATCTTGCCTTCCTCGTGCAACACCGCCTGTTTCTCCTCCACCTTGCCCACGCCCTTCTTCTTCGTCTCGTACGACTGCGAACGAGTGCAAATTGCTTTTCAACGGGACGCGGACGGCGCCTCTCCTGGCTACTCACTCTTCGCTACTCAAAGTCACATGTACGACAAACATTTCAGCCAACACCGTTCGTTCGATCGACGATTCAACAACTTTTACAGATGTTACTCACTCGGAGTTCTCAACTCTATTAATTCTACACTATTAACGCTTACGCGAGTACACCTGATGTACATTCATTACGCCACAGCTATAATCGCATTGCAATAATAATGATAATCAAAGGAATCGACGCTACAAGAGGTTCTTTTACACTTAGCTTCCTTTCGGATGATATTCATGCCAAAATATACGAAGGATCGTATGCAAAGGCGAGTACTCGATGGGCTCCATTACACATGCTGACAATGGAATGGAAAATTAGAAAGGCTAATTTATTACTTGGTGTTTTCCGTTTATTTTCCCTTGATAATTAATCATGAGCGGCGGCTGGCTTGGACGCTACATATAACGTGCGAATCAAACTTGTTAGAACGAATGCCATTTGAACGGGCAGTGATGAACTTGTTTACCGCATGAAAGAAAATCCTTGAAGATAAAATAAAAAGTTGACTGGACGTAGCAGATAAGGAGTTGAGTAAGCAGGCTTTTCCGTTTTTCGCGTGGCACAAAAGCATTCGAGCCTTTAAGAGCGACAAGCGCACACTTGCAAATCGATCATTCGAATTTCAACGAGACGTCTCGATAGTTGGCAATGTACTTGGACTTGTGGGCCTCGAATAGCTTGACCGTTTGCTCAACGAACATCGCGTGGTACTGGTCTATTTGTTCGACGCTGGGGTTGCTAATTTTCGGGACATCCATCGCAGAGCCCACTGCAAAGAGCGATTTGACGGTTGTGAAGAGGGTGCAGCGGAGCAACGGGGGCGTTGCGAAAGCAAGGCGTCGACGCGCCGACCTACCGACGATATTGATCGGCGCTCTCCTGGGCATGAGGCCAAAGGAATATTGAAAGAAGCCACGGCCATTGAACCAGACGGGCGTGAATCCGATGTACTCCCGGACGAAGCGCTGGATGAGCCCGAGGAGGGAGCCCTCCGGGGCGGCGATCTGCTCGTAAATGTCAGCCTCGCCGAAGGAGATGACGGGCACGAGGGCGGTCCTGGGGAGCACACATCGAGGGTGACGGCCAGGCGGCGGGGAGGGGGCGCGCGAGGGACAACTAACCCGTACTGCAGTGCCATCTTGACGAAGCCCTTCTTGCGCTTGAGCTCGAGATTGTAGCTGCCGGGCCTGCTCCTGCGCGCCTCGCTGCCTCCGCCCACCAGCAGCACGAGCGCGCGCCCCGTGAACCTGCCGTGCCGGGGCTTGCTCGACAGCAGGTGCTCCATGCTCTCCTTGCCGCAGCTGCAGACACCTGTCAAGGGGGGACGGGGGGGCACGTTAAGCGGCGGCGCGGCGTTGGGGACACCGGGGACACCGGGGACACCTACTCAGATTCAACAGGTGCTCCCGCATGAACGGCACGAGGAAGTTCAGGTGCAGCGACAGCGGCCTGAACTCCAGTCCGGGAAACAGGCCCTTGCTGTCGAGGCTGTCGTTCACGAAGGCTATGCTCAGGCCCAGCGGAATGATGCCGTGGGGCATGGCGCCCAGAATGTAGTTCCTCGTAGGCTCGAGCTCGGCCGTTTTGATCAACCTCATCGGGAAGTAGCCCGTGTAGTAATCCCAAAACCGACGCTGCCCGTAAAAGCAGTAGAGCCACTCGCTGGCAACAATCATCATTCCCAGTGTTTTTCCGATTCCCATTATCGCCGCTCCATTCCCAACTTACGGCCTGTTCACGCTCAAGTGGTACTTGCTGTCGAAGTAAATGAACACCAAGTACGCCAGCATCAAGCATCTCGACCACGCGCCGCCGGCGATTATCGCGTACAGCACAATATACGCACTGAGCATCACTCCGAAGGTGAATATAAACACTCCAACGAATACTGCGGCCGACTGCAGTCGGCGCTCCAGCGGTACGTTCAGAGGTGCGAACCTCACGCCAAATATCTCCATTATTCTTGCCTCCGAGCAAACTATTCTCGATCGCTTTAAGCTCCGGCCCGATGATGCTCATCGAGCGTCGTCCACATCGTCGTGATCGCAACTCAAGCTGCACTGGCACTCTTCGCGCGCTACTCGCTCTTGCGCCTATCTTATCTTATAATGGCGGCTCGTTAAATACCAATTTCGCCATTTTCATCGATGCGTCCTACTACAATGGCGAGCTTTCTTAAAACGTTGCTTTCCCATGGGCATTTACTTTCGTTATTCGGTGCCAATTGGGACAGCCGGCGAAAACTGACCGAGGAAGCGTCCGTGTAAAAGAACTCTTTTACTTTACTGCAAAGGTCTACGTCTTACTGGTTGGATTCTAATAGTTAGCATGCGGTACAGCGATGCGACAAGTGGGTTATTCGTGAAAATGGTACCTGCGTGGCAACTTGGAACTTTTTACGCGCCGGCTTCTATGAATGGCGTTTTATCGCAACCAAGTAAATCGAGGGCATCGAGGGCAATGAGTATGCAATCGGCAGATTAATCGGATTGTCACGAGATCGAGTAGGTCTTATTTGGAGGCGATCTGAGAAACCGAGCTACCTTGTAGGAGACCCAGAGGCAGAGATGGGCGTGCTGCATGATGACCGTGGAGTCGCCGTACTTGATGATCGGCGTTCCGATCACCTCCAGATCCTTATCTTCGAGCACGATCTTCTGATCGTCCTTCTCTTGCCGAAACCAGAAGGTCGATGTGTCGATGTTAGCCTGCTTCCTGCGTGCACAGGCGAGAGAACGAGCGTTAGGGGCGCAGTGCGAAAGCGGGCTACCGTTGGGCGGAGGCGAGGCAGGCGCACCGGTCGACCAAGTGGAGTTCGTTGTTGTCCTTGACGGCGAGGTAGCGCCCGGTGGTGAGGTGTCTGATCCTCATGGGATGCAGCCAGTTGATGAAGCCGCCGGCCCACTTGGTCCTCGCGAGCTCGAGTCGCCACAGCGAGCGGGCCTGGCTCATGACGCTCCCGCCCTCGTATATGACCAAACTGAGAAGCAGACGTATGAGCGAGCGGCTGGCATCTCGCGATGGCCGGTAATGGGGGGGGGGGCCTCACTCACTTTTGAGCGGGCGCGCTGCTCCAGGTGGAGGGAATGGTCAGGCACTCGTCGCCGCCGTGGAAGAAGCGCAGCACGTCGCCGCCGAACACGTAGCCGACGTACTTCATGCGGCTGATGCCGGTGCCGTAGGGCTGCACCGACCAGTGCGTGACGTGGAACGAGGCGTTCACCACCGACAAGTCGTTCTCTTTCGTTGTGTGCTGGCGTCGCGGCAGTGCGGAAGGAACGGCAAGCTCGAGTCAAGCTGTGCTTCGGGTAGACTTCGGGTAGACAAAGTACACTCACCAAGTATCGTTCGGTGGCCACCGACACCAGGATCAGGTCGTCTCCCACGCGCACCTTTTCGCCCTCGGACCTCTGCTTGGAGGCCGGGTGCACGGTCCACCAGCAGGCCTCCCCTGCCAGACAGACACCGATCGGTTATTCCGTGCGAGCAGCGAGCGCCGCGCCATTGGCTCACCTTGCGAGTGCTCTTGCAGGCCGACGTCGAAAGCCAATTTGTCGTTCGATGAACTCGTGGACAGGCACGCCAGGTACTGCAATCGCACGTTTCGCCCGTCAGTTTGGAGCGGCGAGCGCTCTGGCGCCGCTACTTACCATGTCGCTGTTGAGGTGCCTCAGCAGAATGGCGTTGCCGTAGAGCAGCGTTCGGTGTCCGGAGCCAGTGCCCTTCCCCTACGAAACGTTGGCTCATTAACAACCTTGCTATCGACCGACGTTATTGCTGCGCGCTCATTGCCGAAAGTCTTCCTCAACGTACAAACTAGTGCTCGAACGTCTCTTGTCTTCGCAGTCAGACACTGGAGCGAGCGAGCGTGCGTGTGTACGGAGATTTTTTAATATTGTATAAGCTTGCCAACTGAACTTCACAACTTTTTTAGTCTACTGATACAACCTATAACGTCAACGGATTTTCATCAACGAAGCAAGCGCACTGTCCTTGTTCGCTCGATCGACTATTCTTGATTCGTTCATGAAAATTCATAGCCACTAATATAAGGCAAAAGTGCTTTCCGTTTTCAAATCCGCTCGGATTGTTTGCGTCGCTACTCGCAGTCTCATTGCCGTCTAACTAGTGTACGCTCCGTTTATTGCTCGTACGAGGCAAACACATCGGAGACGTGTGTGTGCGCTTGTGTGTCAACCAATTAACAAAAAAAATACAAGCTTCCTGACCGGAATAGCATGAGGAATATCAGCCACAGTATGCTGCATGAAACACCAATTACTCGTTATTGATAAGAAAATAAGAAAAACGCTTGGTAAAGCCATGATATATATATATATATATATATATATATATATATATATATATATATATATATATACGCGAGTCGAAAGAAAAAAAAGAAAGCTTACGAATCGAACGGATAAAAATAAATAAAAAAAAGATACTTTCGTGAAGTATATCTACAAAATTTTGACGACTGCGGAGCCAATGAGTCCTTCACTCGTAAATACTTACTAAGTTGTCTTGCTGCTGCAAACAAAAACACAATTGGATAAGCATTGGTATTAAGCTATCGAGACTCGATCAAAGTAAGCCATTGCTCCCATGAAGAGGACTTGCGAAGCCAGACAATTAATTGCACATTGCACGCTCCTTCTCATAAGAGCAATGAAATAGCATGCAGATGATCCGTTTGTGCGTGAAAGACTAGCGAAAGCATGCGGCTCAGGTGAAGGCGCCGCTGATTTCGATAACAAAGTTATGTTCATCCGTCGTGTTGTCGGAAACCGCGGTGCAAGTCCGAATTGAGCACGCTATAACGCGAGCAAAAGAGGACGATTCCTCGAGGCTTCCCAGCACGCGCGACGCCGATCGGTCGATCGGTGAAGGGCCCTCGAATGCAGCAGCTGCGCCTGTGCACATCTCGATAATTAGCCTCAAGTTAATCGATATCAGTCGGACGTACGCGAGTGTCCGACTGTTATTCGGATAATCGAAGTAACGAACGACTCGCAGACGCCTTGCAGCCATTCGCGTCGTCGTGGATCGAGGAGTCGCGCGAGCAAACACCCAACCGGTGCATCGATAAATGACTGCTATATAGTTACCGTCTCGGAGCCGGCAGCGGTGACCAGTTCCTGCAGCGCCCTCACGGACAGTGCTTGCTCGATCACGAACACACATTGCGATAAGTCTGGCGGCACGTTCTGAAACGAGATCAATTCCGCGTTAGGCCCATCGGACAGCCAACCAGCCGCATGGCAAGCATGCTCAACCCACCTTGTCGGCAATGTTTTCGAGAAAGCAGTGGCGGTTGCCGAAGCCCTCGGCAGCCAAACAGACTCGTTCCCCGGTGGCTGTGCACGAAAGACACACCATGTCTTCCTGTCATTCAAAAGACAACGCCTTTACCTCACCTTTCATTGCATTAGCTTTACGTTCGACGCCCTTCGTTTACGTCCTACCAGTGTCCAGAGTCAATTTTCTTCCCGACAAATCTCTTACCTCTCGCTGTCGTCTTCGTCGTTTCCTCGCAACGTAAACGGCTGACCGCGACAGCTCGAGAAACTATGCATTTTTCTACGTCTACGTTCGTTAGGCTTTTGCGAAAGCTTGGCCCGATTCGGGCTACAGTGCTCAACATTTTTAGCCCTCCCAATCTTTTGGATCCACTGCCGAGCTCGACGCTTACTTTGCGCGCCGAGCCTGTCGCTTTCTGCGGGACCTTCCAATTTTTCGCTACTACTAAATTGCTACCATAGAGCCAGAGCACGGAATCTTGATGGCTTATTCGTCCGAGCTCTATCGACAATTTTTATTTCGTCTGCCAATGTGGGCTAATGTTCGATTAGGCCAGCGTCTACTAGATTTTTTTTGTTTTCGAACTCTTTTTCTAAGCTTGCGCGCTGCGTTGGCTGTACTTTTTGGAATGTTCGTTCAACTTGAATTACTCAGTGTACTGCGGAGCTCTGCGGGCTTATAGAGCGCGAGGGACGAAGCGCTTCGTGACATTGCTCGACGTACGGCATAAGTTGAAGGTGGTTGGGTGGTTGGGTGAAGGTGGCGGTGTCAAGTTGTGACGGGAAGAGCGACCGTTGAGATCGCTCGCCCTGTTCGCCGCTCTCTCTCTCTCTCTCTCTTCCGCGTGCCTTCCCCTTCGCCGCTGCCACATCGGTCTTGGTTGATTCGAACCAAGTATCAACGCACGATGTGGCTTTGTTTCAGGTCTGATTCCTGATCGGCGTCGATGGTTAGAGCAGGAGGGACGGGGCGAGCAAGACGAGAGAGTGAGAGAGAAATAGCGTCGCCCGGCATGAGTCGCACATGTGTGCGTAGCCGGCGGCGCTCGGCCATTTTTCGAAGATCTATAGGAACGGGTGGGAAACGTGCCGCGGAAAGCACGAGGCCGCGAGAGCAGTATGGTTTTGACCAGTATAGCGACAATTAGCTGGATTGACCTCGCGATCAAGAAAAAGCAAGTGCGCCAGTGACTGTGCGACGTACAACTACCGGCTCTCTCGTCAGATAATTTTCCATCGAGGATCAAAGGAGAGGATTAGCAACGTCCGTGGCATCTACGTCTACGCTCCGAGAACAGAGGCTGAGCCGATAGACGCGGACGTCCTTCTACGGCGCTCCCTCCTTAAGGTCAGCTACCTCTTTTCTTTGGTGCGCACTTTGATTTCTCTCTCTCTCACTCTCTCTCACGGCATCATATCGGCGGGACGCGGACGAGTAGTTGTGCGATTCGCACCGCATCCACGGAAAAGTATAATTAGAGAGTGTAAGGCGACGCTTTGTCTCCGGTGCGTTCGCTCGCACGAGACAGGCTAGCCCGTCCTTCGTTCGATGCGGCTAGAATCGCATCGTACATGTCAATTGGAAAGATTAATAAAAGAAAAAGTGTAAATGAGAATAGAAGGAAATTGTTTTACATATCCCTGTCTTCTCTCTTTTAGAAAAGTTAAGTTTAGTTTTTTTAGAGTAGTTAGAGTATTTGTGTTTTAATTTTGAGATAACAGACTCAGAGCAGTGCGTGTAATTCGCATTGCCTGAATATAATTTTACTTAATTTATTATTGGAGTTGTAACGGACAGAAACGAGTGGCCCTTAATAAAGGGAATCGAAACTAATGCGTAAAAGTCGCATTCGTCGACAAGGAGCGTAGGTCGGACTGTAGTTTAATTTGACAATAACGGAAGACGAGTTAGCGTTAGTTAATAGTGTCCTTTGTTTTACATTTAATTTTAGTTTTATTATTAAGACAGCTGCTCGACGCGGTCATCGGTTGTGCCCACATCGCGAGCGTGACGGGTGACTGGGCGTTCGGGTGGTGCGAGAAGAAAATAACTCGTCGAGATGCCGCCGGGCGGGACGGCGAACGCGATCACGCGCGAAATTTTCAAAGATAGATCGGTGCGGGCTCCTAAGCGGCGAATCAACGAGATGCAGCCCGCGGAGTTGATAGGTCTCCTGAAAACCGATGGCCTTAGCGTGACGGGTAGCTTCGGGGAACTCCAGGAGCGGCCGGAACTCAATCCACCCCTGGGTCCTGGTGACTTTGAAACGGGCCTTGTGCCGGGCCCACCGGATAGCCAAGCGGAGCGAGCAACGGACGAGTAGAGCGCCAGATCGCCTGCGTTCATTCGCAGGCGAGAGAGCTCGGCGGCCGCGGACAAGGTGACGCTCAAAACACGCCGGATGGCAGGGCGACGGCTGCCGCTGATGCGAGGAATGAACTGACACCTCACGGGGAGGTAGCGTTCCGGGGTATTGGGGGCGAGTCTAACGTTTACAGACGGGTATGGAATGTCGTCGCGAGTCTGTCCGGATTGGTGATGCGTAGGGAAGTGCGAGCCGCGGTATCCGAAAGCGCGAGTAATTTGTATCGCGTAGAAGAGGCCGCGCTAGGAATGCAGGCGGGTAGACGGGACGAGCCGCGCACCGAGGGCACAACGGCAGCTCGGATTCTGCGTCGCGCCGGCGATGACGAATTTTTTTCAGAAGAGGAAAGTGATGCCACCGCAATAGGAATTTCAAGATTGTCAGATAGGAGGACGAGTGCCCCGGCCTTGTCGCGACGAAGCGAATACGCCTTCCGGACTTTCCCCTTTTAAATAATTTGTGGCGCGTCGTTATTTGGGCTTGTTTCCGACACGCGATTCGCGAAAATTGGAAAACACAAAACGAACGTGTTACCCAGTTGGCAGCGCTTTTTCGAGCGTAAATCAACGGAAGATGTTTGGCCGTTCGAAGACGAGATCGAAATTGCGGGGGTGCGCGAGCCGGGCGATGATAACTGTTGCAAATAGCCGAGGACGCGAGCGTACGCGTAGGCAGCGAGAGCCCGAGGACGACGGAACAACATCGAAAACATCGAGCGAGCGAGAGGAGGTGGCGGCGGTGGTGTGTGGTAAGCGGCGCTGTCGCTCGCGAGCGACGCGTGATTTAGCGCGTTTCGAAAGCCTCGCACAATGCGACGGCATTTGCGAAATTCGCGTTGTCGGATTTGGGCCAAGAGCCGGGCGCGTGCCAGAAGAAAAGCCGCCGGTCCGGGGGGGAGGCGGCGCGGGCGTCGATCGGCAAGGCAAGCTCGGCCCGCGCGACAGTCGATAGCGCGAGCCCGAGGTCGCGCGCGGCGTCGCCCGCCGACCGGCTATCAATCTGCCGCGTCGCCGCTCGGCTTTCTTCGGCCGAGCGGGCTCGGCTGGCGGCCACGTCGCGCCGGTCGTCGCGATCGACCTTGGCACTGGCTGACCTGTCGCATCAATGAACGCACGCTCGCTCGACGCAGGCGCAGCGTCGCGAGCGCGCACGCTGCTCGCCGCACGTGCCCCATGCTCCCCGCGCCGCATCGATCCCGCGAGCCTCGTCCGTCTCCGCTCGCCACGCTCGCCCGTATGGATAACGCCCGAATCGCCTGCACGCGCGTCTCGCTCTTCGTCCAGGCGAGCCTGGACTAATTTTAATAACGGCATATCGACAAGCAAAATACAACCATAAACGAGAAAAACGTTCCGACTGACTGCGGTACAGCCGTCGAATCTCGTGGGTCAAGGTCGTGTCCCAAGTCCTCGCACTCTGTCGCTTGCGCTGTGTCACACCGACGTTCGCGGGCGTTTCGTCTTCCATATGCAAACCGAGCAATGCATTTAGTAATCGCGATCAATTTCTCCGATGGTTATATTTAGATGGATGCTCAAATGTTTGTTTCGTCAAGTAGAATGGATAGCAAGAGCGCATTTGGAAACGACTATAAAACCTGTAATCGACATTGGATCCTTTGCAAAGAAAGGAAAAGCAATTTTGCAATCTCTCAAATTAAATAACGATGATTGTCGGGAGCACGAATGCACGCTCGACGGAACAATGCAGCTGAGAACAAGATGCGAAATGGGATGAAGTTGCGAAGTAACGGGCAGAATATCGTTTGTCAGGCAATAAATATATCGAGAGACAGAGAGGGGGGGGGCGAGTGCTGGTGCGCGCACACACAAAGCCGTCACGTCGAGCCTGATCGAGCGTGTCAAAGAGAGGAGTTGGCGTGGCCGGCGAGGTCGCGTCGTCAAAGGGGCTATCGACGAGCACGTACGATCGACACGGTCCAGGTCTCGCAGCAGCCTCTCGATGCTGTTTATCCACGAGCGCCCGACGAAACGTCGCTTTCTTCTTCTTCTTCTCCATTGGCTCGACTCGCCTCCCATTTTTTCTCCGCTGCACTCCGCTGAGCTCGATGCCTGTCAACTGTTTGCTCTGTGTTTGTTTTGGACGAAACGGAGCCGCCACGTGTCATTCCCAGGCAAAATTTTAAGGTCCCTCAACGAGCTCACCAATCAACCCTCAGTTCGTACGGAATGCAAGTGCGCAGCGATGAAATTCTTGAGGAGAGTGGCGTCGCGTTCAGGTACATTCGGCAAAAATGGATTCGATTAGTCGAGCGTCGCAAGCGTAAGATGACATTCGAGGTTAGCTGCAACAATTCGCTTTCGGCGAGTAATCGAGAGAGCGGAGAGTTGCGACGAGTAGGCGGAGTTCGAGCGTTAGCAATTTGCTTTACTGATCGGCCGTTTAGATGCCCGACCCTTATTTGCCTTAGTTATTACACTTGAGCTTTTCAAAAGTTTCGCTCGAAAGGGAGCTTGGAAGAGCTAGGGCCTCGCTGACGATTACCTCAACGTGGGCAGCTCAACGAAATATCTAGTCCCGCGGCAGGGAACCTACTCCGACAGTAGCGGAACTGTAGCTTTAGCTCGAAACGAGCCCAGAGCCAGTGCGACGATAAAACTCGAGCCCACTTCGAAAATCCGAGCAGGCAGCTGGATCCGGAACCGGACGAAGCCGAGGGCGACTCGGCGTACGCCGGCGAAGACGGCAGCGAGCGGGACGAGGTGTCCCAGCGAAGCACCGAGCCGAAGGACGAGTCGGGCCCGAGCGAGGAGACGAGGCCCGCGGAGGACGCGAATAAGCGACTGCGTTTGGCGAGCAGCCGGCCCACGGGGGGCGGCAAGTGGAGGAGACGCAAGAGGAGGAACCCCTTCATTAGCTTCTTCCTGAGCATGTACTCGCGGCGGCCGAGGCAGCGCGTGACGGAGGTGGCGCGCCAGGCCGGCCGCCACTGGGGCCGCATGTCCGACAGCCAGCGCAGGCTCTACGCCGAGCCTCGCGGCCTCCAGCGCTGACGGCGCCACGGCCGTCCCCAAGCCCGAGGAGCCCGAGGAGCCCGAGGAGCCCGAGCGCGCGCTCTCCGCCGATCGGTCCAATAAAGCACGCGCCACGCCGACGAGCTCGGCCGAGCCTTACGTAAAACGAGTCGCCGGCTTTATAAATAAACGCGAAAACGAGGCTGCACCGCGTGCGCGCTCTCCGCCTGCCCGATGGAAAGTCGCCGCGGCGCTTCCGCTTCGCTCGCTTCTTCCGCGCGGACAGCTGTGCGACGACGTCGGGATTGCTGGGCGAGCTCTTTCGAAGGCTGCGCTCGCGAGTTAAAGACGCGCCGGTGCCGGCGAGATCCAACGTTCGCCAGTGGAGCGGAGAAGAAAGGGACGACGAACAGGTGGGCACAGGCTTGCCACGGCTTGGCGGCAGCGCTGAGCGCACACCCGTCCTGCTCGGCTCGGCCGTCTTGGTCAACAAGTGCGAGTACTCGAGCTACCGTTCGACGCGCGACCCGATCCGGGTGGTCGCCACGCTGTCGGGAGCAATGCATCATTGGCATACTGACCGTGCGGAGGAACGAGACGTCGTCCTGCTCGGAGCCTCCCTCGCTGTCTGCCATGCCGACGAGCTGACGCTGCTCGACTGGACCGCGTGGATCCTAGGGCGAGTCAGAGAGAGAGTTTTCGGGTCCTGATAGCCGGCGCCCGCCAGCCGGCATGACTCTCGGGCCCCGCCGCCGCCGCCGCCGCCGCCGCCGCCGCCGAGGCCGAGGACGAGCACGACAAGGAGCGCGCGGTCCAGCAGTGCCGCACCAGCCGGAGCTCTCGACGCACTGCCGCCCTTCTCGTCTGCTCCGGCTCTGCCTGCGACGCTTGCGCGCCACCAGCCACCCCTCGCCAGTCGCGATCAGCGCCTCTCCGCCACTGCCCCGCGCCTTCCGTAGTCCTCTGCTCGTCTGCGCTCCCCTTCCACCTGCAACGCAGTCGCAACCTTCACCAAAGGAGCTCCTTTCGCTTGCCACTGTCGGCCGACGCGTCCGGACCGGACCCTTTGCACTCGCCCTGGCGCCCCGCTCCGCTGCAACCTCGCTCGTCGACCTCTCTGTCGGCGTACATTTTCCAATCAATTTCAAACGCTGCGCCAAACGGAGAGATTCGAACGACTACCTCTATTCCGATTTTAAACGCGCGGCTTTTATCCGAAAAATCAAGTACGTCGTACCCATCGAACGAATTGGATTTAAGATGTTCATGGAACAGCTCCTCGGCAGAGGTGCAACGAGCATTATTCGACACGCATTTGGAAAACCATTTTTAAGCAAAGTTATATCGCAACGCTTCATTGCACAAGACGACACTCGAAGCTCGAAGATAGACGTGAGTTTGAAAGAGCAAGGCGTTAATTATCAGCACAAACGGCCATTCGATCGGGTTGCGAGAAACGCTTCATTTCCAAGCGAACCGCCACCGAAAATATCAAATGTTACGAAACTCGACGGACACGACTGCTTGAGATGCTTTCGAAGACGAGTCGAGCCTCGAAAGCGGGCTGTCGAAGGGTCGCGCTGCCTTGGAAATGCTGTACGCGTGCGCCTACGCGTTCAAAGCCCGCACTTGCGATTATTTTTAATCCTCAAGTTCAGGCTCAGCCGGCTAACGTTTGCGGTGCGCGTCGTTGCCACTGGCAAACCATCCATCGGCACGGTTCCGCGCGCAAGAGCACCTTTGAAAATCTCGGAAGAGAAATGGACGCCAATGGAGCCGCGAACGCACAGGCAACGCGACCGACCGAGCGTACGCTTGGCGGATTAGGACCGGCGTGCGGTGAAAATAGCAGCGTTCGAAAAGCAGGCGTCGGGCGACCTGTCGAAGAAGAGCGCGTGCAGGCTGAAAGTGCAGGGCTCCGCGATCCGCGATCCGTGATCGGTCGGGTGTAGGAGCTCGCAGACGCGTCGTCGACGGCGAGCGGGCAAAATAGCAGCGAGCGCTGGCTGACTAGGCGCGAGCCACGTGCAGCCACGGGGTGGCGGATAGTCGCATTCCCGAGGCCGAGAGCGAGCGAGGCGGCCGCTTAAATAGAACGCGCGCGCCCACTTCGCTGGCGCGGCCCTGCCGGGGCTTCTCTTTCTCTCTCTCTCTCTCTCTCTTTGCCGCCGCCGCCGCCGCCGCAGCTGCTCTCGCCTTCTACCCCGGACACAAGGTGGCTGACCCCCTTTCTCTCGCTCGCTTTTCCGCGCTCCGCCCGAGCTTTGCTCTTTTTCCGGCGTGCCTTTTCCATAACTGCTCCGATTATTTTCAGAGCGAAGCATTCTCGCCGAGCGAGCCGCGACTCTCGGCGAACAACTCGCGCGTACGCGACTTCGAACGTTTATTATTAGTCGTCATTTTAAACGCTCGAAACGCGAGCCCACTCCGCACTGCATTCAAGTTTCCTCGGCGTGCACGCTCAGCCCGCATTTCGGAGTTTCGCTGAACGCAGAACGGCGATAGCCATTGCTCGTGGACGCGTGCTAGCTGGTCACGGAGTATCGATCAGCTGTCCAAGTTGGAAAAACGCGACTGACCGACAGTTTGCCGAAAACCTCGAGGCGCACTGATCAATCGATGAGATCGCAGGAGTCTCGCGTCGTTATTTTTAAACGGAATGCGAGGCATCAATCATCAGGCTTGTTTCTCAAGCGAAACGATGAATGATTACTGTGTAGTAACAGGTACGCGCTTACGATCCATCAAAGCCGCGATATAAATAAACAAAAAAGTGTGGTGCACGCATGTGGCCCTCTGAAAATAGAAGCGGAAGAAAGTCAGAAAGTCAGAGCGGTACCTTAGCCGTGCTGCATTCGACGATACAAGCTTGCCTTCGAGCAAACTCTGTCGCACAAAACTCACTTCACTCGGCAAAATGTCACCACTTTGGCCGCAAGTTCCGAGCGCCGACGATGCGGCATCGCCGTAGTGCGAGGCGAACGTTGCTCTGGCGGTTAGAAAAAAAATGGCAAATCAACTCAAGCTGTTGAAAGTACAGACCGGTAGGAGAGAGGGAGCTCGTCAGCTTTTCCCAGCGGCAGCGACGACTCCAAGCCCCATCGGAGGGGGCATGTGGCGGCTTGTGCGAGCAGTCTCCGCGGTACACGACGTTTGCGCGATTCGGCCGATCGACGGCTTCTGCTGGCGCGTTCGCCGACCGGAACACTCGAGCAGCTCGCGCGCCCGCGTCCATGCCGACTATTTTTGGCAGCGAGCCCCCCTTCGATAGCGTAGTCGCAAGCCAGGCGAACGCAGCCGCCGCGAGCACCAAAATAGTGAGGGATGGCATTTATGGGTTTCATTCGACTGACCGATAACTCACAATCCGATTCCCGCTGCACAATCTCTCGTTCCACGTGCGTTCAACGTCACACACTCTCACTCCCCTAGTCTTTGCCCCAATTTTTACTTTCGTATGCATCTAGCCACATACCATTCATAATAACAGCTTCTCCTCGCAACAAACGTCTATTCCCATTTATTATTTCTCTTTCACAATTCCGGTGCCTTTTCCTTTAACAAAGACATTTGCCAATTTCCTCTCGAATGGTCTTCCACTTTTATACATGCGCCATCCATAAAGTACGCCGAAAACAATATCTAGAATCCCTCAAAAATTCAAACTATAGCTATAGAGGACAGCTGATAATGCTGATATACAGTAGTAGACTATAGCTATGACTTGTGCTGACTTGTGTTCGCAATCATGGAGCACCGGTAATCCGTAATAGCTGGGAGCTTATCAAAAAAATAGGTACCTATCCTTTTTTTCAATTTCTCTTCATACGATAACAGTGCAATACATTCTCTTATTATTCTCTTTCTAATTTCTTTGATTAATTACGACATCTCACTTATCATTTTATACATTCACTGATGCATTTTCTTTTCATAAAGGTTAGAAAATAGAATGCTACATGAACCATGTATATACACACGCTCAATAATTGTTTATTTATTGTTACAGTTCTCTTCCAAAACGTTTATATGCTATCATAGCACTGCATAGTTTAAAAATAAACGACTATCAAAATGAAAAAGAAACTAGTTATATTATTACTCCTACTATATGGCTCTCACTTCACAAATGCAGATATATTTGATATATTGTATCTGACGCAAATAAAAGATTTATACTGCAATTTATTTGAATGCTGCAATGACAAAACAGTGCCTTACAAATTAGAAAGTGTGTATTTTACATTGCCAATTTTTGTATAACTTCATCTGAACATTTTAAGCTAGAAATAATTATTCTTGGATAACCAGGTCTTCAATCAATGCTTGAGATAAAATTATATGGCCAACATATAGCAGCAGAAGTAGTACTTAATGCAGTCAATAGTCATCTTAGAAAATCAAAGCCTCAAAGACCATTAGTTATGAGTTTTCATGGAGCAAATGGTGTTGGAAAGTCATATGTTTCAAAGATGATTGCTGAAGCTTTATACAAGAATGGAGAAAATAGTAAATATTTTCATTTTTATTATGGTCTAGCAGATTTTCCATCTAATGATAAAAATAAAATAAACGACTATCAGGTAATTTTTATTAAATGATCAAATTACTTTATCAGTCAGGTGCTAATCAAGATATTTAATTTTTATAGACACGACTGAAAAATGAGATTCAAGAATCTATTAGCAACTGTGGAAGATCCTTATTTATCATTGATGGAGTTGATTATATAGCACCTCATGTACTGGATGCAATCATGCCATTTATAGACTGTTCGAACTGTGCAAAGAAAATTGAAAAAAATAAATCAATTTTCATTCTTTTAACTAACACAGGAAGCAAAGCAATAGAAGAAGAACTTCTAAGGAGAATGGACGATGGTATGAAACGTGAATCACTTAGTCTTAAAGATTTTGAAATGATCATTATCAAAGAAGTCTTTAATCATGAAGGACCTTTTCATAAAAGTAAACTGGTTCAATCTGATGCTATAGGTTTTTATGTTCCGTTTTTACCATTAGAAAGACAACACGTAAAAAAATGCATCAAAAAAGCCTTCAGAGAATTAAATTTCAAAGCAACTGAAAATTTAATAAATATCGTTTTAGAGGAACTAAGATTTAGTCCTACACCAAACTTTTATTCAACGAGTGGTTGCAAACGGGTAGACCAGATAGTTGGTAGAATATATTATAAAGCCAATTCATTGAATGATTTTAACGCAATAAATAACGAATTATAAATCTATATTATATTTTTTAAGATTTCACTTATATACAGAGTACATTTAATTTCAGTGCTATTTTATAATTACTTTATTTATATGAATATAATTTATTTGTCAAATGGAATAAAACCTAATTTATTATCGTGTTGGTACTTTGCTATTCTGTATTGTATCAATACATGGACAAAACAATTCCAATTTATACAACCCTATTTGTTTCTGTTTATACATATTGTATAGATACATATTACATATGTTTATACATATATTGTACTTTTAATCAAAGTATATTTTGTATTTTATTGTTATATGTATAATAAAAGTGATAATTTAATAAATATTTATATTTTATAATTGAAGTGTGTCTTTATATCTTGCATTTCATTTACATTTTTACAATTTTTTACTTTTTCTTAGGTTGAATAAAAAGTTTAACTAAATTCGATTCGATTTACTGTACAAATATCACGAATCTAAAACCTCACCCTGCCCTATTGCCTTATCTTCATATCATACCGTACTCCACGCAGTCGCAATGAATTGACTGACAGCACAGCAGTCAAGTCATAAATAGTGTAGTCACAAACAGCAAGGACAGCCCTTAGCAGACAGCAGACGCTGATACTCGATATTTGTCTTGTTAGCCTGCTTTCTACGTATTATCTTGTAAAATTTATAACAATGTCGGCTAAAGTAAGGACGAAACAAGAAAAACCTGATGGTAAGTAATTGCTAACGAATATAGATTATTTAACTTATCTCACACATGTGCTCTACATACTTGAAGATACAATTGCATTCAAGAATTTGTTTTTAAGGTTAGAATCAACAACTATAATAACTTATATATTTTGAAAGTTTACATATTCAAATTATTATCCAAAACCACTTATAGTAAAAATTAAGTTTAGAGATGAAAATTTTTAAGCATGGTGAAGACTTTGTCAATTAAACTTTCTCATATCATTTGTCCTTGTTTTGAATTCTAGATATCATTGCTTACAGTGAATTAGCTGTAAGAAATAATGCAGCAGTTGTTGAATACTGTAGAATATCAATGGCTGCTCTTTCTGGTGGTACAGCAGGTCTTTTAGGTTTGACAGGATTATATGGTTTTGGATTTTACATTTTTGCAGTCATTAGTTTATGGGTAAGCATCAATCATAAAATTATACAAAACGCTATGACAGACAAACGATTCAATTATTTCAATTTTATCTTCAACACTTTTCTATCTTACAAAACAGTAACGATGGCAAATTTTCTATCTCTAATTTTAATATTTTTGAATTCACATAAACAGTATTATAAACAAATTATTATTTATCTTCAATCAACTATATTAAGTAATTCATGTATATTCATTACTGATGATTATCTATTTTCTAATAATTTATTTTTAAAATATACATTTTATAACTAAAGATATGTTCTATCCATTCAAATATACTTTCATGTGAGATTAATAGGCTTTTGATTTAGGCAATGTTATTAGTAAAAGCTGGTGGTCAATGGAAAAAATACTTTGTTAGTAGACAGAGCCTATTAACAAATGGTTTCTTTGGTGGATTATTTGTATCCTTTGCATAATAATTTCATATAATTAATATTACTGCAACAGATGTTAATATATTTTATTACTTCTAGGAAGTGTATAGTCTATAGAACAATAATTTCCTTAACTTAATTTATATAATTAATTCCAGACATATGTGCTGTTTTGGACGTATCCTTTTACATGATTTAATTAAATTACATATATAGATACAATTTTCAGTCAAAACATGATTACAGCAACAGTTAATTGATCTTAATGTGTACTAAAATGTAAATTTTTTCTATTCGATATGAAATTATTTTCCTTAATAGTTGATTAGGTTTCTCTATGGAATGGTTCATGTCTACTAAAATCCAATATAATGCAGTTTAACTGCAAGTTTGTGTTTAATACTAGCATGAATTTTCACATCAAGTTATCTTGAATCACTTGGACCAAGTAATTTAAATAGAGCAATTTATTCTTTTAATATCTGTACAAAGTTGATGATTGTAAATAATTTTCAATTGCTCCAATAGAAATAATATGAGCATTGCAGATATTACTAATAAATATATGTAGTGTGGCAAACTTCGGTTTTTTAGATTTTTTATTTTTTTTTTACTATAAAAACTTCATTAATAATACCAAAAATGCTGCCACAACAAGATTTTCACAATAATCATAAAATCTTGAATAATTTAATATTGATGTATATTTAAATCTATATGTGGAAAATAAATTCACTAAACTATTTCATGATGTTTGTTTTTTGTTTTAATTTGAAGTTGTTTATTTTACAATTATTTTTTATTTCCTGACTCTATAAACTTTATTTTTACGACAAATGTACTATTATCTATTAATTTTTTTTAAACAAATTTCAACAAAAATCTTATGTTGCATTATAACATCATTTTACATTTTGTTGCTGCCGTAAACGTAATTTTGTAAACTTTGCCTAACGTCTAGAGAGGAAGGTATGAAATTTTCTAGCAAAGATTTTACTTGAGTATGTGCTACAAGATTTTATGGACAATAAAATTGATGATTAAAAAATATTTTAGTTTAATCAAATACAGATATAACCGTTGTTTTAACAAATTCAATTTTTAATGAAAATCACCGCCTGGTTAATATGAGATTCCTGGAATAGCTGTGATAATTTTTCCGTTATCATAAATATTAAATTCAACGTTGATATAGAGCAGATTATAATATTATCCTATAATATTGATTTTACAAAATTTTTGAACAACGTGGAAAGTATGAAAAATAATTTTAATAATATTAGGTAAGTTTAATAATACGCCAGTTGTTGGTAGATATATAATTTATTTTTACGATTATTATTATATATTTGTAAAATTAATTTTTCCGTTTCATGGATAAGGAATGTAACAATATCGAAACTTCGCAGACAAAAAAGAATAAAAAAAAATTGTATGGATCAGTGAATAACTTATTAGGAAAACGTTAAAATAATTAGCGTCACATCATTTTTAAAACAACTAAAATTTGAACATCGCGCTTCACGCACACTAACCTATACATTTTTTGTTGTCCATAATTAAGTTCATAAAATTAAACACAGTTAATAATTATTGATTGGTTGTTTAATTGATGTTATAAAATATTTTGTCGATGAAAGAAATTTTACGTTTGTAAAATAATTAATTGAATAAAATTATAAAATTTAATAATCATGAATATATCTCTTTATAAACATAATTTTTGACAATTGTATTTTCTCTTCGATAATAACCAGATAAATTATGAGGGGATCCCAAACTGAATCTGAGACATGGCTACATAAGGCTGTTCGTGATTAAAAACAATTCTTCGTAGATCTATACCAATTTTGTCAAAAGTTTAACCTTGTACATTATATATTGTTATTGCAAAGGCTAATTTAATTAGGAACTATCTCTGTTTGAAAGTGAATACATCTTCACAATATAAAATGTTATACAAAAAAGATGCGTTAACTCCACTTTTTAAAAACGAACACCTCTGGCTTTTCAGAACTTTTGTCAGATTACAATCAATGCAGAGGAACGTCTACCTTCTAAATTTTCTGTTTTCTAACAATAATTAAAGTGGAAGAAATAACATTTTTCCCAAAACTTATCAATGAAAAAATTAATTTTTTAAATAAAATATAATTTATTTACATGCAAAAAATTTGAATTAAAAATATCAAAATGATTTTATATATTCATATTTAAACAAAAACTGAAATTAGCATAATTTTAATGAAACATTTTAATTTCATTAAGTGGAAGATACAATATAGAACTTTTTATTAAACAAAAAAAGATCTAATAATAAGGCCTTTAAATGATGAAAATCTATGTTCTCTCAAAATCACGGAAAACAATTTTGAAATGTAATAGAAAATATCACTATTATATAATATACTATTATACAATAATAACCATTACTATTTATGGACTCTTATGAAGAATTTGAAACTATGTATGCTGATACACAATAACGCAGTCGCGAACTCTTACTCTTTCTTTTTAAATTCTTCAAACGATTATTATTAGAATGTTGAATGACTCCTACTGTTAGAGCATCTTTTCTGAAGATTGGTCCAAATAATTACTTCAAAGTATAAAGTTCGACCATATCAATAATTCTATCTTGCTTTCTATAAGTTTTTTAAACGATAAACGCAGCTATAATTATTTTGGCTAGAAAATAACGATCTTTTATTAGTCTACTCAATTTTGATTTTGTAAGAAGTCAAAGGCAACAAATACATTTATCAAATTCCACTAAACCTTTTTTGTTTAAACATAGAACAATTACATAATATTGCTGTTATCTTATATTTGTAAAAACTTATTACCACAAGAAAAATTGACTATTTAACTATTAAAGTGAATTTTTTCAATTTTTCTCTTCTCTAATTACCCTTCTAGTTAGATATGTAAAAAAGGTAGAAAAAGTGAAATGCGTATGGAAAGAAATCAGAAATAATAATAAAGATTAGAGAAAGAAAGTAATAGTAATAATATATAATTTAAATAATAATGAACGACGCATAACTGCTGAAAAATATAATAAAAATTAATCAGAGACAATAATTGTATATAACTATAAATTAACTTATAAATTACGCTCCATTGGAAAAATTAGTCATAAAATAGAATCCGACGCGGATTTTTCACATGACTTTTGTATTCCATATTAATTTTTATGCGCGGTATTTCTACATAACTCGTCTCTAGAATCCCACATGGATTTTTTCAGTATAAGCCCCTTTCAAACAGATCTATTCGGGTCCCTGTTGCATACAGATTATAAAGTATATATACCGCTTAATGCGTAAATATAACGCACTTGAATACGAGCAGCAACACAGGGCAGAATACTTTTTAAAATTATTATAGTAAACGAAATTAGCAACTGAATAGGTGAAGCCAATTCAAACTACAGATGATTTGTTGGAAATGAACGGATGAAAAGAATTTTTTATTAATTGATTCAGTGCGCTTATCGAAAATATATGACATGGTATTAATGTTGGTACATGTCCATTTACAAATTCCTTTCATTATTATTAATATGTTTAATGTAAACATCGCTCTAAACCCTATATGCGACTGTGTTTATAGTACATTACGATACAAGTGCGGGAAAGTAGATTCTTGTCTCGTTTCGCTCAGGTGTAAACGCCACACAGAAGGAAAATCTCCTGATTATGTTAGATATGGTATTTGTCAAAACAACGTGTTTAATTCTATTACGTCATATTTCGCGCTACCAGAGGTTACAGTGCAGTCTATACAAGTGAGGATTATCGGACCGGTAGTCCCTGTAGTGGACTGCGACACTGTTCAGTAATCGAAGTGTACTTGCTTGAAGACGCCGCAGGTGTATTTGTTTGAAATGTTTTTAGGGCTTTTCCACACTGACAAAATATTTCTGTGATGTTGTTTCGTGATATATTTTGTATCTATCTCTCGGAACATTCATATAGTTAACTATCTACTTATATACGTATTCAGTGGTTTCAAAAGTACTGAAACTGGAAAATACGTCAGATCTATTTATAAACAATTTTTGAAATCAAATAAAATGTAATTTAATACGGTCTTCATTTATTACATATGAATTATTAATGTACTTATTTAATTCAAATATATAGAAGTGAACATACTAAAGATGGAGGTGTCTATCATTAGAAATATATACATCGGTTTATTTATATTTAAAGTAACTATATTAAACATTTTTAAAGAACAAGAGTAGAAGATGGTGGTTTCTTCAACCACTGAATATATGTGTATATAGAAGGCACATGGTGAAGATGATAAACTATATTAAGTTTTGAAAAGTAAACAATTATACGGAATAAGAATATCATAAGAAAATCCCCTTAGTGTGGAAAGGCCTTTACAATCTCATGGAAAAAGAATTGCAAATAAATTATTTATATTTATTTTGAGCAAAAAGAGTAGTGATATATTTTATATATATTTATTAAATTTTACAAACGTACATTTTATAAATTTTTAGTAAAATTTCTCTTCTGGATCATTGTCAAAATACATTGACCGTCATAGACTTTATTTCCAACGGGCCATTACATATATTAGTCCTATTCTCATAGAACATACTCCAAATTTACGGTTTATTCGTCTGTCTTGTGAGACTTGTTGTTGATTGGTTTGTTTGTCCTCCATATTGCGTTTCTGCGCACTACTTCTAGAAAATTAACTAATAGGTAAACATTTGAATTTGAACGTTCGATATAGAGTGTAACGCTAACGTTCCGCGTGCTCTTTGTTATTTAACATTTTTCGTAAAGGTTACGTTGTTTAGATTCACAATAGTTGATCTAATAAAAGTGTGCTTCAGCTAGTCAAAACCAAGTGAAAATGCCTGCCGATCAGATTCAGTACTCTGAAAAATACTGCGATGATAAATATGAGTATAGGTTAGCTTTCAGCGTTTTAAAAATTTGTCAGTTATTAAGAACGCGTTCAAACGAAAATACATAATTTATTTAACTTTGCAGACATGTCATTTTACCACCAGATCTTGGAAGACTGGTTCCAAAATCACACCTTATGACTGAAACTGAGTGGCGTAATTTAGGAGTTCAACAAAGTCCTGGTTGGGTCCATTACATGATGCATGGACCAGGTTAGAGCTTAATTATATATAATTATAGTCTTATATGAAATGTAAATACATTTGGCAAACATTTATTTTTAAAGTTTCAATTCTTTGTGAGATTCATAGAAATTTACAAATAATGTAATAATAGTACATGATATTGCCAGTCAAAGTTCTATAGTTTTAATAAATAAACCAGATTTTTAAGATTGACTTGCTTAAATTCTTTTATTTTCATAAGTATTACCATAAAATATTTCAATGTCAACTCTATTCTTTTTGTTTTTCAGAGCCCCATGTTCTTCTATTTCGTCGACCACGATCTGATTTGCCACCTCAGAACAATGTTAACCAACGATCAAATCAGCAAAATGTTTGTGTTGTTTAGAACTTATCACAGTTATTAATTTATAATTTTTTTCAATATTAATATTTTCTTTGAGTATTATAAGCATTTAGGGATCGTACACAAGTAGTTATAAATCAATACTCATAAATTTTGATACAAATATTTTTCGTATAAATTGCTTTACTTAGCTCAAAAGACTTGTATTGTCAATCAATGAGATGAATAAATAATTATATATATTTTTAATTTTTTTTATATTTTTTTCAGGGTGTAGCTCGATGATTTCATTATACAGAACAAAAGTCATGATTATCAAGCATATTTTAGAAGCACATACAATTCACGACTGTTTACCTTTCAGATAAACCTTTTTTTTTCTTAATCTAGTATAAAGCAACAATGACAGTTATTTTAATAATCATAAACAGTCAATACACAAGTTTTTAAATGTTATTGTATATTCATATTGATGTGCTTTATTATAAAGTACTGTTATTTAGTATACTCACATTATTCTTTAAAATATTAAAATAAGTTCCAATATTAGTCAGTATTTAAATAAAAACAAAATATTTCAATTTCAGACTATGGGTTGAAACTTAACTATTAAAATTAATAAAGAACTTCAATATAGTACTTTTTATAATTTTTAGAAGCTTTTAAATACAATTTTTCCATTTATTCATGAAGCTAGATTAGTTGATATGTTAGTTAAGGAATAATTGAGTACTGTCATTCTATAAAATATTGTATTAATTGAAATGACAATTGAATTACAATCCACACTTTGTACATACGCAAATACATTTTGTAACTGCTTTGACACTATCCAACAGTATTTGAGTGAATTTTCTTTTTTGTCAATTTATCTGTATCTAAAACAAATATAATAATATTTTTCTAAAAGATATTGTAGATATTGACAATGCAAAGATTATGTAAGCACTTTAAGCTTGTTGAATAAAATTTTTTTATTACATTTTAAGTTCTGTGAAAAGCTATTATGTATTAACATATTTAATAACAAAAATCTCAACTTTTCATTTTCATAACACTGCATCGCGTCTTATAAGGAACTATCTACATAGGAGATATTGGACATCTAACATCGGCCATAAGATGTTTACCATGTTGAAAAAAGATAGTTAAATCATATATTATTTTACAAATAATATTAATATAGTAGATTTATATATTTTGTGATTGTTCGTATTCTGCGTAATCACTGACACATCCAGTTAATCTTCGTACACATCCGATATCCGTTGCTCGATGTCCAATGTCTCCTTATGTAGAAAGTTCCTCGACGTTTTTAAAAGATAAAACTAATGGTATCTTTATTTTAATTTGATAGTGTTATTTGTCAGTTATTCAGATATAATAACATTGCGCCCTGTTTTATTTCTTTTTAATTAATTTTTAATATTTAGGCATTAGAAGTTATATTACAATTTTAGGCTGAATTCATTTAATAAAGTCTTGAAAACTGCTAATAACTCTTGAAAATGAATCTCTGCTCTTGAAAATGCTAATAACGCATGCGTAATACGTTTGATATTCATAGCTCATGCGCGTAAAACTATAACCTTACTTCTGAATTCACAATATTCTCATGAATCGTGATCATGAATGTACCAGTACAGTTTGTACCCAAGTAGGTTGCGATAATGTGCTTAATTGGGCTATTCTTCAATGTTTTATATTAAGGTTTTGCGTAAAATTGTGAGAGCCTGGCCTGGCAAAAAATACTTGGCTGAATATCGATTTCTCCCAGTTTTCTTTGTTACTGGAGCTGTCATTGAGTATCTGATGATAAATTGGCATCCAATGGGAGTTAACTTTTACAAAACTTACAAAAGGAATGAAGTAAACAAAATCATTGAAAAAAGAGAGAAATCGTCTCTGTTGCAAGAACATAAGATAAAAATTGTAACTCATCCTATCAAGTCATTGTAAATAAAAACAATAGAAATGCCAGCAGGTGTTTCTTGGTCAAGATATTTAACATTTGTTGTTGTATCAATGCTTACATCTTTTGCTGGAGCTCAAGTTGTACATGAATATTACAGACCATTAGACGATCTTGATGAATTAGTTGAACAAGAGCTTGAAAGAAGAAGAAAGGCAAAACAATTGAAATGAGTGATGAATGTCTGTTATGTAATATAGAGCAACTTGTGTTAATATTATCTGTTCAATTTATTTAATAAATACAATTTTTACAAAAAGCAACAAAGCTTATATTTCTTATAATCTACTTAAAACTTATGTTATTCAAGACTTGTAATAAAAAAGAGATTGTCTTAATGCTTACAACAGTTAAAGTGGTATTGTGATATTATACATAATCTTAATTTATAAAAGTATACTTTATAAAATCTAAAGAAACTGGATCTTAATTAAAAACAATGAATTTAAATTTAATATTAAAAATTAAAAATAATGTATTGCTTATGAAAAATGTAACTAGATTAATCTTCTCCAACAAAATCAGAATGTAAATTTTTTGAAATGAAACTACTTTTTATTTCTTATAATTATGACAATTTGGCCATTATCTACATAAATTGCCAAAATTCAGAAAATCTAAAAAATGACTTTCCTCCAACAATTTGTATAAACAAACTAATTCTCAAAATAAATTTTATCGATAAGTTTCCGTTCCTGGTGTGTGGCTGATCATTGTTAAAGGATTTTGTATAGCTATTTCTTTGGAAAAGTTAATAAAATGTCAAATACTCAATATACACTTTTGTAAATACATAACAAACAGAGGAAATTCGTCACAGTTTTTTTCAATCATTTGTCCAAAACATAAATGGTAAGTGCTTCAGAAAATTACCAGTAATGTATATTGGAATACGATTAATCATTTACGGGTTGTTCTGTGCAGCTGCAACAACAAAATTAAAAACTTAACGATGACTTTTAACGTCAATTGAGCCACGACATACGTGAGCTACAGCATGCAGTTAGAAAATCATCTTTGTTTTTAATTAATTTATATTAAAGATGCTTTCTCCATAACTCGCAAAATGATTATTCACAATTTAGCTGTGAACATTTATGGATGCTATTTTCGTACAAGTATAAATCCGATTATCTTTCGTTTAGATTCTCTAAAGTTATTGCGGAGCTAAATTTTTTTAGGAAAGAAGTCAATTGAGGATACTTCTCGTAAAAGTAAAGAAGGAAAAAAAGAATTAAATTGAAAGTAGTTGAAATGAAGAAGCTTTTAAAAGTATCATTTTGACAGTATAAATGAATAATCTCACGGCACGCTCTTGCGCATTCTCGGCTTTTGAAACGAATAGCTGCGTCGAAATAATCACGTCATGTTATACGTTGGAAAAATACCGACATCCGAAAAGTGAGCAGTGAGCCTTATTGAGATGTCGCTTTGTCGAGCGCGACAAGATTGAGTCAGCGGAAGAAAGCAGGTGGGCACACGCGAGCAACGCTGTCGAATGGAGCTGGACGTACGGAAAGAAAAGCAGGCGGAAACGGCGACACGGAGGAGCAGTAGACCAGCTGCAGGACATCGCGGAGGCGTCGCGCTAAGCGCAACGACGATCGCATGGCCTAGACGGCGCGATAGGCGAGCGAGGCGATCGCACCGTTGGACATCCCACACTGGACGCGCTCGCGATGTGACGCGCGGGCGGATGAATCCGTGGACTGATTGGAGCCGCGGCAAACGGGGTTACGGGGTGAGGGGGTCGGCGCAGAGAAGCAGGAAGCGCTCACTCATTGTGCTCGCGCTCACACGCTGCCGATCGGACTCGGCTGCCCTCCCTCGCTTATCTCGATTCGCCACTTGGACTCGACGGGCCATTCGACTCGTTTCAATTGCACCTCTCGGCTCGGGCCCGCGCCACCTATCCATCCCGATGCTCAGCCGCCTCCTAACCGAAAAACAAAAAAAAGCGTCCTAGTAGTACGATCCGTCAAAGTTGTCGCGCGCAAGTCGCTAATGAGTCATAAAATATGGACGTGGTCGTAGGAGCGAAGGTGGCCGCCCGCGTCGAGCCGCCACGGGGGTTTCAGGCCAATCTTTGAGCTTCCGGGTTGGCAGCCTACAATATGCATCATCATTGGCTGATTGATGCGCCGCGCTGCTCTTCCACGCGCGCGCTCGGGTTCGGATCATAGGCCGCCAGTCGAGTGCTTCGTGCGCGTCGCCTTCGTCGTTGCGCGCGCGCTCTCTCCTCTCTCCCGCCCCCCTGTAGCTATCGCAAGACAGTTTGGACTTTTCGCTATTGTCTCGCGTCGCGTCACTGCTCCAAGCTAACGGTGGCAGGTGCAGGCTACTCCATCTCTTTTCCCCGCGAACCAGTCGTGCAGCTTTGAAGCACGCGCCGAGCGATCCGCGGAGAAATAGCGAAATGCCATTGTCCAGGTGAAAGGGAAGGTGAACGCGAGTGGGCCTTTTTCCGAAGATAAGCTCGTCCAAGGCATGTCGCTGTCGCAGAGGATTTCCGGGGCCATCGCGGTACTCCGCGGAGCCCCCCCCGTCGAGTCGAGCCAGCCAGCAACGTAACCGCCGTCGACCGAGCGCTCGTCGGCTCGTCGGATTTCAGATTGTCGTTCGATTTCAGATCCCAGCTGGAGCAGATGACGTCCGAGGACGCGGTCGAAGAAGAGAAAAAGTCGCGCAGGAGACGGGAGCTGCTGAAGCGAGCGAAGGTCGTGCGAAAAGTGGTAAGCGCGACGGGGAGGAGAAACCGCTGGAAAGGCCAAGTGCTAACGATCGGTCCTATACGCAGACGTCGGTGCTCATGAAAGACAACTTGCTGCTGGTCCTCACCATTGCCGGAGTATTGAGCGGCTGCTTGTTCGGTTTCGTCGGGCGCCTCTTCAACCTGACGCCGCAGACGGTGCTTCTGATCAGCTTCCCCGGAGAGATCTTGATGCGCACTCTGAAGATGTTCATACTGCCGCTGATCGTCTCCTCTCTGATAGCAGGTAATAGAAAGAAAGCAGCCGTTGTCGCGATTGTTGTCGTTCGTTGGCGCGGCTCTTGGCAAACCGAGTGTCCCAGGCATGGCTCAGCTGGACGCCAGGAGCTCCGGCAGAATAGGCGTGCGAGCTCTGTCGTACTACATGGCGACGACCGTTCTGGCGGCGATCGTCGGCATAGCCGTGGTCCTGATCATCCAGCCGGGTGACCCGAAAATCAAAAACGCCATGCACGTTGCCCAGGCCGACAACGCCAAAGTCTCGACCCTGGACGCGATTCTCGACATCGTCAGGTAAGTCGGAGTTGGCCGTCGGTCGGCGTCGGTCGGCGTCGGTCGGCGTCGGCCTCGCTGCACCTAACGTCTGGCGGCGCCCAAAGGAACATGGTGCCGGAGAACCTGGTGCAGGCGTGCTTCCAGCAAGTGCAGACGACGTACGTGAAGAGGAAGGTCGTGCTGATGAGCGAGAGCCCCAGCCAGAATGCCTACACGCTGGAGCAGAGCCTGGTCTACAAGGACGGCACCAACGTCATGGGCATGATAGTGTTTTGCATAAGCTTCGGCTTGATCGCCGGCCAGGTGGGGCCCAAAGGTAAGCTGATGGTGAGCTTCTTCGTGGAACTGAACGAGATCATCATGAAGCTCGTGAGCCTCGTGATCGTGTGGTAAGTGGAGCGCGGAGCCGCGAGCGGATCCGGATAATCAGTCTGCACGCGCCCAGGTACTCTCCCTTCGGCATAATGTGCCTGATAGCCGGCAAGATCATGTCGATCGACAACTTGACGGCCACTGCGCAGATGCTCGGGCTCTACATGATAACGGTCATCTTGGGCTTGCTCATACACGGAGTGGTCACCTTGCCGCTCATATTCTGGCTGCTGACGCGCCAAAACCCGGCCATATTTTTCAAAAACATCATGCAGGCTTGGCTCACGGCCATGGGCACGGCTTCGAGGTATGCTCTCTCTCTCTCTCTCTCTCTCTCTCTCTCTCTCCCGTACTCCCTTGCTTTCGTCGCGCGCTCACTCCGTCCTGTGCCCTCGCTGGCAATCGCCAGTGCAGTCGCTCTGCCGGTGACCTTCCGCTGCCTCGAAGAAAATAACAAGGTCGACCCGCGAGTCACGAGATTCGTGGTGTCCGTCGGCGCCACGGTCAACATGGACGGCACGGCTCTGTACGAGGCAGTCGCCGCGATCTTCATCGCCCAAATGAACGGCATCAGCTTAGGACTCGGCGAGGTCATAACGGTCAGGTCAGTTTGCGTTGCTACTGCTCGCTTGGCGCGCTTCTCGAATCTCGTTCTTTGCGTAGCTTAACGGCAACGCTAGCAAGCATAGGCGCGGCAAGCATTCCAAGTGCTGCGCTCATCACGATGCTCCTAGTTCTCACTGCTCTGGGCCTGCCTACCAGCGACGTATCATTGCTGTTCGCCGTCGACTGGTTCCTGTGAGTATGCCATTCTTCCTCGCGAATGCGGCTTTTCTACAGAGATATCCACTCGTGTCCCAGAGATCGGATCAGAACCTCGATCAACGTACTTGGCGATGGCTTTGGCGCTGGTATCGTTTACCACCTGAGCAAAGACGAATTAGATCGGATGGATGAACTTAAGAAAGCGGAAGGCTTAGAAGCAGTTATAGTACTTGAGCCGAACGGCCTCAAAGATCTTTCCAAGGATGAAAACGCCCAGCTTGCCACGAAATCAGTCTCCGACACCAACGTATAATTCACCGAGATCAATTAATATTACTCAACGATCGTGACGAACAATTACAATATCTCAATAATCCTCGTCGTTTTAAGATTCATTCTGCCAGAGCAAATTAATAAAAATAAGAAATAGCGTCAGCCACAATCAGTTCACCTTCGGTGTAATACTTAGATAATTTCTTCACGTTTATTATCATCGGCATCAAATTATATTTACATGGCATAACTTATTTTTATATTTTTCAAATGCCAATCTATTCGACAATATGGCTTGTAGATTATTTTACTATAGTAATAATAAACATTACATATCATATACATTCATTTTCACATTAAGTTCTTACCTCACGACTATACTATGGCGTGGATTAATTCGTAGTTTCATTCGTTTCATCGTTGATTTCAGCAATAGCCAGCTCTATACGTAAGTATCATAGGCATCAGTGGGCCCATTCTCGCCTAAGACGAACACCTTCTGACCCATCAATTTTCTTGAAACTTGGTCAGTCGATTGTTTTCATCGATAATTATTTAAAAAATCGGATGATATCGTGTTGGGAATTCGTATTTTGATGAGCGATAAAGTTTTTAATACCAATTTTTTTTTTCACATACGCATAATGCCATGTGCTATTTTAAGATATTTATTTCAAAAAATTGTTTCCTTTTTTTACAAAGCTTTTAACATTTTATTTATAAAAAATGTATTATTTTCGATGGAGTCATCACATTTTGATTTCAAAAACTTTTTTTCCGTCGTATGTCTTGCCACGGTAATTACGGGCTAGTATTAAATAATAACAATGAGGCGCTGCGCACCGACGGACCACTCGGCACGCTGCAGTGCTGCAGGCGCGTACTTCGTACCAACATTCGATTTCCGTATTTGTTTAGCTTATTATTTTACAATTTTTCTATTATTTTCTAATAACAATTTCGTATGACAGCGGAGAAGACGACGCGTTTAATTTGGCTGTTTCGGTCTGCACTCTCGTGCAATATGAAACTAGGACCAGAGTAGATTTGCCGTTATATTAGCAAGGCTTATCGAAGTCTATCTAATCCTAAGGCTAATATTGATCCACTCGGACACTTGCACGGCCAATATATCACGAATTTATAAAATATATGGGTTTGCTTGTCAGTTTATCAGCTAAAGAACAGAAAAGAGGAAAGATAAAATATTGATAAAAATCTTACTTCTATTAACACATCTGTGACTGGATCTTCTACAATAAAGACTTGCACGGATCTTAAAAAATATCAAAAATGTAGAGAAGCCCCTTTGAAATTACAATGATGAAATGTGGCGTGCATTGCTAGGTGACATTGGAATGCCACTCCTAGGGGTTGGGTAGGCGAATCTTTTATCGATTTAGGATCGACATTGCTACTTTGGTCCTCCGAAGCGGTGATAGGGTCGATTCGTAATTATTGGCCGGTGGCGCGATCGGTATCAAGATGTTATTCAATTATTTTCTCGACAGATGGCTCAATGTATACTGTTCTATGGATTTGTCACATATTTGACCAATTAACAATGTACGAAGCTTTACGCAATTATACAATTTTACACAATATCATAATTTAACCATACAACGAGTTAATAATTGAATAAACCAAATTAAGATATCATATTTTTAATTTGTACCAATTAAATAAACTATTTATGAAATAAGATGTTAATATCATTAAAACTAACACACAGAAATAGAAAAATATAATTTTATAAAGTTCAACAAAAAGTTCATTAGTAAATATCATTATAATGTGTGATTGTACCACCGTTATTACTTATTACTTATAAATATACATAGTAATTATATAATTAATTAATTAATTAATTAAGTAATTATAAATATACATATAATTATAGAGATACATAGTAACTCAGAAACAGTTCAATTTCTATAAATATTATAATTTTTATTAGAAAATATTTAATTTTATCAAAAGTGCTTTATAAGCTTTCCATAACTCTCTTTTTCATGCTGGAAATCCTGATCATATACACTCACGTTATCTAAAAATATAAATATACTGGTTTAGTCATTGGCATTAGAGACTTAATATTTGTATTTCTATAAAAGAAAATATGTTCACCACATTTAGTAAAAAAAAATTGATGTGAAGGGGTCTATTAGATGAAATTAATGAAAGTCAACAATTAATGTTTCGCTGATCGTTTCAGCTTCCTCAAAAAATCTGTTTACATAATAGTAAGAGTTAAAATTTGAGGTACATATAAAATATCATAATAATGATGCGATTAATTTTTATTCAAGACGTATCTGCTGCTTTTCATTGACAGAAATATAAGCATCACTTGATAGTTACTATATTTTTTTATAGAAATAATATTACACAAAAAATACGAATTGAATTGAACGATTTATTTCTTACACATGACTGATACAATGTCTTAATCTAAATTATCACTTATTCCTCATCTATAAATTTTCAGCTGCTTATTGTTAAGCAACTTTTATCCAAAACGATTCTGTTGGCTTAATTTTGACAATTTTGTAAATTATTCCAAAAATTAGTAGGTTCATTATCCAGAAAATTATTATCATTCATTTTTGTTCATTTGTTTACTAACTAAGAACGTTTTTGTCATTTGTGTACAAAACAACAAAAGGTAAATTCAAATGCTTCTTGAAAAGAAGTCCATCCCCACAAATACATGTCTAACAATCATGACACATGAGTGTGGCATATCGACTATCATTAGAGAGCCACCGCCATTTAGATTAATATACAAATACAATTAATACACTTGATGGCCGTACGGATAAAGGGCAAAAGTTGAAGTCTCAATGTCACCGCAATAAACAGAATACAACAGAGCAATAATTATTATACCTAGCTATATGTACATACTATTACTTAGAAGTATGGAAACTATCCCTAGACACAGTTTGAGGTTAGACAGTTTGTTAATTAAGTATCGGATGTATCAAAAATATTGCACTTCATGCCAGTCAGAAAGCTCTATTGCACATAACATTATAAAATTACAACAATGAAGAGAATTGTAAATCGATATTTTATATGAAATACTGTAATTGATTTCGGTGTATTCGATACCCTTAATTTATATAAACAAATTTTAAAACTTAATTTATAAATGGAAATAGCTCTCCAGATGGTCACGGATGAACATTTTAAAAAACAGTGCACATATCAAATTTGTTTATATAAAGATATATTACGAAAAGCCTGACATTATATACCAATATGTCAAAAAGTAAAAACAATTAAATTGTCAGGCGTAACTAATTTGGTACTAGTCCAAAATATATAAGAAGTATCATCAACAATCGTGTTGTGAGTTAACGAGAAGCAGGATTCCACTTGTCGTTGGCGTACATGGGCGAGATAGGAGACAAGAGCAAACATTTATACTTCATGATTGTAAAGCCATGCAAGTCACAAATTATTTACAGTGGGCTCGTTGATTTGAACGAAGAGAAGTTAGCCAAAAAACGATGTTCAGGTGAAAATAGGGAAATGCAAGCATAGTGATCTAAACAAAAATTTTTTCGAAACGATTCAACTGTTGCTACATCGAATTATGGCCTTGAGTGCTATAATAATATTACAGTTACAAGCAATGTAATATACTTAACCCTTTTTATATGAATTACATTCTTCAAACTAAATAACAATAATAATAATAATAATAATAATAATAATAATAATAATAATAATAATAATAATAAAATCGTAAATATTAATTTAAATCAAGATAATATTTTTCCATTTTTTAGAATGGATGACGTTTTCGTGTACTATGATTATTTTCAATTGATGCCTCACATGTCAGCTTGTTTATTTGAAGACTTTACTATATCGAAAAAAATGGATTAATTAATTCGTACACATTTGCTGTATAATGTGTCTTAATTTTGTGTGTGAGTGTACAAAGTAAGATTCTTTTCTATAAATCAACTCGAAAAATTTTTAACAAAGGATGTGTTATAATATTTAAAACAATTATGATTTTATTTCATTTAAATTTGTTTTTTTGTAAAAATTACATTTGTAAAGTTTGATATAGCTAGTTAGAACTTATAGTCGGGGTTTTTAAAAACGAATAAAACATTACGTTCTAATGATTATACCAACAATTCAAAGAGTAAAAAGACAGTATTAAAAAAAACTCATGAAATAAGTTGATGTATATAATTTGAAGATTTTAGTTCAGATTTTATGTTGTAAAAGTTGTTTGAAAGGCTTGAGAGCAAAAGATAAGACATTTTAATAAGTAGTTACAGATCTATCTCAAATAAACTATTTTCGGGTTTATGCATACGTTGTAATCGAATAATTACGTGAAATAAATAGATTTTAGTCTGCATTACTTTGTCACTGTTTTATTACGTGAAAAAATTCCATGCATCAATCAAGTGAGAGATATTGATGGCTGGTTTGATCACCCGCGTACAACAAAAGCAGGTCAGGTTCAATTGGAAATCTATTCAAACGGATTAAAAATTAAAAAATGTTATCTAGTATAACGTGCAAGGTAATACCTTGACAACTATTTTACAAAGATATCTATGCTTCAAGGCATCGTCGTGAACTTGAAAACTACCACTTCGTTATTAAATGTATTTTTAAATAGTATTTTTAAAAAAACGTACTCAGTTTGAGCGACAATATTGATCGAACGATCGCGATGAATACGAGTTGCAAGTTGTTTAAAACAAGTGAAAAATGTTGATCGAAGTAACAAGCCTCGTGAAAAATGAAAAGTTAGCCGAGGAAAAACATGAAATAGACTTGATTAATATGCACGAGCAATTAATCGCTTTCACGCAGGACAGGTACTCGAAGTTGAATCGTTGTGCCAAGGATTTTCCGCGTTCGATCGGCGAAGCGATGACCTAGGAACCCGTCGACCGTCGCCGGGGAATCGCTCGGCGGCCGTCGCAGCTTGGCCGATAGCGCGGCGCGATGGTCGCGAGTGAGTGCCCGCGCTATCTCGGCGAAGGACGAGCCAGAGCTGGCCAGCCGCTACAAAAGCCCCGGCGGCGGGCTCGTGGCGGCAGTCGAGAGATGAGGTCCACGCTAGCGAGCCTGTTCTGTCTGAGTGTCCTGGCCGGTGAGTTGTCCGTCCGTCCGTCCGTCCGCGGCGCCGTCGCACCGAGCTCTAGCGCTAAAGCTCCCGCCCCCAGGCGTTCGAGCGGACGCGCCGCGCATCGTCGGCGGCAGGAGCGCCGACATCTCCGAGTTCCCGTACCTGGTGTCGCTGCGGCTGCGCGGTCGGCACTTCTGCGGCGGCTCCATCATCGACGAGAGCCACGTGCTCACCGCGGCCCACTGCATCAAGGGGATCGTCGCGCCGCCCTACGCCGACCTGCTGGTGGTCGCGGGCAGCAGCCTGTCGGCGGGCAGCGCCGGGCGCCACCACCGCGTGCGGCGCGTCCGCGTGCACGAGGGCTACCTCGGCACCGAGGCCTCCTCCTACAAGCACGACCTGGCCGTGATCACGGTGAGCGCCTTCGAGACGAAGCGGCCGCGCCGCCTCTGACCGGCTCCCGACTGTCGCAGCGCAGCTCGCCAAGCGGATCGCGCCCGGCGCCAACGCCAGCGAGATCGCGCTGCCGAGCAGGGATGTGCGGGAGGGCGAGCGCGCGACCGTCAGCGGCTGGGGCGTCAGGCGCTACCCGTCCAGCGCCGTCTCGCCGCGGCTCCAGAGCGCCCACATGAGGATCGTGCCGCGGCGCCAGTGCACGGGTCGCGTGCCCGCGCGACTCTACGCCGGCCACGTGTGCGCCTTCCTGCGGAGAGGCGTCGGCGCCTGCTCCGTGAGTGCTCGCTGTGCCTCTCGCGGCGCCCGCGCTCACCTGGCCTTGCTTCTGCTCGCAGGGGGACAGCGGCGGCCCGCTCGTCGTCGACGGCCAGCTCGTCGGCATCGCCTCCTGGGTCGTCCCCTGCGCCGAGGGCTACCCCGACGTCTACACCAAGGTCTACGCCTACGAGGACTGGATCCGCGGAGTCGTGGCGAGCTCCCGCTAGTCGCCCCCCTTGTGCGAATAAAGCTACGCCTCCATGCGCTACCGAGTCGTCTTCTCTTCGCACTCCCGCAGCCCTCTCTGCTCCCTCGCTTGCGAGCTTCGCGGCTATCTACGTCCACCGGTGCTCTTTTACCTTATTGTCCAAGCGAACGCAGCTCCCGCTCGACCTCAGCCCTCTTCCAACTCTTTCGAGCTTTTTTTTTCAAAATGGCTCGCCAGTTTTCACGAGCACGCACAGACCGTCGAGGGCGTAGTGCCAGTTGACCAGCACCAGATCCACATCCTTCGGCTGCTTGGTCGCGTCCTAGTACTTGTTCTGGTCGCCAATGTCACGACTGTACTGTGCAGTGGCTGCGCCAGGTAGAGAAGGGAATTGGTTAGCCTTTGCCAGAAGCTTATCGGTTGGAACAAATCCGATCAGACGCTGGGATTAACGCTCGTGCTCATCGGATTTTCCCGTAGCTCGTTGTACCCATCGGTCAATCTGCTGATCATTACTCCACCATCGGGTTTTCAAGATTTCATCTCCAGGCAAAGAAGCTATAGATGCGACAGTAACAGTATTAATTACCATCATGCAGCTCTCAAATTATTTTGATAATGACGAGACCGTACGACTCATTTGCTTTCAAGTTTTGGAACAGGTTTTGGAATACAGGTACGTTAAGTTGAGCAACTCGCAAATCGAAAACTTGCCTCATTGTTTCCACGTTGACGTCTTGAATGGTTTGAAAAACTCGTATGATATATTGTTAACTGTTTAGGGTAGTGTGCCGTCGAGCCTGAAATTATTCTAATTTGGGATGGATTTATTTTAAGGAAAACAGCTGGTAAAGCAAATATATCTAAAATACGCAGAGCTATAATGTTCGGCGTAGCAAAGACGAGTAAAATAACTGTTATTTTGATAATTAGCATCATACTGATTTTATTCACTTAATTTTTAGCTGAAATGAAAGTATGTGTATTTTATTATTGATCGCTGAGTTACCATTAAAAATAGCCGATAATACGATTAAAACTTATGCTTGTAACGGCGATGAAAATGCATACATTGTAGTTCTTGCGAATATTTAATGTTTGCTGCCAGATGACATTGACATGAACAATAAAACTAGTCTAATCTAAGCAATGATTCGTAGCTCAAGTATCGAATAATAAAGATCCCGATAATAAAGCGAAAACCTAATATCGATACTTCGCATTGTAACGGCTTTGTAATTACGGCTTTGCCGATTCGTCCAGTTTGACTCTCACCATTGTCCGTTCACTACTTCAGACTGAGAATGCGTATGCGTGTAGTCTCATGCCGATTTTCTCTGTTTGAGGTGCGGTGAACGAGATGATTGGTGGAGTCGGGAGCGGTCGACAATTGCGAATGAGGAGGAGAAACGGCGAACGCAAGATCGAGGGAGGCGAGAAGAGAGTTGACGTGAGAAAGAAAGAGGGGAGAGTCGGTGCTGGACCGTCGGATTGGGCGCGTCACAGATTTACCGACGGGCGGGGAGTTGTTTTTGGGTGAGGCACCGCCGGCCTTAAGTTAGTAAGGATACGAGGTTAGTAAGGTGCGAGGGCGTGTTGCTGGCTGGGTTACGTCCGGTCAGTATTGCATGTCGGCATCGGAGCGTCTGAAAATGCGAGCAGACTACCGGTAATCCTATTAATGCGTTTGACCGGATTAGCATCATCGCCGACGTCCGAATTCCGTTTTAGATTTTGTGTAAACGCTTTTCTTTTCTTTCGGTATTTGTAACAAAAGTAAGTATTATTTAACTGAGTGTCGCCGTATTTCACCTATCACCAATCCTCATTCCAACATTAGTTTCGCGCACGATTAATCTACACGTCCGGTATATTATTCCGTCGTCGGAGCATTCGCACCTCCCGAATCCATCCTTTTTTAAATAATCTATGCGGGTGGCCGTCTCTTCACATTGTCGGTCGTATTTCTCCGTTTCAGTATTTGTAAAACATTTTAAATAGAAAATTGCTTCTGCAACCCGCTATATACAAAAATGAAACACCTCCGAACGAAAAATCGAATGTTGAAGCTTTCGTCATGCTCGAACTGTGGAGGCAATCGTTATCGGACTACTTGCCGGTTGTTAACTGTCGCATTCATAAGAAGATTGGTAATATTGTTAAAAACCGTTTCTTTCAAAAAACACCATTCGCATAGATCAGATTGAAAGCTCAAAGATATCAGTGCAAGAAGTCCATCAGTTCGCTATTTGAACGAAGTTGAAGATATTGCTGCTATAAAATCATTTTAAAAAAATATTAATGTAATAAGCAATTGAGATTGCGGAAGACGTTGCGAGCAGCCTTTAGAATAACATCGACAAATTCTTTTTGTTTATCACTTAAATGACTGTACTGTTTCTTACCTCTTTCTATTATTTATATCAATCTATTTATGACTGCCTAGTTTATAACCATCAGCTAATGTAATAAGTAGGTGCATACATGAAAGTCCTCGATTTTGAAATTTAATAACATACACATAAGATTCTATTTGATGAAAAAGTTCTTTGTTTACTACGAAATTATTCAAGCGGTCTTTCTTACATTCGAAGTAAAAGACTTTCTTTAATTTCACGCCAATTTGGGTTACACGTCTTCTTGATAAAGATGTCTGTTTTTCCATACTCATTAACTGAATCCAATCCATAACAAGATTTCTGTTGAATTGAAATAAATTTTTGATCAACTAAAGCATTTTATTCAACTACAAAACTGCTAGTAAATAAAAACCATAGTAACGCTACCGGCTATCACATGACGTCATTAAATGCTTCACACATTCGACCAATTTCATGTACGGAGATTGAGCTACCGCACGCGTGCCACACTGGCATACTTTCGAAGCGACCGCTGTAACCCAGCATCTGTCGCACTACTGTAGCCTCTTTGATAAAACCAAACTTGTTTCAGTATTTAATTAAAATTCTTTTTTTTACTTCCATTTCCATTGAATCGTATTGAAAGATTAAAATATCAACAGCTGTTAGACACTAGTGAAGTATTAAACTTTGATAATTAATGACCGAACTTTTTTTCTTTATTTTTTCGTATTTTAATCAACTTTTGGTCATTCCATGTAATGTGTAATTCAACATTTATTTTTACTGTACGCATAAGTATGTTTTTCAACATTTTACAAGTAAAATGAAATATATATTTTTATTAATTTGTATTTATATATGTCGACTATATAGTTGTTATGATTGCTATAAGACATAATATGATTGTTTGGAATTTTTGAAAAATAAGCAAACGTGTATGTATATACAAACGAGCAAAAATCACGCTTGATATAATTAATATTTTGTCAAACGTCTCTAGATATTTTCAGAGAAGCAAACAATCAACAATGGATGTCACTTTGATATACTTGTAAAGCCAGTTGCTAAAATCGATAATACTCAAGAAATCTAATCACTATGCTCGCTCTTGCGTGATTAATGATTCATTAGCAAGTTGCGAATAATATGCTTGGCACATGGTCACATGTCCGTATGTACTTGACGGATAAAAAGTTCTTTCTGATTTCCAAATGGAATCGTTATTATAATTCAATAGAATATAAACTATAAAATATTTTATTCGTAACGTTTCGATCAAAAAGTCATTATACGCTGTTTTCTTCAGAAGTAAATCGTGATTTTCTGTGAATAATATTTCATTGAATATGGCCGGTAACTTCAACTGAAATACTTTGCAGAAAAAGTCGTGAAGTAAGTTCATAATGATTATTAATTAATAAGCGCATGTTTCCATGGATCAACTTTCGTGTAACGTGTGCGAAACTGTTGGCTTATACCCATGATTTTCCAGCACATTGGAATTGTTCAATATATTTTGTATGTATCCTTTGTGTTCATATACATTCGTGTAAATGTCAGGAATTCCAAGAGCGCAATGATCTCCGTCTATCCACGAAAACACTCCGATAAGTTCTTCCTCGGTAGCCAGGGGACTACCACTATCACCCTAGCATAACAATAAAAATCTTGATAAATTTGACGCTTGAGCAAAATTAAAAATCGTTCGTGGACTTACGAAGCAGGGACTTTTGTTATCGCTGCGAAATGCGCAAACTTGAGAATCGCTAATTTTTATTTTTTCGGGATTGGACATTTTCTTCTGACACTTATCTCGTGCCATAAGTTTTGTTGTTAGCATTTGTAGCTGTTTAGGATTGACTTCGGGGTCTTGAGCTGTTATTCCCCAACCTGTAACAGTGACTTCGTCATCATCTTCAAAATTATGACTGGGCAGTGCAATTTTTTGTTGACAGTCATTGAATACGATTTTCTCTTTCAACTAAATAGACAATGAGGTATCGCTGTTATTAGAGAATAACTAAATCAAGATAGTATTTGTGTAGCTTTATATTAAAGTAGTACCGTTATAACAGCAAGATCATGCGGGTAAGGTAGATCCTCGATGATTTTGTCAACCTTCCAACCGGGGTGAACGTCGATTTTGGAAATACGATGTACGTTACCAGGTTTATCCAAGTAAGTAGTACCAGTGACAACACTAACGTAATTAAAAGGTGGCTGGGTGTACTCGTTGATGCAGTGGGCCGCAGTAAGAATATGCCTCTCGCTAATTATCGAACCACCACAATAGTGCCTACCCAGTATACGTAGCGAAACCTGGTATGGATATATGAAAATATATGTGTCACTGCCACCTAAAATGCACTCTATACTTTCTAGACATGAATTCGTCTTTCCTGTAAAACAATACGAACCATTAGTTTTATCAGTTAAAGCTACTCTAAATCAATATCGATAATCGTTGCTATTGAAACTATCACCATTGCCAGCTATACTCTTCGATAGTCATTATTACGAATTTATAAAGTGAAATTTTCCAACGCAGAAATCGGTTCCCCTTGTTTCTTAAAAACTAACTATATGCAAAGAGAATACCATAGTTTTTTGGTGCTTATTTAAAAAGATTGAAAAAAAATAGTACATAGCAAACTTTTCTTTTATAAAAGTCTGGAAATGCCAGAATTATCGATCTCTCTAATATGAATATTTTGATTTGATCAAATACTGATATTAACTTTCAATGTACATATATAATAGCTAAAATGTTAAGTTATTAGAAATACCTATAAAAAGTACGACAATTAAGATGATCTGCAACATCTTCTCGCGACTTTAAGTGAACTGATAATCATAAAATAATTTGCCTAATTTTATAACTCCTTTATCAGAGATAAATTAAGAATTCATCATTGATAAGGCTCTCACATTACTATGGCTTTAGAAATAGTACCTCCGACAATTTATTAGTTTGAAAAGAAAAGAATGATCATTCTATAGCTGAAGGTACACAAATTCTAGGTATATTATATGATCGATCGTAAAATTTTATCGAGCAACTTGAAGAAGAATACGGCAATGATAACTCGAATAAATACTTGAAGGTAAAACTGATTAATACTGAAAATGTACAGTTGGAAAAATTTATTATATAATACGTTACATAATTACTTGATGTAGCTGATAGTTATCGTTACGAATCAATTAGATATCTTTTCAAAACTGCCTCGGTTAAGTCTTTGAAAGCAGAGGCATTGGTATAAACGTCTTAGCTACCTATAGCGCAACGACTAGTTTCCACCGGGGAAGAGATATCGATGATTTCGCCGTCTAATACCAGAGAACCATCGGGTTCATCCTCGAGAAGTGTTATAAAATGGCATGAAAAACTTATTTTCTCCTATATACATGTGTACAAATAATAAGAATTGTATGGGAAGTACGAAGTAAGCACCCATTCCGGGAGCACAGAGAGTGGAAATTTGAGTCTTGTAGATCACAATTTGATCGACTTGAGCCATTTTCTGGTGACATTTTCATTAATTACGAGAATGGTTTTGATCCTTTGAAGTTGCTTGTGACGAGTATCGGGAGTTTGATGGACAAATCTCCAGATTGTGATGTCACTTTTCTCACTATCCTTGACATTTTTGTTGAGCAACTTGACATTCTTTAAGAATATATAACTCTTCCCAGTATCATTTCAAAATTTACAATGGCTACGTTGCATTTAAAATTTTCAAAGCCTACAGGTGTCTGCTTTATACCTGTTTTATAATCCAAGTCCATTGATTAAAAGTGATGATGTCTATAAACTAATTCGTAATGATTTTCATTGATGTTTTCGAAGATCACTCCATTGATATGTTTGTCTCCAATTATTTTAGTTAAAACCGAATTGCAATTTTCAACTATGTTATTATTCAATTGTTCCAAGAGACTTGGACAGTTTATAGCTATTCTTGTCAGTACTTCTTTCACTTCGGACAGGATTCCCGTTTCCGACATTTCGGGGATATAATTTGTTTGATTTTCTTTTGGCCCTTGTGACAGGGTTATAGCAATGTTCGCTAGCCCTGTGTGCGGCACTCTCCTCGCATGAACGCAGCGACAAAGTGTACGCTATATAGCGACTACATACTTGTGTCGTTGCAGGATCGGGAGAGAGGAGCGCGACGGTCGGCGAGGTGTCGCCGAGTGCGAGTGAGAGCGAGAAGAGCGAGAGAGAGAGAGAGAGAGTGATTTCGGCTGATTTTTGACGGCGAGAGAAGTGGGAGCGCGGCGGCGCGAGGCTTAGAAAATTAAGTGTGAACGAGGGCAGTTAGGCGCGAGCTCTCGAGTAATTAGGGCCACCTAGAGAAAGACTGGATTAGACAAGATTCCGGGAGGAAAGGAACTACTGCCATCAGTGCGACTGCCACGTTTGCCAGGAGAACAAGTTGTTCGAAGCTGAGCCAGTGCAAGCAGCGACCATTCGCCGTCCACGAGGCAAAGGCCATGCTGCGGCCCTTCTTGCGGCAACACCAATCGTCGCCAGGGCGTCGTTTCCTGCGGGTCTACGCTTTCGCCGGCGTCGTCTCTCTACTGATGGACCGTCGGTGCCTGGTGGGTCCATAAACAGTTTAATCTCTCTCGCGCCAGCTCTCGCTAGATTACGGATATTAGGATATATTATATATTAGGAATATTTATATTAGGAAATTGTTGAGGTAAGGGAGAGTGAGTGTTAGTCGCGAGCTTGAGATTCGAGACGGACTTGTATTTATTTCCAATAAAAATTAATAGTAACAATTTAATTAAGCGCAACGCTATGATTAAACTAGTACTAAATTACTTTAACGCACAATACAAATGACAAATTAATCGCGAGAAGTATACAAATTCTTTGATCAATGACAAATTAAATCTCGCTCGACAAACCGCAGAACTACGGCGAACAGAGTTTCAGAAAGCTCGTATACAAAAGTGCAATTCAACTTGCCTTTTTGATTGCTAAGAACCTTCTAATCTTCTTTTTTTGCGTGGAGTCCAGTCGCCTGATTTCTCTTACCCTCACTACTAATACCCCACTCCAGGCGCGAAAGCCATGGGCATCACTTTCCTCCGCGCTGGACCAATTAACAGGCCACTTTTTGTTCCATCTTGGCTCTCTTTTTCGATTCGGTTCCGGTGAGGCCTTTCTGGCCCCCCGCCCTGCAATTTCGATAGTAGTGAGACATAATCGCCTTCTACTTTTCTTTAACTGGGAAATCCCTGATGTTTCTCACGCTTATGCGCGTGAGACGAGCTTGCAAGACGGATTCGGCTATGCGAAATTTTGGTCGCATTTGTCCAAGCGCGGGGCAGACTCACGTGATGGCAAAAAACAGACGTACTCCCTTCGCATTCTATAAAATATCTTACATGAATCTTATAATTACGCACGCTGATTCGCTCTATTCGCCGCATTACATTATTTCTTTCATTCAGTTTAGTTAGATTCAACGTTCGCATTCCGTACATATATTTTTCTTAAGCTAGCTTACATTTCTTAACTAGCTTACATTTCATACGCGAGACCGAGCGTAAGCAATTAAACATTCATAAATTAGACTACGTTGTTCAATGCTCTGTTTAAAATCATCTGAAATTATATCCATTTTCATGTACCAGAATATTTACTTATGTCAATTTCTCAGGGTCCCACTAAATTATTCCACATAACGTAGTGCAACAATTTCTAGAAACCCTGACGTAATCTTTTCAACGGTAACCCAGCGTCAATGTGTAATTATGTTGTGTCGGCGCATACATGTTGGTTTGTGGTAGTTGGTTGTGATACATTTAGATGTACCTTTATAACTATTATGAAATTCCTAATATTATTACATGATTTTAATGTATGTTTCAGCGTATAACACGACGGCGTTATTGACTTTATTACATGACTTACATAAACAATGCTAAAGTCAACATTTCTCACGGGTTTTCAGTAGTTTTGTGGATAAATCTAATATTATATATCGTATTTTATGCAATGAAATATCTCGAAAACGCTTATCGCATATTCGGAAATAATTTATCGCATTCCTTCGTATTAACGTACTTAACAAATCCTGTGGTAATGCCCACGAGCATTTTTCGTCACTATTATAAGTAGAAACAGAAATAAAGCCCGAAAGCCATAGCATTGAAATTTTCAATTGTGCAGCTCCGAAAATTACATGTTATTTTAGATTAGTCGTGTGTTCAAAAAATGTACAGCATTTACGTACATGCACGATTGATGTGTCAACTAGATCGCAGAAATTTCAATATCGCTCACATTTTCCGTCAATTTTTTATCAATTACTAAACCGCCGCATGCGTACCACTCTGGCATACTTTGAAAGCATACGCGAAAACCCAGCATCTGGTGCAATGTTGTAGCCTCCTTCAAAACCACACTCGGTTAGTTGCCTTATTGCAATTCTTTTCCTTATTTCCATTTCCATCGAATTACATTAAGAGATTAAAATACCAACAGCTGTTAGACACTTTTGAAACATTGAACTTTGATAAATGACTAAACTTTTCTTTTCTTAATCTGTTCGTATTCTAGTCAACTGTTCATCATTTCGTGTAAGGTGCGATTCATTGTTTATCTTTATTGTAACGCTATGTTTTGTAAAACTTTATAAGTGAAGTGAAATAAATATATTTATGACTATATCACCGTTAATATTGCTATAAAACATAGTGTCATTGTTCTGCGCATTTGCAAAATAAGTAAGAGGGTATGTACGAAAGAGCAAAAATCACGCTTATTGTGATTAATTGCTTTCCAAACATCTTTGAAGATATTATAGCCGCCTTTATCACTAAGCCTAATTCAGTGAAGCAAACAATAACAATCGATATCACATTGACGTACTTGTAAATCAACTTGCTAAAATTAACAATACCCGTAGATCATATAATTGCCATACTTACTCTTGTATGATTAATGATTCATCCGCAAGTTACAAATAATATACTTGGCACATGGACACATGTCCGTACGTACTTAATGGATAAAGAGAGTTTTTCTAATTTTCAAATGGTACAACGAGAGGAATAGTTATTATAATTCAATAAAATTTAAACTATAAAATATTTTATTCATAACTTTTCATTCAAAAAGTCATTAAATGCTATTATCTTCAAGAGTAAATTGTGATTTTCTCTGACTAATATTTCATTGAGTTTGACCGCAAACTCTGACTGAAATACTTTACAAAAGACATTATGAACTAGGAGGTAACACAATGATCATAAATTGATGGGCGCAATTGTCCATGGATCAAATTCCATACATAATACGTATATTTGAAAGTGCTGGCTCTGGCGCATAATTTTCCAGCCCATTGGAATTGTTCAATATGTTTTGTATGTATTCTTTGTGCTCATATACATTCGTGTAAATGTCAGGAATTCCAAGAGCGCAATGATCACCGTCTACCCAGGAAACAACTCCGACAATTTCTTCGCCGGCAACCAGGGGACCACCACTATCACCCTAATGTAATGATAAAAACCTTGATAAATCTGACTATTGAAGAAAATCAAAAATCGTTGATGGACTTACGAAGCAGGGACTTTTTCCATAGCTGTGAAATGCGCAAATTTGAAAATTGTTAATTCTTGCTTTCTCGGGATTGGACATTTTCTTCTGGCACTTATCTCGTGCCATAAGTTTTGTTGTTAGCATTTGTAGCTGTCTAGGATGAATTTGAGGATCTTGAGCTATTATTCCCCAACCTGTCACGACGACTTCGTCATCATCTTCAAAGTTATGACTGGGTAGTTCAATTTTTCTTTGATATGCATCGAATATGATTTTGTTTCTTAGCTGAATGGGCAATGAGGTATCGCTGGTATTAGAGAGCAATAAAGTCAAGATATTGTTTGTACAACTTCATATTAAAATAGTACCGTTATAACGGCAAGATCATGCGGGTAAGGTACATCCTCAACGATCTCGTCAAGCTTCCAACCAGGATGAACGTCGATTTTGGAAATACGATGTACGTTACCAGGTCTATCCAAGTAAGTGCTACCAGTGACAACACTAACGTAATTAAAAGGTGGCTGGGTGTACTCGTTAATACAGTGGGCTGCAGTAAGAATATGCCTCGCGCTAATTATTGATCCACCACAATAGTGCCTACCCAGTATACGTAGCGATGCCTGGTATGGGAAATTCTCAATATTTACGCCATATCCGCCAAAGATACGATATTTTTCTTGACAGCTTGCCTTTCCTGTTTAATAATTTAAACTATTTATTTTATAAGTTAAAGCTACTCCAAATTAATATAGATAATTGTTCATATTGAAAACATCGCTATTTACAGGCTACAACTCTTTATTATTTTTTGTTTCTGATTTAAAATGATTGAAAAAAATACTATTTCGTGATAAACTTTTGTTTCTTAAAAGACTAGAATTTGTAAATAAATCGATATTTCTATTTGCTATGAATAATTATGGCTTCCGTTATATTGCTCTGATCGAATATCCATATTAACTTCAAATGTACATACATAATAGCCAAAATATTAAGTTACTAGAGATACCTATAAGAAGTACAACAGCTAAGATGATAGGATTACTCCGGAACATCTTGTCGACTTTAAGTGAACTGGTAACCATGAAACAATTTGCCTGGTTTTATAACTCCTTTATCAGAGTGATGAATTAAGAACTCATCACTGATAAGATCCCAGGTTTTACGTTATTCTGACTTTAAAAACAGTGTTTCAGAAAATTTATTGATTTGAAAAATAAATAATGATACATCTATAGATGGATGTAACACAAGTTCGGTGAATATTTAATGATCTGTCATAAAATTTTATCGAGCAAGTTGAATAAAAATGCGCCAATGATTACTGAATTGGATACTACCAGGTAAAATTGATCACTATTGAAAATGTACAATTGGAAAAAATGTATTGTATAATAGGATACATAATTATATGATATATCTAATAAGTATCATTACGAATCTATTAGTTGTCTGTTTAAAACTGATTTAATGAAGTCTTTGAAGGCATAGACGTTGGTATAAACGTCTGGGCTACCCGCAGCGCAGCGTCCAGCTTTAGTCCAGGAAGAAATGCCGACAATTTCGCCGTCTATGACAAGAGGCCCGCCACTGTCACCCTAAAAGTATTATAAAATTGTATAAAATACTTATTTTCTCGCATATACATGTGTATAAAAGATAAGAATCGTATGGCAAGTTACTATGCAAGCGCCAATTCCGGGAGCACTGTAGGCGCAAACTTGAGTCTTGTGGATCACAATGTCGACGGCTTTACCCAATTTCTGATGGCATTTTTCATTAGTTATGAGAATGGTTCTGATCCTGTGAAGTTGCTTGGGATAAATATCGGGAGTTTGACGAATTAATCCCCAGCCTGTGAAGTTAGCTTCCTTCCCATCCTCGACATCCTTGTTGGGCAACATGGCTTTCTGCTTGTACTTATTGAAGACGATTTTGCTCGTCAACTGAAAATCGACGTCGAAATATAACGGTATCCATATCAATTGATGTCTGTAGCTATCTCAACGGGTAGACTCTCCCAAAACGAGGACATTTTTTCTCGGACAAAAGATATACCGTGATTATAGCCAGATCATTCTGGTAGGAATTTTTCTCAGAAGCTATCCAGTCAGGATGAACGTCCACTGTGGTAATATTATGAACTTCGCCACCTCTATCAGTGAAACTTGTTCCCATAACAACGTTGAAAAATGTGTATGGTGGTGTCATTACATTGATGATACAATGGGCAGCAGTCAAAATGTGTCTCTCGCTAATTATTGTTCCTCCGCATAAATGTTGGTTGAGTTCTTGAATGGACACTTGATAGGGATAATTCTTTATTTGTGCTCTCTTCCCATCGATCATGCGCTGCTTTAAGGACACCACTGTATAGCTCTCACCTATTCCGGTATTAAATATTTTAAAACGTTTTATTTTATTTTATTTTTTAACTAATATTCACTCTGATTTTCGTACAATCTGGAAGAGTATCTGGAAGATTATCTTAAAAATCCATTGTAGCTTTGGCTACTTTCACATTTATACTCGTTCTTTATTCATTTACTTTATTTTAGTTTGTTTTTTGGAAATAATAACATAATAGGATTCCAATGAATTTCTTTGTGAGCGTGTTGTAACTCACAGTTGTACAACTAGTGATGTTTGAAAGGTTATCAGTTGATTAATTTAGTAAGTAATACCGCTAAGAATATTCAACTCCAATTTTTAATTTTCTTATCAATATATGCAATAACTTCTATTATTCTATTTATATCATTTTATATAATTTTGATTGGTGGTTGATATATTTATTTCAATAATTATATTACAGATTATCAAAATTTTAATTTAATGATAATCTAAAGTTACGGTGATGATTACACGTGCATTCATACTTTCTGAACTACATTACAAAGTAAATTCTAGAAAATAAACACAGTACACATTTATTTTCTTATGATGAAAAAGCAAGAAAATACTTACCAAAAAGTAGAGCAACGATTAGGTATACAACTCTTCTCACAATCATTTCAAAATTTATAATAGTTACGTTGTGTTCAAAAACTCTAAAGTCAATTTACAGGTGTCTGCTTTATCTGTTATTATATAATCTAAGTCCATTGTGATTATGCTTGTGAATAAATCAACAATATAAAATCACCACGTGAATGATTTCCGCTGGTGTTTTATATGCTAATTTGTAGATGATTATCACTATTAAAATTTGTTGATTTTCAATAAAAAAAATAGCGGTTGCATCAATTATGGATGGATTTGTATGCATTAGTTCCCCATTTATATGAAAAATGAAATGAAATTCATTTTATTGTAAAATATCAATTAGAACTTGAGATAAATTATAAAATTCATTTTATAATGTCATAAATGATTGGTTTTGTAAAATTATAACCTATAGGCAGGATAATCAGTATCCACCATCTTGAATCGACTAACTTGAATGCGTCATTTCATAAATCTGACATCAGATTCGTAATCAATGCATCCAGGAACCTCCCTAATCATAGATTCACAAGAGTTCATAGACGGAAAAAGAAATCGCCGCCATCTTAGATTCGTCTTTTCTTAATTCTGACATCAGATTCGTAATCAGTGACCTCAATAGATCGATTTTTCGCGAATAACTCTTAATAGAAAAATGTGTGTAAAAAGAAAATCTGACAAAATGAAGTCAATTTGTTCATTATGACTGGTTAGCTCAAATAATAAGGTAAATTGATGTGTCGGCATATGTATGTATTCATATGCCGACAGTTTCTCAAAGGAGACTAGGTCAGACCATAGAAAATTAATAATAAAAAAATATACCTATTAGCGTTGGTATTAACTTATTTTGAATTAATTAAATAACTATTTCGACACTCCGTGCGGAAAGTGCGTTTTTCCCGCACGCTCGACAAAAAAACGTGCCTTGAAAACCGCACTTTTCACACGTCGTATCAAAAAATACGGTACGGCACATGTTCGAGAAAGAGTCTATTTTCCCGCACTTGTATCGTAATGTACTATATTATAGTTAAGCGTAAGAGATAGCAATATGATATCTGCAGTGTTAGCATAGACGTAGGATTAAAAGAACTAAATATTATTTGGAAGAGTTCAAGTAATAGGTGCTACGATATGAGAACATAGCTTTCAAGAATTTACCAAGGTGAGAATTTGTGTAACAATGACAATGTTGTAAGAGATAGTCGTTGATGTTACTCTTATGAAAGCACGCAAACAATACATCCAGTCTGTGCTTGTTTGGAGGTTATATACCCTACCCAGGTGTCTTGCGATTGGTTGGTCAAATCAACCAATCGGCCATAAGTTACTCAACGTTCATTAGGCCAGATTGACCAATTATCATTCGTGAAATCAGATATAAATATTAATTAATATCTTGCTGGATTCGCCTATTTACAATATCTATACTCATCACTCGAAAAAGCCGCATTTGAAAAACATCGTATGTCTTACCATGTGAAATTGCTGTTACAAGTGTACATGTTAATTGTTTTCTTTTCTCTTCAATAATCAAAAGTTTACTGTGACGGCGGGCCATATACGATCAAAATTTTAAAAATTTCAAAAGAATAATTTTTCCCAATATTAAGACCAACGGCAGAGTTGAAACCGTTTCCCATGAGCTGTGGGAACCGAGTCGAGTGTCGCAGGGAAATTTTTCTTGATAGTCTCCAAACGGCAATAGAATCTATAGTCTAAATTTCTGTAAGCGTGCATTCCTTTTTTTCATTACGCTCTTCTGCCCCTCGTACCCTCGCACTTGCATATGAAGTGCATGCAGCCTCTGAACACGTGAGCGCTGAGATGCCGATGAGAGAAGAGGGCCATGGGATCGCGTCTGCATTTTATTCACATCATAACTAACGAATTTTTCCCTTTCCAACTAGAAGTTAGGCATTAGAAATTATGAAATAATTTTTTTTGAACTTGAATATTTTGACTTCAACAATATATCAAAAATAATTTTGGCCTCTCAAAACCTCTTATCGAGTTTCCGCTCCGGAGCTTAGTTTAAGCAGAAAATAGAAAAAAAAAAAAAAAACGATAATTTTAATGAATTCACTGTTATTTAGCGAACTTTTACTATAAGAAATTAATCTACGAATTTATACAACGTGGCGTGCGAGATAACAAGCATCGCTCTATTTTTATTATATTTTATTATTAGATAATTATTGATAACTGTATTTTGCGGCGAATTTAATTATAATATTGATTGTTAATATAAGTAGTGTATAAGTTATGTATTGGTCGATTATGTTTGTTCCAACTTCAATTAATTAATAATTACGAAATTTTAAATTAATCTTGGCTGGGAATGATACTTGAAGAGCCATCTCACGAGCTAAGGACTGTACTGTGTCCACGCCCCCGCTCCAATGAGGGCCCGAAAATCCGGCGAGGAAAATCAGAAGAAACAAACGAACCAATTAACACATCATTGCCTGCTCCACTGCTCCTGAAACCGAGAGGCTAAGAGAGGGACTCATCACCCAACCACCCACCTAATATAAAAAGGGCTGCACAAGATCCAAAAGTTAGTAGTTGGAGTTGCAGTTGCAGTTGTTCCCGTAGTTGTCAGTTATCGTAGTGTGAGTACATATATTGAGTACCAGTCAGTGAGAGCTGAAGGAAGCACAAGGATAAGTCAACCAAGAAGTAAAGCAATCAAGAAGACAAGAAAGTCAAGAAAAGATTGAAGGAAGCACGGGAGTCCGTGAACCAAGAGTCTAGACAAGAAGAAGTGAACGAAAGAGCCAAGCAGCCAAGCAGCGAAGTAGCAGAACAGATAAAATAAAAAAAGATCGACCAATACAGAATAAAGACCCGCAGAATTAACAGTGTCAAGTTTTCAATAAAAAAGAGTAAGCAATCAAATTTTTAATTTTTTTAACTTATCTATCTCTCCTCTCTTTTAGAAGTAGGTCGCAAATCAAAAATTTTCCCTTTGTCGTATTTGGAGACTACTTTTGATAGGCTCCAAATACAATTTATAGGAAAACCGGGTTCTACTATTAATAGGACCCAGGGTACTTTCCGCTCTCGGATTACAACTATTAATTGGAATCCAAGAGTAGAAGCACAGGTTTAGTGGCACTGTCCCCTTCGGTGTTAATAATTTTCGAATAGTGATCCCGCTAGTTTATGCGAGAAATCGCAGACTAGCAACAACAGAAACCTGAGACTGCGCAAAGCCTCAGGTGCACCTGAGATGTGTCGTTGCCACGACGTGACATTACGTTTGAGATACATTATAAAGACTACCTTTATAATGACTGTTTCATAATCTTCACGACAGTAGATTTAGCTTTGGAGTGGAAAAGCTAATGGAAAACTGACAAACTTTTATAGCGATGAGTGAATTTCATTACCATTGATGATTTACTTGTTTTTTTTTGGAGTTTCGCAGATTTTCATGACACACGCAATCATTATTATCTACAAATTATCGGTAATGAATGTGTCTAAAACATTATTGGAAATCATTCGCTCGGTGATTATATATTACAAATTAATTCAGACATAATCACTTTAAATGAATGGACTTGAATTATATAATAACAGATAAAGCAGATACTTATAAATAGGATTTAGAATTTTTGGACGCAACTTAGTTATTGCAAATTTCAAAATGATATTGGGAAGAGTTATATTTTTAATAGTTGCTCTGCTTTTCGGTAAGTATTTTCTTGCATTTTCGCCATAAAGAAATGAATGCAGTATTTGTTTTTCATAGTTTATTTTGAAATTTAGTTCAGAACGTATGTATGTGTAATCAACTCATATCTTTCGATGATAATCAAGTAACGATACTGGCGATCTATAATATGTTAACCTAATAAATGTATCGACCAATAATAAAAATTATATAACATCGCGTACATAGTAGTCATTACACATGTCAAGGAAATTAAAAACTGAAATTGAGTATTTTTAACGATATTACTCAATTAATCAAATGATAATCTGTTAGATGTCACTAGTTGTACAGCTGTAAAGTACGTCATGCTCTCAAAGAGATTCATTGGAATAATCCCATCAATTGTTACTATATCCGAATAAAAATTAAAATAAAGTAACGAAACAAAGAAAGAGTGTGAATATGAAAGTAGCCAAAGTTGCATAGGATATCATAGATAATTGCGACTACTTTCCCAGTTTTTTCGCTAATCATAACTTGAAAATAAAAATTGATATTGCTTGAAAAATTATCAAAAACTTTTAAAAATATTTAATGTCGGAATAGGCGAAAACTATGCCGAAATATTAAAGCAGCGCATCATCGGCGGCGATAAAACACAAATCCAAGATTACCCCTATCAAGTGTCTCTCCAAGAATTCACTACTCATTTTTGTGGAGGAACAATAATTAGCAAAAGACATATTTTGACTGCTGCCCACTGTATCGGCAAGAATATGAAGCCACCATACAGATATTTCCGCGTAGTTATGGGAACAAGTTTGCTTAATGCAGGTGGTGAATCTCATCACATTGCCAGAGTGGATGTTCATCTCGACTGGATAGATTCTCCGAAACTTTCCTATCAGAATGATCTGGCTATAATTACGGTAGATATTTTATTAGTGAAAGAATATCCACGTTCTTGGAAAGTTAGCCTGTTGACACGGCTACAGGCATCAAATATTGTCGAGACTATCACATTTCGATATTAATTTTCAGTTGGCGAGCAAAATCTTCTTCAATGCTTACAAGCAGAAAGCCAAGTTGCCTACCAAGGAAGTCCAGGATGGGGAGGTAGCTGACTTCACAGGTTGGGGATTAACCCTTCAAACCCCCAAAACTCGTCCCAAGAATCTTCAAAGAATTAAAACCACTATTGTAACCAATGAAAAATGCCGTAAAAAAATGGTTAATGGTGCAAGACTTATGATCTACAAGACTCAAGTTTGCGCCTTCCGTACTTCCGGAATTGGAGCTTGTTCTGTAATTTCTCTTCCGGTTCTTATAATTTATACACATGTATATGTGAAAAAATAAAATGTTCAAACTATTTTATAATACTTTTAGGGTGACAGCGGTAGTCCTCTGGTCGTAAATGGTGAAATTGTCGGTATCGCTTCCTGGGTGAGAAATAAACGTTGCGCTAATGGTAGCCCAGACGTTTATACCAATGTCTACGCTTACAAAGACTACATCGAATCAATTATATACAGATATTAAACAAATTTATAACGATACCTGTCAGCTGTATCAAATAATGTTAATAAATAATAAATATAAATTATGTAAGCTATTTTACTATAAATTTTTTCCAATTGTACATTTTCAAAAGCGATCAGTTTTACTTTCAAGTACCACTTTCATTGATCATTGGCGTATTCTTTTTCAATTTTCTCAATACAATATTACGACTGATCATTTAATAATCTCAGAACGTGTGTTAGCTCCACCTATATAGCTATCATTATTTATTTTTCAAAAGAATACATTTTTTGAACCTCTATGTTTTGAGTTAGAATAACGCGAGAGTCTAGGATCTTATCATTAATGAATCAAACTTGAGTAAGGCTTTATCGGGTAGCCAAGTCACTTTTTCACCTTAAAATCTTTATAAGCCAAACGTCATCATTTAATGTATAAGTGTGTTTGTTTTCTGCATTCTCGATAAAAATGATAAAAATAAAAAAAAAATGAAATGTTGGCAAATTTATAATTAAAGTTTGGCTTTTAAGGATCTTAAGGAAGAATGTTCTTACTACCCCAAGAAAATTTACTCAAATTTAATCTACTTTTGAAAGCTGCTTGGGAAAAAGCATTACCAAACATTGATGAATTAAGGGGACAAGCTGATATTAAACTGTAGAAATTGAAAGTTTTTTTTACTGTGGTGTAAAAATACATTCTATTAAAGTTATCGACATGAACATTTTTTCAATCATGCAGTACTTGGTAAATGCTTTCAGTTTCTTCTTTATCAATTTCAAAATTTTAATTAGATGCCGTAGAAAGTCCCTTTGATAATAAAAACTTTTTTTTAGAAAAAAGTGGTTTACCACCCTTAGAGTGAACGAAAATTATTGTAAAAGGGCTTACTATATTCTTTTAGATCTGTACTTTAGATTAAGTCAGAGATTTTTCGAAATAGTGAATTTTACTATTTATATAAGAACTTGTACAAATTTTTTAAAAAATTGTTTTTGGATAAATTTGCAAAAGTGCTGATAAAAATAGTAAAATTGACTTGTTCGGAAAAGCTTTTACTTAATCTGGAGTACAGATGTAAAAAAATAAAGTAAACCCTTTAAAAATGATTTTCGTTCACCCTAACGTTCAAAAACTTTGCGGATTGTTCATTAATCATACGAGTAAGCATGACAATTATAAGTTCTACGAGTATTGTGAATTTTAGCAAGTGGCTTTATAAGTACGTCAAAGAGATATTGATTGATGATGGTTAGCTCATCTAAATTAGGCACAGTGATAAAGGCCGCTATAATATCTTCAGAGATGTTTGGAAAGTGATTAATCACACTAAACGTGGTTTTTGCTCGTTTGTACATACCCTTTTGCTTATTTTGCAAAAGCGCAGAACAATGACACTATGTCTTATAGCACTCATAACAGCAAAATAATCATAAATATATTTATTTCACCTTACTTATAAAGTTTTATAATAAAGATAAACATAGTTTTATAATAAAGATAGACATTGAATAGCACGTTACACGGAATGAAGAAAAGTTGACTAAAATGCGAAATAAATTAGGAAAAGAAAAGTTTAGCCGTTTATCAAAGTTCAATGTTTTGCAAGTGTCTAACAGCTGTTTTAATCTCTCTGTGTGGTTCGATGGAAATGGAAATAAAGAAAAGAATTGCAATAAAACGACCAAAATGAGTGTAGTTTTTTAAGGAGGTTACAGTAGTTTTTACGGCAGATGCTGGGTTATCGCATATGTTTCGACGGTATGCCAGTGTGGCTCGCGTATGGCGGCTCAATAATTAATAAAAAACGCATGAAAAATGTAAGCAACATTTTATTTTCATATTAAACGTTATACACGTATTGTATTAAATGTACATATGTTTTCTATTAAACGTTATACACATTTTTTGAACACATGACTAAACTCCAAAATGAAATGCAATTTTCAGAGCCGCACAATTGCAAAATTTCAATGCTAAGGATTTAGAGCTTTTTTTTCTATTTAAGATATAATGGTGACGGAAAATGCTCGTGAACATTGCCAAAGTATTTGTTGAGTATGTTAATATAAAGAAAAGCGATAAATTATTTCTAAAAATGTGATACGCGTTTTCGAAGTATTTGATTGCGAATGAATACGACATATTATATTAGATTTATCTATAAGTCTATACTGCAAATCCACAGGAAACTTTTACTCAAACGTGTGTTTAGGTAAGTCTTGCGATAAAGTCAATAATCATAAACTGCTCGGGCCACGTGGATGACATTGAAGATGTTTGTTTTTTTTCTCAAATCCTTAAGACACATACCAAACGTATTTTCAAATATTCACTTCACGTTAATAAAGCAACATGTTAACATAAAATGAATGGAGTCTCTAAAAAAAATTAAAATGAAACTGCTCTACGAAAATGTTAGATGCATTCTAATACTCAAAATTCAACCGATAACCTAAAGCTTGCCATACGTATAATGCCGATACAAGTGAAAACGAATTGAATTAAAATAGGTTTTCTGACGAATCGATGATAATTGAGAATAATAAAGAACAAGTAATAGGGCCTTGCTACGGAATGACTTTCTCGTTTTTACAAGAAGATATTCCAGCCATCGAGAAGCTCAAAGGTTGCGAATACTATGCGACATAGAAATTTGTTGTGCAAGCATATTTCTAGCATGAAAAAAAATTAAAGGACATGTCGGAGAATAGAACCGGCGTGCTCAGGCGTGGCAGGTTAGTGCTCTGACGCTAAAGGCATTGTCACATGTACCTTGAAGAGTTGTTATTTTGTATATTGAGTACACAATTGGTATAGGGCCTGAGCGTGCCTTGGAGGGGAGCGCATGCTGTCTATAGTTCTGGCTTGGGGATGCGCTATGGTAGGCCTCCTCCGCGCACTGCCAAACCACTGTGAGCCAGAGCCAATACGCGCTCCCCTCCAAGGCACGCTCAGGCCCTATACCAATAATTGTGTACATATTCAATATACAGAGTAACAACTCTTCAAGGTACATGTGACAATGCCTCTAGCGTCAGAGCACTAACCTGCCACGCCTGAGCACGCCGGTTCGATTCTCCGCCATGTCCTTTAATTTTTTTTCTATTGCCCCTTTCTCTACATTTTCAGATTAACATTTTAATTTATTAATACTATTTCATAGCTATTTTTATTTTCATAAATTATCTTACTAGGGTCCTTAGGGACTTTCTCCAACCATGTGACCCCTTCCTGGCCTAGAATATACATTGCTATATACTACTATAGAAAGTGACAGTTCTCGCTTGTCAGAAAAATTATCAAAAGCTCGCTTAGCAACCGAAAACAGAAGAAAGGTTGTGCAATTGAAGAAACGCAAATGTACAGTTTTATTCTTAACAAGAATGAAGCTTAGAATTCTCCATGCAAATAAGAATTGATTAAAGGAATTACAAAAGAGACAGATATTTTATTACAAAATGTTACGTGAGTAGAAACAGATTTACCTGAATGAATGAAGATGCTCAGCACCAAACGGGTTTTTTGAACCGGAACCAGAAAGATGTTGATAAAATCGATTATGATTTAAATCAAAGTGGTCAAATCTGAAATAAAAGGCATCATAACATCAATAATAGGCTTTCAGTGACCGATATTGCGTGTATTTTAAGAAATATAAAGAATTACTTGTTGTCTTTTGTGTCAACGATCTTTTTCTTTTATTAAGTTTTTTAAACTTTGGGCTTTATTATGGTGTTAGACATGCACACTTAGACGCTGCACAGTATATTGTGCGCAGATCTGTCCGTTACAAGGAGACTGTCAGTATTGTCAATGGAGTAACTAATCAATATTAATTACTTTTGTGACGGATACGATCGACGCACAATGTACTGCGCAACTGTGTTTTTTCTTTTGTTTGACTTAGTTGTTGGATCATTGAGTTTGTAATCGTATCAGCCTTCTCTTTAATATTTTCAATCACATCTGTGCAAGGAACTTTAAAACGATTAACATAAGCTTTGTCAGTATTTAGTCTAGCCAGTACGTTGGCCATTTCATTTTCAACGATTTCTATATGAGATGGAAACCAAAAGAAATGAATCTTAAATTTACTGGTTTTAGTTTTAGAATGTTTGTATTTTTATTTGATTAGATAAATATAAAGATTTAATACGGAATAGTCATCTTTAGACTTAAGGTTTTGTAGGATATTTGAGAAGTCGATAAAGATGAAAATTTCTTAGTTGTCAAATTGCAGAGCAGTATGTTTAGAGCGATATATTCACTGGTGTAATCAGAATCATTTTTATTTATACTTTTGGATAGATCAACATTCAGTGAAAGGATTATGTACGAAGCATCTATGTGGTTGTTTGAAATTGGTTGTGAATTAAGTTGTTCTTAAACGATAAGCATTGAGTTACATTCAATCGACCATTGTAAATGATTTTTAATTATTTTTCAAACACTTTGCTCAAACACGAAGTTAATAAAATTAATGCGTCCAATAAAGTCCTATCTAGAGAAGCAGTAGGCAGTTTGTTATATACATACGAGTATATTTATTATGCAAGTCAAGGTACACGACTGGATATTTCATTTGCTGTCGGTTGCGTGAGCCGCTTCATGCAAAATCCTGGAAAAGAACACTGGACTGTAGCGAAGCAAATCTTTCGTTATTTAAAATATTGAGTAGATGTCAAACTTGAATTTTCTAAAAATTAAAAAGTTATGTTTCAAGGTTGTTCCCGCTGTGAGCGTTCCCCATTCGGGAAAATACAGGTAGCGACGGATTGGTTTTTACCTCGATATTTTCTCGGACACCAGTCTTAATGTCAAACACGTGAGTCACGCTCTTGTTTGGCAACTCGCGCTAGCTGGATACTACACCTCGGCCGTCGCCGATCGATGGTTTGGTTGGGACCATCATCGGCTGGGAGGAAAATTTTTCCCCCTCCTTCGGCGACAAGTTCGCGTCGGTACGTGATACTTCTGACTACCCGTGACTCAAATTGAACCCTAATCATCTCGCAGCCTCTTCTCATCTCGTTTGGTGGCTTATGTTATGAGATAAACCCCATTGTGTATGTGCGTAGAGCTGTGTGTCCGCGCCGAAATCCCTACGATACAGCGTGCGCGTGTTATATGCCGTGTGTCCGCTGTTTGCGAGCTGGATGCGACCAGATCCGAGCGGCTATTACGGGGCTCATCCTCGCGTATGGGTTAGATGTGATTTGAAACAGCTTTTTCCCCGTTTGCGGCTGAGGTTTTTTATGCCGCGTCAAGCCTCCAATTTTTTCATTTGAAGTTAAATTACAATCTGAGTGAACTTACAATTCCAATTAACCAGCACTTCCTATTATTCCTTACATGAACTTGTGCTCCCTTTACCTCGAACGAAGTCATACTTGCGAACAATTTTCTATTCTTCTAATTGTAAGATCTAGTAGCGTTCATATTCCGTGAATTCCGTTCATATTCATTTATATTCAATAAACAAAGGTTGAATTGGGTATTACGATGCTGCTTGATCGTAAATCACATCGATTCTCGGCTTGCAATTACTGGAAGTATATTTTTATTCAACGGTTCTCCAACTGTTTGGCCAAACAAGAGGTAACGTCCACTAGTCTTATCTGCGACAGGAGCTGAGTATATGACTTTTTCATCTGCTTGTCAAAAAGCTTTGTAATCTACATAAATTAATGTAAAATCAAGAGTCTTCTTTACTAGTTTCTTCAGCTGCCATATTTATAGCGATAACGAAGGGCCATAGGTTTATCGAAAATAACGGATGTGGTGGTCCACGTACAAAATGTACGGTATTCGGCATAATATTATCCGAGAAAAATGAATACGGTAAATCAATGTGCACTTCATACTCACAAAATGACAGCAAACGTGTTGACGAAAATATTATTCCCAAATTAAAATTCAAACAATACATTGACAAAATAAGTCTGAAGTTTCAGTAACTATTCGTTCATGAAAGGGTGTTCAAGTATTTTAACGAATATTTAATTCTTTCAATAAAATTGTATCCTGTTTATCAATATTTTATTTATTTCACGTTAATGAAGCAACATCTCACCATAAAACACATGTCGTCAATTTATTTATCCACTCTAATAACCAACACCCATCCCAAATTATAATGATATCAGCCTCGACGGCACTCTACCCTAAACAGTCAACAACATATCATACGAGTTTTTTCAAACAATTCAAGACGTCAACGTGGAAACAATAATGAGGCAGATTTTCGATTTACGAGTTGCTCAACTTAACGTACCTGTATTCCAAAAGCTGTTCCAAAACTTAAAAGCAAATGAGTCGTACGGTCTCATCACTATTAAAATAATTTAAGAGCTGCACGATGGTAATTAATAGCAACGACAGCTGTTACTGGCGCTTCTATAGCTTCCTTGCCTGGGGACGAAATCTCGAAAACCCGATGGTGGAGTAATGATCAGCAGATTGACCGACGGATACAACGAGCTACGGGAAAATCCGATGAGCAATTTTGAAAAAAGCTCGAAAGAGTTGGAAGAGGGCTGAGATCGAGCGGGAGCTGCGTTCGCTTGGACAATAAGGTAAAAGAGCACCGGTGGACGTAGATAGCCGCGAAGCTCGCAAGCGAGGGAGCAGAGGGCTGCGGGAGTGCGAAGAGAAGACGACTCGGTAGCGCATGGAGGCGTAGCTTTATTCGCACAAGGGGGGCGACTAGCGGGAGCTCGCCACGACTCCGCGGATCCAGTCCTCGTAGGCGTAGACCTTGGTGTAGACGTCGGGGTAGCCCTCGGCGCAGGGGACGACCCAGGAGGCGATGCCGACGAGCTGGCCGTCGACGACGAGCGGACCGCCGCTGTCCCCCTGCGAGCAGAAGCAAGGCCAGGTGAGCGCGGGCGCCGCGAGAGGCGCAGCGGGCACTCACGGAGCAGGCGCCGACGCCTCTCCGCTGGAAGGCGCACACGTGGCCGGCGTAGAGTCGCGCGGGTACGCGACCCGTGCACTGGCGCCGGGGCACGATCCTCATGTGGGCGCTCTGGAGCCGCGGCGAGACGGCGCTGGACGGGTAGCGCCTGACGCCCCAGCCGCTGACGGTCGCGCGCTCGCCCTCCCGCGCGTCCCTGCTCGGCAGCGCGATCTCGCTGGCGTTGGCGTCGGGCGCGATCCGCTCGGCGAGCTGCGCTGCGACAGTCGGGAGCCGGTCAGAGGCGGCGCGGCCGCTTCGCCTCGAAGGCGCTCACCGTGATCACGGCCAGGTCGTGCTTGTAGGAGGAGGCCTCGGTGCCGAGGTAGCCCTCGTGCACGCGGACGCGCCGCACGCGGTGGTGGCGCCCGGCGCTGCCCGCCGACAGGCTGCTGCCCGCGACCACCAGCAGGTCGGCGTAGGGCGGCGCGACGATCCCCTTGATGCAGTGGGCCGCGGTGAGCACGTGGCTCTCGTCGATGATGGAGCCGCCGCAGAAGTGCCGACCGCGCAGCCGCAGCGACACCAGGTACGGGAACTCGGAGATGTCGGCGCTCCTGCCGCCGACGATGCGCGGCGCGTCCGCTCGAACGCCTGGGGGCGGGAGCTTTAGCGCTAGAGCTCGGTGCGACGGCGCCGCGGACGGACGGACGGACGGACAACTCACCGGCCAGGACACTCAGACAGAACAGGCTCGCTAGCGTGGACCTCATCTCTCGACTGCCGCCACGAGCCCGCCGCCGGGGCTTTTGTAGCGGCTGGCCAGCTCTGGCTCGTCCTTCGCCGAGATAGCGCGGGCACTCACTCGCGACCATCGCGCCGCGCTATCGGCCAAGCTGCGACGGCCGCCGAGCGATTCCCCGGCGACGGTCGACGGGTTCCTAGGTCATCGCTTCGCCGATCGAACGCGGAAAATCCTTGGCACAACGATTCAACTTCGAGTACCTGTCCTGCGTGAAAGCCATTAATTGCTCGTGCATATTAATCAAGTCTATTTCATGTTTTTCCTCGGCTAACTTTTCATTTTTCACGAGGCTTGTTACTTCGATCAACATTTTTCACTTGTTTCAAGCAACTTGCAACTCGTATTCATCGCGATCGTTCGATCAATATTGTCGCTCAAACTGAGTACGTTTTTTTAAAAATACTATTTAAAAATACATTTAATAACGAAGTGGTAGTTTTCAAGTTCACGACGATGCCTTGAAGCATAGATATCTTTGTAAAATAGTTGTCAAGGTATTACCTTGCACGTTATACTAGATAACATTTTTTAGTTTTAAATCCGTTTGAATAGATTTCCAATTGAACCTGACCTGCTTTTGTTGTACGCGGGTGATCAAACCAGCCATCAATATCTCTCACTTGATTGATGCATAGAATTTTTTCACGTAATAAAACAGTGACAAAGTAATGCAGACTAAAATATATTTATTTCACGTAATTATTCGATTACAACGTATGCATAAACCCGAAAATAGTTTATTTGAAATAGATCTGTAATTACTTATTAAAATGCCCTTATACCTTTTAGCCTTTCAAACAACTTTTATAATATAAAAACTGAATTAAAATTTTAAATTGTGTAAATCAACCTATTTCATGAGTTTTGTTTGAATACTGTTTCTTTACTCTTTGAACTGTTGGTATAATCATTAGAATGTAAAGTTCTAACTGGTTATGTCAAACTTTACAAATTTAATTTTTACGAGAAACAAATTTAAATGAAATAAAATCATAATTGTTTTAAATATTCTAACACATCCTTTTTGAAAAATTTTTCGAATTGTTTTATAGAATTACTTTAATTCTAATTGAGGATGCATTGTTTTGACGAACAAAAATTTTTCCGAAAATCATTTTAGAAATTTGTTCAAGGTTATCATGGATCTAAAATGCATTTTTTACGAAATATATTTCTGTATGTGTGTGTGGAGTGTGTGATGTGTATGTACGTTATTATAAATAACTCACGTGCAGTATGGTAAAATTTGTCGCATGAAGGCTTTTTAAATGTGTTTTTAATACGTGTGCGTGTGAATGGTTGAGAAAAACAGTCCTCTAAATCTATCGAGTAGTTTGGTCAAAAAGAAAAATTATGTCATTTTCAAAAATTATTAAATTTGATTTTTCAATTATTATTTATCCTATACATGAGTATCGTTAAATTTCATGTGAAAATTTTTTAATATTTTTATTTTTGTTTCATTTGAAAAGAAAATCGTATCTCTAAGTACTCCCGTTTTAAATTTACGTTACAAAACTTTTGAAAAAAATCATATTGAAACTCTTTCACAATTTTACTGAAAGTGTCTCATATTATTAGTAGAATATCCTGAAAATCTCAAGTTTTTGTATGGATTAGCATCCACAAAAAGAAAATTTTGTAGAAATCGAACAAGAATGAACTGTCGTGGTTTACACGTCGATAAAAAAAATTTCCACAAGTACTGCAGAATTCGCCTGTTTTCATTCAGTCAGACAATCATAGCCTTGTTGCTTATATCAAGTGGTGCTCGATCGATAGAACTTTTCAACGTAACATTTCAATTTCTCCATATAGTCAACTCAATGAACTCAACATTAACAGCAGCATACTTACCAGGCAGATGCAATGGTGTATAGCGGATCGTCTGTCCTGAAAAAAATTAGTATCAGAGCGGCACCTATTAGCCGAAGCGAGAGAAAAATTTTTTGAGAAATAGGGCACTCCAAAGATCGACCTATTTGCCTCGAGAAGATCTGCGGTTGTGAATCTGTATGTTTCAATGGATTCGAAAGATCATCAGGCGTTTTTCATGTTTTTCATCGATGCATTCAGCAGAATATGGGTTTTCAAATTGGCATGGGTCTTTCCTCCCCCCAACTTAATTCCGAGAGTACTTGCAGATATGAACAGTTGTGAAGGTCAGTACGTGATAATTGGCCCCAAATGGAATCAAACATTTTGGATGTCAGATCTAGTGAACAGGAGCCAACAATCCCCGATTGAAGTCACAGCATTAAACAAATTCTTGATCGACCTGTCGACGGGACTTCCACCCACTCCAATGGATCAACTTACCTTGCAAGCGTGGACGGTTGGGTGTGATCCAACCTAACAAGCAAGTAGACTTCTGAAGCAATTAATTTGTTAAAACAAAGTTGACGCGAATTGACTTTAAAAACTTATAAAGCTTCTGTGAAGAGATGGATAGAATAGTGTACATATAATAATGTAAAACCAGGCAATCCATAGGGTAGTGATTTAGCGCGCGATTTTCGCCTGGTTGGTTCTGATCGCGTTTCTTTTAGACAGTCAGACTGGAAGTTACTTAAACATTCGAATAACTGGTTATATCTTGTTTCGCTATTAGATAGTTATTTGAGTTTTTCAAAAGAAAGAAGACAAGAGGTAGACGGAGAACCACAATTTGTTTCAATAACAGACAAAAAGAAAACTGCTTCGAGCACTATCTCTGTACTCATACACGCGGGTATAGATTACTCTCTTGGTAGTATTCGTTTAGCTGTAGCTTCTTGTATTTGGTTAGATAATTTGCCTATGCAAGATAATTTAGATCACGGTAATTGGAGATGTGTATTTCTCACATAGCATTGAGTTACATATTATCCAGTAGAGAACAAAGAAGTCTCTCATAAGGATGTCGTGAATCCGGTTTATAGCATATAATATTATGTTTTCCACTATAACAAAACACGTATTACATGCTAAGCCGGTACACGACGTCCTGGTAAGTATCTTACTGAATTAGAGGACTCTGCGGAATTAGGTGCTCCATAGCGTATAAGTATTCACACGCTACTCGATGACGATCTCCTGAATTTCGGAACTAAAAGTATCATCAAAGCGGCAAATTAAAGTAAAAGAGTATAGAATAAGGCGGATAAATCAATAGTTTCTCTCATAAGGATACCATGTACCGGCTTCACATATAATATGTGCTTTGTTATAGTGCAAAACACTAATATTAAATAAACAACATATCTTGGTTATGTATTATGGTATATATATATATATATATATATATATATATATATATATATATATATATATATATATATATCAATAAATCAAAACGCGCTTACTTCCTGACAAAATGATACGACATGAAATTATAATATTACAGATGGAATAGAATAGAAATCTATAAAAAAATTATACATTGACTATGTTGAGGAGGAAGCTAACTGCCAATGAATTGGCAACGTTTTTTAACTTGTGTTATATATGAGAGTCGATATGCCAAAGCTCATGGACCGCTTCTTTTCAAGAAGTATTTGAGTTTACCTTCTGTTGTTTTGTATGTAAACGTAGATAACGTTCTTAGTTGAGTTTCTAAATAATGAACTATTTAATGTTTTGAAAATTTTCCATAATTTCTATAAAAATATTATACAAAATCATTGAATATCCAAATTCAATTTTTGACAACCAAGAAAATCGTTTTGTTGCATTGTTTAAAAATAATCAACTGAACATGTACAGATGAGAAATAAGTGAAAATTTAGATTAATATATATTATATTTTTTTATCAGAAAATACTTTGTTTCAAATGACAAGTTAATACTTAATTGATGAATTCCATAAATAAACTAGGCCTAGGAATGTAAAAATATTATCATCGAATATGAATTATTATCCATCATGGGAAAAACCTATACGATAAGTAAAAATCTAAAGAATTGAAAATAATTATTCTATAAAAGTAGATTTATCCAGATAAAATACTGCGTAATAAAACAACAATCAACAAATTATTTTTAAGTGAAATTAATTTATTTTGCAACCAAAATTCTTTCTAACAATCATTTTATATTTTTCATTTTGAAGTTAGTCTTTTCTTTTATAAAATTTGTTTCATATTGAAAATATATGTATTAATCAATAAAAAGTTCACATAACTGTAATGGTGCTACAAGTGATCTAAACTTCATTCTTAAAAAAAAGAATTTCTTTAAAAATGATATGATATTTTATTAGTCAGTTAAAGAGACGAAATCAAAAAATCTAACCAATTTATTTATTTTCTACTACAATACTAATTTTTCAAAATAATATCTCATCTAGCTAATGAGAATAATCAGCAAATGATTTTAATGGGCAAAAAAATCTGTATACTATAATATTCTTTACATGAGACATTATATTTACAAGTATTAATCTATATCAGTATTTGGCTTTAATTTAAAAATAAATACCTATTATTCTTTATCCATTCCTTGCAAGTCTCTAATACCAATTAAAAGCAATTTAATATGTGCATTAGTCTTTGCTATTTCCTTTCGTAAGTTCTCAACTTGTTTTTCAAACAATTTTATTCTTACATCTATAACACTCAATGCTTCATCCAATGTAAATTCAACAAAATGTCCTAAGCCAACATCAAGGAGTATGTGAGACGCATCTTCAACGTGAGCTTGAACAAAGATATTATTACCCATGTCCACTTTTGTTTTGTAACCATCTTTATCTGCACCAATATTTTTGAAAGTAGTGATAACACTTTTCAACTGCAAAAATTCTGCAATTTCTGAATTTTTTTCATCTAACTTTTTTTCTAACTGGGCCAAATCTTCCTTTAGAACATCATTTATAAATATTTCAAATTGTCCAATTTTTTCCTGGATATCTAGCTCCATATTTATTATTAACAGCTGTAACAGGAATATTCATTTCAAAATATCAACAGTCAACAAGTTTTTTTTGTTTATAAGGTTATGATACACAATGAAAATAATTTAAGATGAAAATTTTGATAATTCACTAGTATAATTTGGATAACAAAATAAAATTCACGTGTAATATCATTATATTTAACCAGAATTATTAGTGCCAATGGTAAAGACAATCAATGCTTTTATGTATAAAACAAGAAAGTTGTATAAACATATTAGAATTTAACGATTTTTCATGTATAGGTGGATAAGTACAATAAAATAAAGAAATCATTTTGAAAATAAATAAGACATTTTCCGCAACACTTACAAACTTTTCATCATAGTACAATACTGGTTCAATATATAAGCAAACTGTATACAGCGATAATAAAATAATAGTGTGTGTATATATATATATATATATATATATATATATATATATATATATATATATATATATATATTGCATGTATGCATGTATATGTTATATATATACATCATTTATGCATCGACAGTCGAATATGTAGGCCTCTTTATTATTTGAACTGTCAGTAGAACAAAGTGATCCGTAAAGCAAAAAAGCGCGAAAAGCATGCTGAATAACTGACATCTATCAAACAGTGAATTTCATTTCTCAGCTGTTGTCAGCATCAGATCTAGTAATAATCAATCAAGTTGATCAAATATTTCGATTTGTTTTCAAACAGAATTAATACGTTAATGAGAAGTTAACTGTATTCTTATTTATCATGAATACTTACTTTTCCGATAGAAAGGAGCGTCACTTATTGTACAATACTTTGGCAATCCTCTTGAAAGCTGTTGAAGGTGAACGTACTACCGTTGATCTGCGTAATGAGGCTTGTATTTACGGAACCGTTGAACAAGCTGATGGGTAAGCTAACAATCAAATGTATCTTATTTTGTGGATTTATCGAAACTTACATTTTATTACGCCCCAAGCTTTATGAATATCTTAATGAAGAATTGCATATTCACCGATCCAAAGGGTGACAGCTTTAAGTATGAAATATTTTTCGTTCAAGCTCGAAATATTCGCCAAGTTCACATTCCAGCACATGTGAGTATTAATTGTTTTACAAACTTTTGATTTCTATATTATTAACCGTGATTCGGTAACAATGCGCATTTGCACGTGTGTGATGAGCGGCGTTTTTGAGAAGCTGCGCATTTATAACCTAAACTGTATTCAACAAATTGAAAATAAACAGTAAAAGAAAATTGTTGTTCGTTGTGTACTAAGATGCTTATAATTTAATAAGTTTACTGTGAAAGGATTATAAATAATGCTAAAAAGTTTTATTACTCTAAAGACTACTTATTATTCTTATAAAACATTTTATTAAGCATTTGTAGCAAAACTTCTAGAAAACAACATCAGATCTTGGACGTATATTACTGAATTGAAAAGTCATTCTACTTATAATAAGCCTAGGTCATTATTTTTAAAAAATATGAATCACTTTAAGTTTAGTGATTATGATTGCATTGGTTTTGACCTAGATAGTACGATTATCCAATACAAAATAAAAAATTTATTATTGCTTATTTATGACGTGACAGCCAATTACCTTATAGAGAAAAAGGGTTATGATCCAAAGTATTTAAAGAAGCCTTTGACAGTAAGAGAGTTTGATTTTTTACAAAAGGGCTTATTCTTTGATTTTCAAAGGGGCAATATTCTTAAACTGACTCCAGAAGGTAATGTGCACTTAGCTAGTCATGGTACAAAAATGATGAACAAAGCAGAAATAGAAAAATATTATCCTAATCGAGAGTGGGAAATAAGCAAAATATTTAGTAAAGATCCATTGATCACATGGAATGGTCCATTATCATTGAAGATAAGGACAGTACTAGATGTTTTTGATACACCAGCAGTTTTAATATTTGCAAGAGTAGTTGATACTTTAGATGAAAAAAATGGAAAACCTTTGAATGACTACAATATTTGGCCAGATATATTAGATGCTTTTGTTTTTATTTACTCTAGAGAAAATTTACAAAATAATACTGGTCATTTTTTTTCTGCATTACAAGAAAATCCAGATAAATATATTAACAAGTCCAATGAAAAAGTGTTGACTTGGATTAGAAACTTGAAAGAAAATAATAAAAAAACTTTTCTTATTACTGGTTCTAACTCTGACTTTGTTGAGGTAACTACTAATTATGCATTAGGAAAAGAGTGGAAATCCCTCTTTGATATCATTGTATGCTACGCAAAGAAACCTGCTTTTTTCACAGAAAAGAGGCCATTTTATTCATTAAAAAACTATTATGAAAATAAAATTGTAACAAATGAAGAGTTTCAGCTTGGTGAAACATACAATCAAGGAAATTGGCAAGAATTAGTGAAATTTTTTTGTAACATTACAGGAGCAAGTAGTCCAAAATGTCTTTATGTAGGTGATAATTTGTTACAAGATATATATGCTCCTAATGACAAAGCTCAGTGTGATACTGTGGCTATATCAGTTGAACATTTGGTAGAAGGAATGCTCAATCATGACTTTTATCATATAGATAAAGACATTATAAACTCTAATGTATGGGGATCTTTTTTCACATTACAAGATTCTAATGGTTACAAGGACTCTTTTTGGAATAATATTATTAAAAAAAATTCAAAAATATGCATTCCAGATTTGGAAGTTGTTGTTGATAAATACTTAGATGAACCAATAGAGTGTTTTACTCAAGAAAACAATGACAAAGCATTAAATGGTTATTATCCAGCCAAACCTACCACAACTTCCAGCTTGCAATTATAATTGAAGCAATTGTATTTATAAAATTGAAAATGTTTTCTAGAATATTTTATGAAATACTCAAATTGTAAATAAAGATTGAAAATATCTTTATACCTAAACAAAAAGAACTTGAATCGTTGACATATTTATAATTGTTTTTAAATTCTTCTTCTTTGTATCTTACTGATTTCAGATACGAATATTACCTTCAATCAAAGAACAGTTGGAAAAAGTATCTCGTAGACCAGTCAAAAATATACCAACACATTCATTAAGATCTAAAAGAATAACTAGAAATCAAGCTGAGGGACTAGCAGCTGTAAAAAAAATTTTAGAAGATAGGAAGCATAATGAACCTCAAGCTAGTGGTAGTGGTACTAAAAACTGATACAGTTTCAGTTATAGATTTTATTCTGATATAGTCACTTCATATAAAAAATATCTATATTTCACAAAATATGTGTACAGTCTATTAATAAAGGTATATATTTCATAAAATTTGCTACACAGGTATTTATAGCATTTTTTTATTTACCAAACTGCAAATAAATAATTATTGCTATTGTAGAATCAATCAATAATCTACAAAAATAGTACTCAAAATATTTCATTGAGTTGAATAACAAATTTGTTGCCTAGATAGAATTGTTTTATAACTGTCATATAAATATAAATGAAACAATTTGAATAACTGCAGTAGATGTTTGCAACAGCATTTGAATTAATTGAACATTATTAATAACATCCATACTGAGTAGTATTTCATACAATCATATTGTATATGGTATTTTTTCAGTATGACTATATAATACATTATGGAGTTGTATTTGATATAAAATATTTTGCCTTCTTAATGTATTGTCAACCACATTGGTCAGTTGTAAGTCATTAGTACCATAAAGTGTTACCATAATTATTTACAATTTTTTAAAGAAACCCTACACTTTGTCACAGGAAAATTTGAAATACTTACAAAAAAAATAAAACAATTTATGCACAGGTAATTAAAAGTGAAGTACTGTATAAAATAAAAAAAAATTACTAAACAATTTTTCAATATAATAATTGAAAGTTAAAACAAATACTAATTACAATGTAGCATAATTTTCAGTTATGTTGCAGTCCATTGCACTGATTGCGTAATAATATAATCTGCATTATTTTGAGGTAATGGATATCTTTTAGCAGTATAGTATATCATTGTTATTTGCTATATTATTTCAAGAGCTACTGCTATGCCCATTCCTCCACCTATGCATAATGAAGCAACACCTTTTCTTCCTCCAGTTCTTTCCAACAAATATAATAGAGTCACAACTATTCTTGCACCTAAATATGTTTCAATTTGTCATTTTAGTACAAATTTCTTATAATAGACTAATAAATTATTATGTAACATACCTGAAGCACCGATTGGATGACCTAGTGCTATTGCTCCACCATTTACATTGACTTTATTAGGATCAAGTCCTAGTGCTTGTAAGCAAGCTAACGATTGTACAGCAAATGCTTCATTCAATTCATATAAATCAACTTCTTCTTTAATCCATTTAGCTTTCTTAAGCTATAATTCAAACAATAATTATTAGTCTGAATTAATTTATGAAATGCAGTCAAGCCATTATAAAAAATTAGCAGTTATCCAAATTTGAATTAGATCAAATAATTGAAACGAGATATCATTATTTCGAATTATAAATGTACTTAATATACTTACAACTAACTCAACAGCAGGAATAGGACCTGTGCCCATAATATTTGGCTCAACACCGGACTCGGCAATGGCAACAATGCGTGCGATCGGCTTAACTTTTTTATTTGTAGCAGCTTCTCTCGACATCAAAACAACGCAGGCTGCCCCGTCGTTGATTCCTGATGCATTTCCAGCAGTAACTGTGCCTTCAGTCTAAGATAAATAAAAGTTGCAAAATACTGATTTAATAAAAATAAATGATTATTATTGTAACGAAGGAAGATAATAAATTACTTTGATAAAAACAGGTCTCAACTTGCCAAGACCTTCAACTGTTGTGCCGGCTTTTGGGAATTCATCTTTGGTCACAAATGTCGTTTCTCTCCTTATAGTTACAGGAACAGGAACTATTTCTTTTTCAAAGTATCCATTTTTTACGGCGGTTTCGGCTTTTTGTTGCGATTTTGCAGCATATTCATCTTGTTCTTCTCTGCTAATATTAAATTTCTTGGCAATGTTTTCGGCTAGAATAGATTGTATGTTAGTTTTGCCTAATACAATAATACAACAAATTTATAAAAAAATGTGTCACATTGAGTACCTGTAACACCCATGTGGATACTTTCAAATGCATCTGTTAGTCCATCAATAATCATTGTGTCCATCATAGTGCCATCGCCCATTTTCACCCCATTCCTAAGATGAATAGCATGAGGTGCTTGGCTCATACTTTCTTGTCCACCAGCCACTACTACTTCACTCTCTCCAGATTTAATAGATAAATAAGCATTAGTGATAGATCTGTAAACATAAAATCTATTATTCTACCTGTTTTTACAAAACTTAAATCATTACAGCCTTGAAAATTGATTTAGCTGATGAAATAAAGAAAACCTTAATTAATTGATCTATAGAATAAACGAGAAAGCTATTTGAAAGGCTTTAAAAGTTTTTTGACTCAGTAAATTCCAACGAGTATGCGTGTACTCTTCAAATTCATTATTGGTGCAATATGAATAATGTACAAGCCAATACAAAGCTTTTTGAAATTAAAATTGGGCTCATACTTGAGGCCAGATCCACATAACATATTGACAAGATAAGCTGGAACAGTGATTGGAAGACCGGCTTTGATGGCAGCTTGCCTGGCTGGATTTTGTCCTTGTGCTGCAGTCAATGCCTAACAATGGAATAAAAGAAAATTATTTATGTATAACAATTTTTCCAAGTATTAGTAGATACAATGAAACAGTTACTTGGCCTAATATCACATTGGAGACATCAGTGGATTTCAAATCAGCTCTTGATAAGCTTTCTTTGATGACAACACTGCCCAAATCTGAAGCTTTGAGAGATGATAATGATCCACAAAAAGAGCCTAAAAAGACATTTTAATCTGATTTTAGAATAACTTTAACAGACGATAAGAAAGTAATTGAGCCTAATTTAATTTAATTTAAAAAGTATAAGTACTTTTACATTGAAGTTTCAAGCTGATGGAACATAACAAGTGACACTGAAATTTGATTGATTGTCAGTAAGATTGTTGGTTTGAGGGGATATTTTTGGAATAAAAAATATTGTAATGTCTATAGAGATTGGCAATGGTCAATGTGTGAAATGCGTACAGGAAAAAATGCGCACCAAGTGGTAAAGTAACCTGGCACGTATATATATATATATATACAGGTGTGGAGAGGTGCCGAAAAATGTGAGAGAAAGTTGGAATAAGGTCAACCACAGGTAGATATTACCGATGGGCGTGCGAACAGCCGACACGATGAGGACATCTCGTGGTTCGGACATGCTGAGGCCGGTCTTGTAGACTGTAGGAAGCTAGTTCAAAAACACGAAGTATCGAATGCCTGACAGAAAGTGACTGCGTTGGCAGTCGCGCGCCGGGAGCATTTAGCAGCCGACTTTCCTTGACTCTCCTCCCCGCCGACTCATAGATTCAACCGTGCCCGTGTATCGCGTTCAGTTTCGTGCTCGCCCCTCCCTCTTCAAATTCCAATTGCACTTTCGTTATTCTCTTCGGCTACGATGCCACCAATAGAATATCTCCACATTCTCCACATGTAAATCTTTGGTCATAGCTCAACCACGTCCATCGAGCAAATTAATTTAATAAACAGAACAGGAAAAAATTGTGATCGAATTTACGTGGACAATAATATCGCGATCAATCTTCCTTTATATTGTTCAATTCTTATTTCACCAGCTCTAACTATATGTTATTGCTATTGTTTACGTACCATAAAATAATTGTTACAGATTTGGACTCATCATAAACAACTTTAAAAGTCATAAAATTATATAGATATACGTGTGTGTACAGAATCGAAATTAAATTGGAAAGTTTCTCCGTAAAATTTCTCTTTTCATGGTATGTAAGTGTTATCTATCGATATACACATGTCAACAATGTATATCAGCGACAAATTCCTCATTTTTTTCTAATTATTTAAGCAGATTCTACGGATTGCTTATAGATGCTTTTTGTATTTATCTGAAGCAATAAAAGATTAGAAAATAGAGCCATAATGTTTTATTGAAGCCTATATAGGTAAAACATGTAGATAATAAACGCGAAAAACATTGTTCGTAGTTCGCCTTCAATGGTTGACGTGACAACTCTAAAGCTTCGATTCTATGTAATCCATAATGACGTTGCTTAACAAAGTTTCATAGATAGTTTCAACTAATGAGTTTGTAAAGTGCTCCACGATAGTTTTTAGCTGTCATTCATAAGAAAAACAAAATATTACTATAAAAATATAGAAAAGGATTACCGTAGAGTAGGTTAGCGGGAGAGTAGCACGGGTAAAAAGAGCAAATGATATGGTATTGCTCATTCCTCCGTAAAAGCGATCCCCTTTCAAGTGCCTCTCTCTTCTCTAGCAGGTATATATAATAGCAGTAAGATGACGACACTTGTTGCTGAATTCTTAATTTGATTAATCAAATGGCTTATTTCATCGGGGACAGTTGGTTTAGTGAAAAAAAATTCAGCAGCGCCCCTGACGTTTAATCAATCAATTCAGACAGCGCTAAATTCACAAATACACAAACTAATGAACGCCGTGCCGGTCACACATTGCTGTCCCCGACAACTATTACTAATAATGATATTTGCAAAGAGTAATAAAATTAGCTCGCATCTTGACAAACTGTTGAGCTTCGATCTGCCGAGATTGTCTGTGTTTGGATTCGGTCTTGGGTACTCATCTTTTCTCAACTACCGTTGACACTGCTACGCTCATTATGCTCAATAGCCGCGGCGGTTGTTTTATTGCGGCTTCACTGCAAATTCATCTTGTGCTTGCCGACTAATGCTGTACTCGTTGGCGATGTTCTCAGCTGAATCGTACTATAGTGTGGATACCAATCCCATTAGCGCTTTGTCGTAAATATTACGATGAAGTGCAGACCATTGCTGCATCTTCCGGTTTTTCACCCTTTCTCAACTGGATCATAGTGCGAGACCTTACTCGTACTTTCTTGTCTTCCAACCGCTGCTACTTTGCTCTCTCTGCAGATTTGATTGACAGGTAGTCGTAGATATACCTTCTCTTCAAAATTTTAGAATTTGGCTGTATTGAAGATGCATACATTCGGTAACCTATAACATTGTAGAAATCTATAATGTTCAAGCTAGTCTCAAAGCTATTAATGATCGCGCTGTAAACAATGCAAGAGTTTCTTACGGCGGCACCCTAAGCTTTTGTCATTGACGAATTTCTATGCACAATGTTTGAAGACCTGAGGTACACCTTCGATTTTCTTGAAACTTATTTTCAGATAAGTTACGTTATACTACTTAATAGTGAAATTTTTCTTTTCATTAAAAGTTCCGTATAATCTTAGATAAATATATAATTAAGCGAAAACATGACTACGCAGCTAAGCATTTTTTATATAAGTCAATATATTTATAAGCATTATTATCTACCAAGATGAATTCACTTCTTGATGTGTTCCGTTTGTATTTTGATTTATTTCGTTTGTCAATCTGTGGCACTGGCTTTCAGTATAATGTGGAAATTGCAGTTTCATATTGCGAGGATTACAAGTTTCAATTTTTCGTTTTTTTGACAAACTGGTCCAGCGCACGAATTTGTCGAGTTCCAGGATAATGCCATTGCAGAATGTGATGATAATATTAGATGTGATCAATAAATAATGATATATATTTTAATACAATTGAAGTCTATTTGAATAATAAATACAATCAATCATCGTATTAATCTAGGCAATAATTAATAAACTAAATAATTAATGCACTTTGCGGTTTCTGTTATGGTACTCATTTCTCTTTGGTTGATTGTACCCTGAAACATAAACAATTTAGTCTGATCAGCTTAGCCAGATTGAGAATATTTCTGTATGATTTGTGATTTTTAGATGAGATGGCTCAACATATGTGCACACCGCAATGACAATTGTCTAAGTCATGATTCTATTTTATCGCACATGGAACTGCTCAGTCGTTAAGTTTTGAAGAGAAAAAAACCATAATGATATTTGCGCAAAGGAAAGAACCAAGTTTTCATACAATTTATTACAAACGCTACACCATCAATGACCAATGTCTTTTTGTTTATTGAATTTTCAAGCTAATATGTGCTTATTTCGCTAGAACTATAGGAATAGCTTATATTTATATGTTGGATTAGCATTAAATTTTTAAATTACAATTTTTTAGGAGCGTAATGATGTAATTACGACTTACAATGTTTGCTTTTCTAATTAGTGACTTAATAGATAGCAAAAGTTTAAAATTAAGTTCGTATAATTTTTAAAATAGCGAACGCCTTAGATTATCATACAAGCTGCATTGCGAGAATACATAGCTTAGAATTTTGGTTTCTGTACCACATTTATAGAGCTGCCTAGTATTAACAACGTTGATTTTTACTAACGATTCAGTCATAGATTAATAATTGGCTCTGGTTCCATTTATTGATACTATCTGTCTAGGCATTTTTTTCCTTAAAATAAATACTAAAATATTTAAGTTCTTTACTATTACCCGGGATCTTGACAATATCATTTGTATAATCCGTTGCAGCTTTTTTAACGCAGTAATGTAGTTCAGAGAGCGGAATTTTGTTAACAGATTTCCTTTCGGTAGCTCTTCTGGCGAGACCATCAGCGTTCTGATTTTCAGTACACAGGTGAGCTGAAATCTTATGGAAATTATTTAAGGCTCGGCTTCTGTAGCATACTAAAATATGCTCGACTTGTCTCCCTACTTTTTTGGAAACTACTGATCATTAATACTCAAAAATTTGTTTACCAATAAATGACCATACTTAGATTCTGCCGAACCAGTTCTGAAGCGTTCCGTGCGGTCGTTTATTAAAAAAAAAATTAATAAAATCAACGATGATTTCCAGCTGTCATGTGTGTTTATATTTACTTCCAGAATAAAATATCAACATACGTCATAACCAAAAAGTAACACTGCAACCTTACTCTTTACTGAACTACTCGGACAAATTTCATTGAGTAAATGAGTGCAAGAATCAGATTTGATGTAAAATCCGAATTATGTATTTTCCGTGCATTAATATCGCAAATAACTTCTGATCGTATAATCATACAATTTCCATGCCATATCAGTCCTAGTGGCTACGTTATCAAACCAGTATAGTGCACGAATCCATTACGCATACGAACGTAAATTATTATTCATGCTTGGAGCATTACTCTTTGGTTATGATGTGTGTTGATATTTTGTTTTAGAAGTAAACATAAACACACGTGACAGCTGGAAATCATCGTTGACTCTATTAATTTTTTTAATAAACGGCCTCACGAAACGCTCCAGAATCTAGGTATGGTCATTTATGGATAAAAAAATTTTTGAGTATCAAGGATCAGTAGTTTCCAAAAAAGTAGGAAGGTACGTCGAGCCAAATTTTCCTTATTTACTATATATATTTGAGTATGCTATAGAAGTGTATAGCTGGGTCTTAAGAAGTGGGGTATTATGCTTGAAACGTTTCATATATTTGTTTAATTTGTAATACGTAACCATGGGTTTGAAGCTAGAGATTCCAGAAAACTTTATGAGTTAGAGAAAATGAGAACATTAGATTTGTTAATTTCTACAGCAATGTCCATAGCATCATTTATGGCTACGGCTTCCACTTAATGATCGACGTATTCTTATCTATACTTTAAAGTATTGCGAGTTTTATAACGGGAGTTCTGTCAAGACACTATTACTACTATCAGTATGTAAATAGGAAAGTTACAGTTAGCACTCAAAAAAGAATTGAACACTATTTTGGAATTTTATTATTTTTCATGCTATTTCTAGGTTTAAAATCAAACTTAAGGGGAATAATTGTAATGCACAGTTATATAGATTCAGTCAAGACGGAAATATTTGTGATAAAACTAAGAAATAAGTGCTTATACTTGTTTTTGTTGGGTTTATGATACATTATGTGTTCGTACATTGAATTTTTTTTATTGGACATTGCTTTGAGTACGTATCTGTTGCCTAAAAGTTTCGTATTATCTTGTATCAGTGGGCGACTCTACTGTTGTCACGCCGTCTCTTTAAATATCTTTAGATGTAAGGGTATTACCATGAGTCATAAGTTTTTCATAACTTTCTATATATGTTCGTAGCAGGCGTTCAATTATGAGAAATTTAGAAAATTTTATTATTTTTTAGTCTAGCAATACAATCGCTATAACATTATTAAATGCATCCGATACATGAAGAAAGGTAGTAATGACTTCGTCTTTACGAGATAAAGCTTCATCAGTTAAGTATATGTTAGCAGTGTTGTATTATCGTTGCATGATCTACCTTTACGAAATCCAGATTGAGAAGCAGGAAGAAGGTTATTATCCTTCAACTACCACTCTAATCTGTTTTGTGATTAGAGCTTCAAAGA